GAAGAAGAAGATATCTAACCTAATTTTTATATTTAACCAGTATAGCCGCCCGGTTATACTATTCATTGGAATAAAATTTTTAAAAAATGGATTATCGCCGCCTGGCTATACTATTAATTTTCATGATAAAAAGAAAAAAAAGGAGTATAACCGCTCGGATGTACTCTTTTAATATGGGTTTAGATATGAAATTATGAAGATTAATTAATTTGATATGGGTTTAATAGTCGGTATAGATATGCAATTATGAAGATCAATTAATTTGATGTTGTTAGAGAATTGATGTTCCCAAGTGATGACATTATTGCTTTTTAAGTGAAAAGACCTCATTGCTTTTTCAAGAGAGAAGAAGAAAGCAGACGAATCTGATCTCTTCATATTAGTTTGACGTCCAATACGTACCCAATCCAATTCATTCAGCCAATTAATATTGTAAAACAAAGGATACGTAATCCATATTAAAAAAAACATTCCAAAAGAAGCTTCAAAATGTCAACTTGAAATGCTGCTTAAAGGAACACATTCGTCATAACTGCATTTGACTGCAACAATACCCTTCAACAATTTCAAACCCTAACAAGGTAATTAAACAAAAATGCTCTTCATCATAAATTCTTATAGAATATCAAGTGCAATATTTGAATATATAGAATGGTAATTTATCACGTTAGAAAAAATTAATAAACACAAACCTTATCCTTATCGAGAGAAACCACAATCTCTTCAAGTGAACGAACATCCCTAACATCGAAGTTTTTAAACAGAGCGATACTTGAAATGGCAGACATAGGCTTCACTTCCATATCATTTTTTTTATCATGTAAGTCACAGCCTCTCTCACAAACCCACCTCCCTTCCCGCCGGTTGCAATTGCCCGCGGAGCAACATAAGTCGTGGGGTTTGGAAATGAAGTTATGGCACTTTGGACAAATGGCCTTAGGGTCGTCAACCACATAGCATACTTCGCCATAGTAGGAGTAGCTTGACGGCTAACATGACCGACACGTGTACAACTTTTTACCATTTGATTCACCGTTGGTCATGCAGGAAGAAGTTGATGGGCGCCACCAATTGGCATTGTCAGCTTCTTAGGTTTTAGAAGGACATCCTTGTTGAGGTTGGGTTGCAAGTATCGTTGTTTAGGTTCTCTAAGCTGCCGTAGAGTTTGCCTAAACAACCGACCATGCGTTTCCTAGAGAGGAGCCCGATCACAGTGCCGACGGGTAGAGATAGAAGGGTGAAGAGAAAGTGAACAAAATCCTTGCCAGCTTCGGCGAAGAGAACTTTTTTTTATGCTTTTTGTCGATGAGGAGCTTCAAACTAACTGGAGAAATAGAGATTGATTTGGTTTTGGGTTTGGATTTGGAGGGGGCCATTGAGGCAAAGTGAGGACATGCGTGTGTGTGTGTGTGTGTGTGTGTGTGTGTGTGTGTGTGTGTGTGTGTGTGTGTGTATGGTAGGCAAAGTACTATAAACTTTATATTAACGAACATGTTAATTATAGATTAAATCTAAACAGGAAATGATTTATGCAGACAGAAGTGAAGAAAATTACATATATTATGACATGCAAGTGAACCTAAGTTGCCCGATTATATGGTAAAGTAAAATTGACAAGCCAAAATTTTGTATATAGAAAAATGGGAAATGTGGAGGGAATATTTCAGACCTCATCCATGCCAAGATCAACCACCTTCTCCTCAAGAGCACCAACCTCCTTCACATTTAACGTTTAGCATGGCAATATTTGAAACAAAAAGGAAGAATATTTTATGTCGTACTAACCTTTTTCTCGTGAACTTAAGCAGAAGAAAAATATTTTTCTCATGAAACTAAAATGTACACAAATGTTGGATGAAAAACCGTAGCATGTCTAGTTCCCAACTATACGTTTAAATTAGTTTTCCCAACATAAATGTTACTGCATCTGTCTCTTGAGAATGCAATGCATTTTCGCAACACCCAATGCTACTTCACCTTTTACATTCTATAAAAAAATTGTATTGTACATAAACATGAAAATATTGCAGGAAACTAAAACATCATTCCTCAGAATGTGGATGACTATATATGTAAATCGATGAAAATTAATTTTCCTTTTGGAAGAAAAAATATTAGTTTTTCAGTCAAAAAACAAACAATAGTAATATTGTAAGCCTTGTATTGGAGGATTTTCTAATTTCGGTTGTTTGGAATCCTATGAAAAAAGGATTCATTACTGTGCCACAAAGGTATGATGTATCACTTCGTGTTTGAGGGCAACATGCTCAATGAGGAGTGGTCAATCAATGACCACGGCCTATGGAACCAGAGTACAATTTTTCTCATAGACGAGGACACATTTTTTTCCGCCAGAAGAAGAATAACGAAAATTAAAAAGACCCAAATGTTGTGAGATGACTAAATGGTCAATAAATACTGTGAAGAGATAGAGAAAGAAGTTACCATTTCCATTTTAAAATCTTTGTATTTCATGCACCAATAATGATAAATTGTTTTGTATTTTTGTTGGGAATTATCTACTAAGTAAGGGAAACTAAACCACTTTCGTTCCAGTTGATTATAACTTTTAGAAAGAAAAAATTTCTTAAAATTTTAATACCTGAGATTAACTAAAGAGATGCAAAAAGAAGATTTCTTATTAACACCTGAGATTAACTAAAGAGTAGAGAAAATAAATGAGTAATCGTGTCTATGAACGACTTTAGAAGAAAAAAGGGATAAAACAGTTTAGACACGAACCAACAAAAGCAACTAAAATCTTTTGCTGAATTCCTCATTGTCTGATCTCGACCTTTTTCCCAGTGGTGCTGCGTTGTCTTCAAAACTTACAACTATAGTTCCATCACTTCTCCAATTATCCTAAATGAGGGGAAATTGCCTCACCTTCAAATGCTACTATAACGAATTCTACTGGGTTAATTCGAGTATTCTAAAACTATAAATACCTAAATCTGCAGAATCCCCTCAATAAATAAATAAACTATGGTGTGACTAGGAGAAGGGGTCACACACAGAAGAGATACACTCAAAATCCTCATTTCATTGGGAGTCATGCACATGGAAATGTCACCTTGATGTTGATCTGAACGTTGCTCTAGAAGTGGTGCTCGACCCAGCACCATTCTCAATCGGAGGGGAAGTGCCCCATGTTCCTTATGATTCTAATGGCTTAAGTACATGCACTCCACCATCTCTAAGTCCTTTTGCAAAGTGATTGGGTTCAGATGGATGTGCCGCAACAACGAGAGGATACACCCTTAAGCTATTAAGAGTATAGTCGTTCGGCTATACTATATTTATTTAAATTTACATAATACAAAACCCGAGTAAAGCCGGTGGCTTTACTATTTTAAAAAGAAAAAATTTGCCAGAGTATAGCCGCTCAGCCATACTATTTATAGATAAAAAGGGATCGCCTAGCGGCTAGGCGTCCAGGTGTGAAAACACGTATAGCCGAGCGGCTATACTAAATGTTTTTTTTTCTTTTCAAACAAGCAAGAAGGCACCCGACCTACATACGACAAGTTGAGACGATTGTAGCAATCTAACGTAGAATGCCCATAACATGCACAAACTAATTTTGTATAAATTTTGTTTTTTTTTAGAAGTCCACAAAATAATTCATTACTATTTATTAAGTAATTTATGAAATGATTTAAATATTTAAATATTTACCAAAGAAATAATACTTAAAACATAACTATTAATTAAGGTAATTAAGAAAGCTTAAGATATTACTTAATTACATATATTAAACTAATGAAGTTGGCAAAAAAAAAGAGTAAAAAAACTAATTTTATATGTTAAAAATTCAAAATTAAAATTTTTTTTTCTATTTTAAAAAAGCGAGAAAACCTCTGTAGACAAATGTTCGTCGGCACAGGTATATCTCGGCGAAATTTGCTAAATAGGACCTCTCCCTATGAAATTCACCTTTGCCGATGAACGTTCGTCGGGAGAGATCTAATCCTTCAAATTTCGCCGGGATAGACTTGTGCCGAAGAGTAGTCACCGGGATAGGTTTAAAAAATTGGCCTAGGCGGCCTGGGCAGGTCAGGGTGGCGCTAGGAGGGTCTCGGCTGCGCTAGGCGGGTCTAGGCGGCGCTAGACAGGTCTAGGTGCGAGGGTGGGTCTGGTTCTTTAGGGTTTAGGGTTTGTGTGCCAGGGTGGGTCTGTCGCATTTTTCCCAGGTACGTGTACCATTTTCTTCATTGAAGCCGATATTTCGAGCAAGAACTGTATCAGATGCACCGCCTTTTGACCCCAACAATATTGTGTCATTGCAGACACATTTCTGCAGCCACTTTCTTTTAGTCTATTTCTTTCACTTCATTTTCTTCTATGTTTATTGATGGGATTCAAAATTATGGCAGCTCATGTTTAGCAAGTTTAAACTTCTTTGGAAATTGGTTCTGCAGATTGTCCTTCTTTGACTGTAAGTTGCTATCTGATATCTTTATTACATTTTGTTTTGATGATGAGTTACTTAAGTTCAGTATGTTGAAAGAATGGGGTTGATTTGTTGTGTTTTTCTCATCATATGATTGATTTACTCATCTGGGTTCTTATTGTTATAAACTGATTGTGTCAAAGTTTCGTCCTTTTGAGTAGCATCACCTTAATAGTTTTGTTGCATAATTCAGGATTCGAAGAATTAATGGGTGATGTCTATATTGAAAATGAAATATCTGAAATGCCTCTCGCAACGAGTACTTTTCAACTTTACGATTGTGCATTATTGCAAATTATCTCTACTTTTTCTGTATGTTTGTTGTATCTCTTCTCTATTGTAACTTTCTTATTCTTGATCAAGATTAGCTAAGAAATTAAAATTAGCTTATTGATTTTTTATTTCTTTTTATGTTATCCCACATAAGGAATAAGGTTATGGGGATTTGAAGTTTCAATTTGGCATCTTTAGTTTTGTCAGTTTGATTCACACCCTGTGCTTAAAGATCTAATATAGGTCCCTGTATAGTCTGGGATTCTACTCATCAATGGATGACATTTTCACCCGTCTATTTACACTGGCTAGTTATATAAGTCGTCGATTTATTCAAGTTATAGGTGAGGTTCTTTCTACTATTCTTACATGTATGCACACTCATGCATCTTCTTATAATGTTATGGATGGATTTGGAAATGATGTTATTGCAGAGGATCTTGCGGTCAGAGATGCTGATAGATACTCAGATGATTTGCTGGTCATTTCTGCTGGACAGCATTTAAGATCATTGAGAAACGGCATTTGTAAATCATTTGCTGAAGGTTGTTCATCATCTTCAAAACCTTGTAACCCTGAAACCTGTGAAAGAAGATCCTCAGAGCCTACGGAAGATACAAGATCTGAAATTGTAGAAACCAATTTCAATTATACAGATGTCCCCTTCATTTTTAAAGGGTAGTACCGTTTTTTGCTATTAGCGTTCTTCAATATCAATCTTTGAAGACTTGAGTACGCATTAAAAAACTGAGGTCAGGCAACTAATCTAGTTTCATGAGAAAACATCATGAGCCCATCTACTTTTAAGTGAACTGAATGATTAATTGTAATATTTAATCTTTTTCACCTCCTTCCCTTTCTAATTACAAGTGTTTATCAGAAGTATGACTTACTGTAACTGTTTTGCATTTCTCAAATCTCAATCAAGTCATCTCCATCGTTCGATTGGTGATGTTGCTTCATCTTGATGTAGGTTGACAATACCATTACACGGTTTACAATTTGCTTGGAGATTGGCAATTTCTTGTTGGAGAAGTTCTGTCGTGTACGTTGGATGTGCTCATCTTCGAATTTGTAGGAAAAAGAAGTATATTTCAATTATGCAAACTGATGGACTCGTATTCCATAGAGTCTATGAATAGTTTCTTTTAGTTTTAGTTCAGATTGGATTCTGTTTTACTCAGTGCAAATAATTCATTGCTTTTAATTACAAGTCATTGTTTCATTCTTTTAATTACAGGCATCTCGAGTACAGAAAACATTGCAAGGTTCATCTGACAATATTGGATGGTTGCCGGGCACTCCTGGCATGCCTGGTGTGGAGGATGGTACAGCACTTTAATTATAAGTTGTATTGATCCAATCCATTCACGCATCCTAAACCAGACAAAACTGATTAATCAAATATTCTCCCTGATTTAGATGAGAGTGCTCAATGGAATCAAATTGTTACAACTTACAACCATTTTCACTTATCATTCTTTTTAAGTTGGGAATGCTGTTGAAATCTAAGCCCGTGTACATCGTGAGAGAGAGAGAGAGAGAGAGAGAGAGAGAGAGCATTAAGAATGGAACGTTTAATATAAATTGCTTGGCCTGAAAAGGCATTCAGGAAATTAGTCCTTGTATTAGTGAATATACAAAAAAAATCTGATTATGAGTTACCAGGGTGTTACAGCACTGTACAACCAGTTGATTAGCAACAAACAAAGCAGTTAGAGACCAGCATCATCCTCCTCCACCTGTACACAGCAAGGTCCAAAACACATTATGTCAGGATTTGAAGAACACAGCAAACTAAATCCTTATTTTTGAAGAACACAGCAAACTATATCCTTATTTGAAAACTCTATCTTCTTTTTTTTAATTTGCACAGCAAACTAAATTCTTAAGAACACAGGAAAGATGACATCAAGGAAAATATTTTGAAGCATTTTCAAATGGAACTTTTTCCATTTACCTAAACTCTTTTTATATTACTTGGTTTCGGTTTTGATGATTTGCTAGCAGTATCAGACACTACCATCCAATCAAAATTCACTTCTAATTGGGGATTTTTAATATAAATGGAGACATTAATAGACTTTTCAAGGGGCACCTACTGCAGCTGGCCCAAAATAATAGCAAATAAGGTCTGGTTCCATATAGCAAGTGATTCAGCAACTTCAAAGATAAAAAGTGCATAAGCAAAAACATGTTTAAATGCAGGAGATGGAGCAAAATCAAGTGAAATGGCCTAAGGTTGCATGCACCCTATTAGTTAGTATTTCAGTACAAGATCATCAGACTAGGAAGGTTGATTCACTAGTGACCTGCCATATGACTGTGAAAACAGTGTAATCCTAATTAAACGCCAACCAAAAGCTCATTATCTTTCAATTTCGAACTAACTGAAGTCAGTTCCAGTACACCAACAGGTACCCTTCCAGGAGGTGGCATCCAGGGGTAGGCGCCAGGGAGCTAGGCGGCGTCTGGGCGCCCGCCTAGGCGGCCTAGGCGGCTCTAGGCGGCCCTAGGCGGGCCTAGGCGTCCCTAGGCGGCTCTAGGCGGGCCCAGGCTTCCCTAGGCGGCTCTAGGCGGGCCCAGGCTTCCCTCGGCGGCTCTAGGCGGGCCCAGGCTTCCCTAGGCGGCTCTAGGCGGGCCCAGGCTTCCCTAGGCGGCTCTAGGCGGCCCTAGGCGTCCCTTGGTGGCTCTAGGCGGCTCTAGGAAGGTCTAGGCGGGTCTAGGCGGCCTGGGCGGCTCTAGGAGGGTCTGGGTGGCCGTTTTGCCGTTGAGACATGGACGAAGGGCGGTTGAAGTGCGCAGGATCCGCTGTTGTTAGGAAGAAAGAGAGAGAGAGAGAGAGAGAGAGAGAGAGAGATCGAGACAGAGAGAGGAAGGAGAAGGCGGCGCTGGGAAGAAGAAGATATCTGACCTAATTTTTATATTTGAAACGTATAACCGTTCGGCTATACTATTAATTTGATTTGAAGACAAAAAACACGGAGTATGAAGGCGCGGCCATAGTATTTTTATATATTATATTTGAACAGTATAGCCGCCCGGCTGTACTATTCATTGGAATAAAATTATTTTAAAACGGATTACTCTTTTAATATGTGTTATCAGGAAGAGGGCGAATGCCAATGGTGATTGGATCAAGAACAAAGCAACTCTACATATACAAATCTGTCATTACCTATGCACAGGTAATATAATCTACGGATGAGTGAATAAATATGTATTTATTTCCACTAGTTGGCATTCATTAACTAAACCAACAGCCAGATTTACAATTCGTTTTGTTTTGTATTTGCTTTTTCATATTAGTTGTATTGTATCTTCAGACTTCACTAGTTTAGAGGCCAAAGACAGTGAAAAAGTCAACTAACAGGTCTATGCTCCCTTCAGCAAACAGAATTTTGTGGCTTTTTTACATGGACTGGGAGTTTCACCTTATTTTTGGTGATTGCCATTGATGACGTCAAGAAAACTGATCCATAATTACATGGATGAGTTTATTCTTTGGAATGGATGATGAACTTCATAGATCAATTAAGAGGAGAGAAATTTGATAGGTGAAGAGAGATAAGATGATAGATCACTAGAACATGTAATTTTGTCACACTGGTTTTAGATTTGATGATGCCGAAAAGAAACGAAGAAATGGAGGCCCAAAACATAAAATCAACAGAAAAACGAAAAACAAAACAGTGCAAATGCCTTAAAGAATCAGTGCTTCATAAAGTCCACATTTATCCTTGCGAAGCGGTGTAGATGAGCAAGTTTACTTCAGCCAGACGATTGATTCTCCTTGTTCATTTTTGTATCAAGGAAAGTGCAAAAGGAAGATTGGGATAGCAGATTGGTTTCCTTGGACTTGTTGGGTCGTTTTTGCCATATCCTGCGGTATAATATTTGTTTCCAATAAGATCAGAGGGCCAAAGTTGAAATAATCCAATGTACGCCAATACAGTCAATGTCAATCCACAAACTAAAATGAACCTCCAAAAGCTCAATTTCTTTAGAGGACCAAAGCTGAAACCTTCATGCACTTTATTACCAAGGAAAACATTTGTAAGAGCGGTTTTTGACTCCAACGATGCCTTCACCAACTTAAAGCCCTAAGAATCAAAAGCACAAACAAAATATGTACTATCAGAAATATGGCGCTTGCAATTTACACAGAGGTAGAACCGTTTAGGCGCATTCGAGTCATTGTTGGCTGGCAATTGAAGGATGTTAGCGCCAGAAGTTGTTGTCTTTTTCAGCAGGGAGTCTTTGTTAAGATTGGGTTGCATGTATGTGTCACTGAGATTTTCGAGGCTCTCGTAAAGTTTGCCTAAGCAACCAACCATGCCACCATTAGAGAGAAGGAGCCTGGTCAGAGTTCCAAAATGCAAGGACAGAAGAGTATCGAGAAAATCCACAACTTCCTTGCTTGCTTCAGCAAACAGAACTTTGTTGCTTTCTGTGTCAATCAGGAGCTTCAAACTCACAGTACGTAGCGCTGTGGGTGGTAGCGATTTAGGCAATATTGAGGACAGAGGAGAAGGGCAGCATATGCATAAGCGTTTATAAAAAGACCCATTTATAGGCTTAGAAAGAAGTCCTAAATTCAAAAAAATTAAAAAATGGAATGGTGAATGGATCATGAAGTGGGAGGGTCACCTCGGACCCTGCATCAGTCAACCACAAAGCCAACTCTGCAGTGATGGGGATTGGGGATCGGGACATAGGTCACCAACCACATACACGAGCACTGAAATCTAGGGCTAGTGCAAACTCACATATATCGTAGCAAATCCATGCCACAAATAAACTATTTCATTAATCATCAATATTCCATTCCCTACAATTATTACAGTAGCCTTATTTGTAGGCTTTACAAGACGTGGGTATCAAGACTGCTTGGTCCAAAAGTAAACTAATTAATTATGAAATCACACATAAATAATAAACGATTTCCTAAAACTATCTAAATAAGAAAATAACAATATATCATGAAATAACTAATTAAATGGTAAATATCTATCTTGATCCACCCCTATACTCCTGCATCAGACTCCCCTGGTTGGAAAGAATTCGTCCTCGAATTCAAGCCTTTGATTGAGGAAAATCCGAGTAGAATCTTCAATTGCTTCATATTAATTCTGGATCTTTTAGCATCCAATTGAAACCTTCCTTTCCAAATAAAAAGATATTTGGAATATTTTGTTATTCTTGGCTTCTTCTTACTCCCTCTAACAATGCAAATGTTTCTCTCTAGAATCTTCAACCGATTGACAAAATCAGCCAAAGTTTTGGCAACCTTCCAAGTGAAAACATTAATGCCCAAAAAATCAATAATATCTTCGAAAGTTTTCTTAATTCTCATCTCTTCACTGTTCTGATCAATAAATTGCTTATCAAAATTGCTTTGAACACCCAAACAATTTTCATTGCAATTTTCACAGTTGCAAGGATCAAATATTGGAGGCAAATCCAAATTTAATAACTTTGATGAATAACAAGATGGGTAATTCTATATGAACCCCATAAATTACTCTTTACACCCCATAATTTTTTACACCCCACTAAATTTTAATAAAATTTCAAATTACTCATTAAACCCCTTTTTTTTCCCTAAATTGCCCTCATAAACCCCATTCTCTAACCACCCATCGAAAAACCCCCTTCCCTTTCTGCCACACCCCATCTGAAATCAAACCCCACCCCATCTGATATCCAGCCACACCCCACCGAAAATTCTCTCCTCTTGCAGACACACTCCATCGCACACCCCATCCCATTTACACCAACCTCCATCGCAGAACCATCGAAGAAGCCCTTTGCCATTGCCTGCATCGCAGAACATCGAAGAACTCATCCCTTGCCATCGCAGATCTTTGCTCACCATCGAAGAAGCCCTTTGCCATCGCCTCCAGCAAACCTGAACCATATCTGAAACAGAACCATCACACCCATCTCCATCTCTGCAAACCCAAAAGCCATTGAAGGTCAAGTTCTCACAAATCCTTATTCAAGGTTTGATTTCAAATTTGATTTATATATTTACGTTTCTAAGTGTTGATTAAGCCTACATTTGATTTCACTTTTGAAAAGCCAAAGTCTGATACTGATTTTGATTTCAATTTCAAGGTTCTGGGTAGTTCGAACCTGGTTTTACGAAATTGGATTCTAGTTTCGGTGGATTGCCACCGAAATGATTACATTGCTTCAGTGGTAGTCCACCGAATTGAACCTGTACTTTCGGTGGGTTACCACCGAAATTGTTACCTTGTTTCGGTGGTAGTCCACCGAATCTGTTTCTATTTTTCAGGGGACTCCCACCGAATTTCTTTTGGTTTTTCAGTGGTACTCCACCAAATATGTATTCTTTTTTCAGTGATTGTCCACCGAATTTATTTCCCTTTTTCAGTGATTATGTACCGAATACGTTACTGAGTGTGTACTTAATATTGTTTATTTTTAGATATGAAGAGGATTTGCAGGGGTACTACTAAAGCTTCATCATCACGACCTAATAGACAACGTCCCACGGCCTCAGCGAGGAGACAGAGAGCGGCTCCCCAAGATCACATTGAGGATACTACAGAGGTTGAAGATGTAGTTCCTACTGATTATAGTAATGTTGACGCAGAGGTTGAAGATGTAGCTACTGCTCAGGATAGTAATGTTGAGGTACATGCCGAGCCTACTAAGCCATCTCGAGTAGGTCCCATTGATCCATCTTTACTTACGAGTTTTAAAACTCACATAGCAGCTACAATTTGGAATAACCAGGTAAGTCGTTTTACTGTGACAATAGAAGGTAGAATATAAATTTGGTTCATGGTAACTAACCTTAATTTTGTTTTTTTTTGTTTAACTAGGAACGTGAGCCCCTTAGGTGCATGTCGAAAACATCTACCCTTCGTGAGTGGAATTGGTGGGGTAATCCAAATAATAGTATATTCAAAGGGTACATTCAGAGGTCTGGATTAGAGCACCTTATTAGGTGTTCTTATCGGAATGCTGATAAGATTGTGGTGTCTACATTTGTTGAGAGGTGGCATCCCGAAACGAACACCTTTCACATGCCTTTTGGTGAGATGACCATCACATTGGATGATGTGTCATCTATTTTAGGCATTCCTGTGTCTGGTGCAGCGGTTGCTCCTCTTGGAGATGATGACGACACAAATTTTGAGTTGTTAGTTAAGTACTTAGGAGTGACTGATGAAGAGGCTACTGAACAATTGCACAAATACAATGATGAGTATGTGAGTTTGTCATGGTTACGGGTGCGATTCTCCAATGTTTCAGACACAAATTCAGAGGAGTACATCATGTATTCGGCCAGTGATAAGAAATCTCTGTGGCCACCACAGACTCTCTCAATTTCCTCATAAATCTCTGTGTTCACCTTTTCTATTTTCTCCTTCAACTCTGGAGGTTCTGCGACAGATTATGGTTAAACTCCTGCATTATTTTATCAACTTTCTCCTTCAACTCTAAATGACTATGCACACAAAGATGTATTTTTCAGGTTACATGTGAAAAAAAATTAAATAAAATTATTAGATCTATAATCTCAATTATGTAACAGGTGCATTTTCATCAGTCATTAGGATGACGGTATCTGTAGTAGCTACATTCTCCACTCCCGGAAGTTGTTGAAAAGCATCCACACGTGCTTGGTACCTCGAGTACAAATGTGTTACATTGCATATGTCACTTTGTTCATGCCACATTCTAGAAACTGGTGGAATAGGATGATCTGGAGACAAATGAACCTACAAAACAAGAATCCATTCATATACGCATAGCATATAAAATTAACCAATGTTGCGTAAACAAATAAATTCATACCTGGACATAGTGATCATCGTCAACAAAACCAATGGCAATCTCATTTAGCTTGGTTTCGCTTGATTGAACTGAGAAAGGAAGAAATGTAAGGCATTGACGCATGCTTAGAAGGATTAAAACCACATTATAACGTGTGGCAATAATATGTCCCATATCAGGCATGGTCATCCAACAAAAGAATGGTGCAAATCCATCATCAAAATAATTTAGCGCTCGCTCAATCTCGTTGTATCGTTTATGTTCCCGAATACACTTCTTAAAAACAAAAGACATATCATGTAGTTGTTGCAACAAATCCTTGCGTACCCTACGCCATTCATTATGACCAAATCTCATTGCCATAGCTATGGCTCTATATCCACAGTTACCATCCGGAAGAACTTCAGTCTGGTGAGTGATATATTTCCTAACACCCTCAGGGAATTTCTCTATATGCATATATGTATCGAATGCTGATTGGTTTTCGCGAGGCTTATAGAGTTGAAAATAAAACAAAATATTAGTTATATGGTAATAACACATTGTAAGTTGTGAATTGATCACTATAGTCCCATTACACATTCTGTTCCCACATTGTTGCCTTCAGTAGGGGCGTCACCTTGATTTTGTTCCTTCAATGGGAGTAAGATCAAAATAGCTTGGATTAAATTTGTGGTTGGCAATAAGTTACTGAAAAAATAAATAAATTTCGGTTGGATGCCACTGAAACGCGGGTAAAAGTTCGGTAGTACACCACTAAACTACGTTCCATCTTACGGTGGATCCCCACCGAATATTAAGTTTCTCACCGGTGAAATCCAACCGAAAAAGGTGCAAAGTTTCGGTGGCATCCCACCGAAATTATCTGTCGCGTTCGGTACTGATGTGCTGAACACAACCAGCGACTGTTATGAAATATTAAACTTGCAAAACGCCAAAAAATAAACTCGTACCTCATTCGAAGCGTCTCTAACTTCAATCTCACCCTTCATGAATAAATACAATATATTTTTTCACCAGTATAAACTTATAAATCTTGGGTTTAGGGTTTAGGAACATGATAGTTTGAGAAAACAATCAAACTAGGGTTGCAGGAACATATGTGGGGTGTAGTGAGCAATTTTAATTTTAATTTTAATTTTTTTTGTCCTTAATGGTAATTGTGTACAAGGGTAAAATAGGTTATTTATATTTAAAATTAGTATGGGGTGTAAAGAGCAATTAATGGGGTGCCAATAAAATCACCCTAACAAGATGCACCAAAATTACCAAATCTATTTATACCTTCAAAGACACAATGAGAATAACCGTGCCCCTCTACACTTGACTCACACAGCGAAGCGCAATAATGAAAAGGGCTATCCCCCTCGTACTCCCCGTCGAGACTCCCACGGCTTAGAGTGTCGATGCGAGCTACTCGGTTCAGATAAGGGTTCATGCATCTCTCCCCGTCATAACTCTTACCTATTTGGGTTCGAGCTTCGATGCGAGCGACGCGTTCCGTAAGTTGCCGTAGCATCCTCCTAATTTCCTCCATGTCGTTGTAGTTGTCAACACGACCCTCCATCCAAAAACCTCCCCGATAAAGCAGATCTTGAGCCATAGCTCTGATACCAATTGATGGGGATCGGGGATCGGGACACAGGTCACCAACCACATACACGAGCACCGAAATCTAGGGTTAGTGCAAACTCACATATATAGAAAATCCATACCACAAATAAACTATTTCATTAATCATTAATATTCCATTCCCTACAATTATTACAGTAGCCTTATTTATATAGGCTTTACAAGACATGGGTATCAAGACTGCTTGGTCCAAAAGTAAACTAATTAATTATAAAAACACACATAAATAATAAACGATATCCTAAAACTACCTAATTAAGAAAATAACAATATATCATGAAATAACTAATTAAATGGTAAATATCTATCTTGATCCACCCCTATGCTCCTGCATCATGCAGGTACAAATTTGACATTACCTATATGTAGGGAATATAGTTTACAGATGAGTGAATAAATGTGTCTTTATTACCAAATATAACATTTCCATCAACTAAGCTACATTTCCAATTTCTTTTTGTGAAGCAATATACATCTTGTGAGACTATAGTTCCTCTGCAGCGTGGACAAAATAGCTTAGGGTTGTCTGAGACATACCAGCAACTGGTTGCACAACAGAACTGTTCGGCGGGCCTTTGGATCATCGGTGGTTAAAATCCGAAGGATATTAGCTCCAGCAGAAAGTGTCATAGGTTTCAGCAAGGCCTCGTCCTTGTTAGTAGCAGGTTGTAGTATGTGTCACTAAGATTTTCAATGCTCTTGTAAAGTTTGACTAAGCTTCCACCCATGTCATCCTTGTTAGAGACGAGTTTAGTGGCAATGCCTAGAGGCAAAAGACAAGACTAAAAAGCAAATCCACAAAAGTGCTTTCCCCCTTCAGCAAACAGAACTTTGTGGCCTTTTTACACGTACTTAAATTTTGGCAATTGCCATTGATGCCGTCAAGAAGACTGATCAATAATTTTATTTGAAAAGCCTGAAGTGAACTGATCGTGAATACCGGTTGATGGATAATATATTTACCCCACAACTAGGATTGTTGTTTTTATCTCATTAATTATCATCCTCTGCTTCAAGATTTATCTTTAATAATTACATGATTAATAGATCATTGTGTAAACGTGAGTTATTTAAATAAGTATGTAAATATATTGTGAATACTAGGAGTCCTTTATTAGGAAGGATTTATTGTTGTGTCCTTTATTGAGTAGTGTTTCCTTGTAGAACAAGGATTATATATGTATATATTTCAAGGATCGTCGTCCTCCATAGCTCGGTGTCTCCGCTGCCGTCGTTCTCTTCTCCTCAGGTAAGTCAGCGTTCTTCTTCTCCTTTGCTGAACTTAACTCTCTCTCACTCTTACTCGATTTGTTCTCTGTCTCAGTCGCCGTATCAGTCTCCGTCGCCGACGAGCTCGATTCCTCTCATTTGTCTCATTCTCAATCTCCACTGGGTTTCTCTCTGGTAAGCATCTTCTTCCTTTGATTTTATGGCTTATTCTTCTAAATTTAATCTGGGGTTTTTATTTATGTTAAATTAGGCTTATCGAATTGGGGGTTGATGCTGATACATAATACTCAATTGGTAAATTTTGCTTTGTTTTGAATTGGGAATTGAATTGTTTATTTGATATCTTTTTTGATATATATATTTTCTTTGAAAGTAGGTTAGTTGTTTTGTTTTGTTTTTTTTTTTTTTTTTTTTTTTTTTTTTTTCATACATTGGGTTTATGTTTCTGTGGAATTAGGTTCTGTGAAAGTTTTGTAGGGTTCTTTTTAATGCATACGTTAGGTTATGTTTTTTCATATTAGTTAGTTTCATTTGGTTATACTTGCATCCATATATTAGTTTTTTTTTTTTTTTTGTTTTTGTTTTTGTGTTTGTATTAATTACAATTTTTATGTTTTTAGTGTTTGGTGGTAGGTATGTCTGATATGGAACGCCACGTCTCACGTTGCATCAGTTAGTATCAATCCCTAGCATTATACAAATAGAAAAGTTTCATCCTACGGACAGAAGCACACAATTTTAGGGTTGAGTAAAATTGGAGGCCATGTGTTGCCACGGCGGCGAAGCGTGAAGAAGCGGAAAACCTAGGCTAGGTATGGAGGAGCTGAAGGATCACCCTGGTCCGTCTATTATGGATGAGCATCAGCGGAAGAAATTCCTTTTTTTATGTTTCGGCGAGTATTATCCGGGCACTTCGCTTTCTTACTTGATTCACGCCTTTGATTTGGGGAAAAATTGCAATATACTTCCATTGGCAGAATCCAGAATAGTCGGTAAAATAGGTCTGTCGATTCCTGCAGTTATGGGTTTTGGTGTTCGCGGTTCCAACATCTTTTTGGTAGGCGGCATTAAACCGAGTTTCAATGGATACGGCAATTTCACACCATATCTGTGCAGAGATGTTCTTGAGTTTGACACTAAGAAGTGCTTTATGATTCCACCCAATTTATCGGTTCCATTCCGTCCATTGAATCCAACCCCTGTGATGAGGCACCGTCCCCTTCAACAAGGGAAGAATTACCCCCTGGTGGTGGAGCATGACTCCAAATTATATGTTCTCTCGTGCCGAAGTTTAATGTTAACATGTGGCGTACACTTCGCTCCTGGGTTCGAGATGTTAGACCCAACAAATGACGAATGGGTGACTTTGCCTGAACCCCCAATTTTCCACCGACGCTACCTTGGAAGAACCACCAATTGTGTTGTTGTAGGCACTAATATCTTTGTGTCATGTTTGTCTAGTATCTTCCGCTTTGACATGGCTGACACCAGTCAAAAATGGAACGAGCACTTTTTTACAAACTGCATTAGATTGCCATTCGACTTCGATGGACGAAGTTTAGCTGTGAAAATGAGCGATGGGAATTGGCTGATTTTCACGTGTTACCCAGAATTGTGTGAAGAGGCTGATGAATTTGAAGATGACGCCTACTGCTGTTGCTATGAGGACGACTGCTTCTTCCCTTCTGGTGTGGGTGATTATCCTCCTCAGGCTTATCGTCATTTTGAATGGAAGCGTACATCTTTGCCTACGTATCTCATGTCGAGTGACTTTACATCACTCACACGGCTTCAACCTCTGTGCCTGCCTGATGATCTGTTACCTACTCAACCAGGGCTTGAACTATTGCCTATGTTCCGTGATCTGTTCACTGCTAGAGCGCGTGAAATAGATTATAGGATCCTCCATCTAGGAGGTCATGAGATATGTCTTATATTGTCTGTCGACACTGGATTTGAGTCCAAGGGCGGAGTTTTGAGGAAGATGCCGATTTTTGTGATACGTTTCGAATTTGAACTTTCTGACAGTAGAGAGTTGGTAACCATCAAAACGGGGTCTTGTGGTGTTCAATGTTTTCTACTCGATGCGAACGGTCCAAGGGCAACTAAAGTCTCCATGCATGGTGCCTTTTGGCTGTAAGTTTTGTTAACTCGCTATTTGTTCTTTTCAAGTTTGGTTTTTCTCTTTTGTAGTTATGGAATTTGATGTAGTTTTGCTAAATAATTGAACAGGTAAACGTCTCTCAAATGGTGCAGTTGTCAATCTAATTTTGGGGCAGTCTCAAATGGTGTATGAAAGTTTGATAGTGATTTTGTGTGAGGAATGAAGCAATTTAAGTGCTTTGAGATGCCTTTTTATGCTTATGTTACGAAATGTGAAACTTAATTTGCTTTCGATGGAGACTCTAAGATGTAATATTATAAGAATACTCTGATCTTTTTACCTTGTTTTTTCATTCAATCGATTTGGTATTAGTTTTCATTCTGATGACTCTGTGCAAGAATTGTCACCTTGAACTTAAACCTATATTGCGTAGGAACTCTTGCAGTTCGAGTCCTGAGATAAAAAAAAACACTAGGTGTTTGATGTCATGCATGCATTTGACTCTTTATTGTCTCTCTCAATATCATTATCAGGTGAATGCGTGTTCCATATTACTGATGCATTTTTGCAGGCTCTGGACGCCATTAACGCCGTCATATCTCCAGCATACTATTATATAAGTTATTTTATAACATTCACCAGCGTGACTTTGTTTAAGGATGCTTTGGTTAGTCCCCCTGGCTCTAGTGTCTGTTTTACCATTCTGTATTTCTATGTTATATTATCAACATTGATGTATGTATTGTCCACCACATATATAAAACAAGAGAAAATGTTTTGAATAGGCGGTGGTGGGCATGGTGCTTTAAGTGATATAAGTGAAAGGTAATATAGTTGAGCGAATTTTTCATAAATTGAAGGAATTGGGGGATTGATTGGCTGTTTCTCAATTTTCTTCGCTGCCGTTGTTCCGTCCCGAATGAAAGAGTCAAAAGGGTTTAGGGAGTGAGAGAGGGCGTGATCTTCTAAACAAGGAAATTGGAGAGGACATCATCTCCTCCATAAATAAAGGAATCTCTTCCACTATTTAGTTGTATGTTTTGGGACGAAAAAAAAAAGGTCCACCAGTTAGAAACTGATGAGGACTATATATCTTTCGATAAATGTAATAAATCTCAATTATAATAGGAAAATCAATTATAATATGACTAAATAAATAAGTAATTAACTAAAATCCTAATATAGTAAGGAACCAAAATCAGACACAAAAGTCAATGCAACCCTTGCAAATCACAACCATGCAAAATCAAGGCTCTCTAGTTACTCAAGCAAATAAATCATGCAAGCTAAGTTATTTTGAGCTAATCCACCAAGCATTTTCTTATCTTTCATGCCACAAAATAGATCAACTCTTGGTAACTCTAGTAAGTGACCTCCAAAATTATAGTGTCTAGGAAAGTTCTTCAAGGCAACACTCGTGGTGTTTAAGAAGGATTGGGTTTTAAGCGGGACCATTGTGACCCCTCCAACCTTCCCAGAAAAACCTGGTTGTAATTTCAGAGACCCTTAACTAGTCATCCTTGAGTTGTTCCTAAACTCATGCCATGCCATGCCACTGCCATTTATTTTGGGTTGGAAATTGATTATTCGGACCATTTCAATATCCATTCATGGCCCCAATAATCAAGGGGGCTAATGTTGAGGCCCAAAAAATTCAAGGCTGGGCCCAAATATATTTCTGGCCCAGTACGACACCTAACTTGGGAAGAAACCCGACTTCTGCATGCAAGAGTTAGTCATATGCGCTTGCACACGTGCCATGTCAAGCAAATAAGCAACACGCCACGCTACAAGCTTAAGTGGGCCCAAGCCACACGAATGCCTAGGGCTTGCTGAGTGGGTTGTGGTATGGATAGTTACGAGTATTGACGAGGCCCGTTGATGGTCCAAGGAGTGGGAATTTTGGGCTGCTTGGGAGCACCAAAACTCAATCTCATTCCTTGAGCCCAAACATATGGGTAAGCATGAGAGAGAAAACCTAATATCCCATCACCTTAAGAAAAGGCCCATAACACTTGAAAAAATCCCACACCAGCCAAAACTTCCAGTAGCTTGAAGAAATCAAAGGGAAATCACAAGCCGCTGGAAATAAAATAGCCCAGCCCAGCACCTTGTAAAATATCCAACGTCATGGAAATATCCAACATCTTTGTTAAAACCATATTGAAGCCAAACCACCAAAACCAAGCAAACCCATGTGCTGATGGGAGTAAATCACCTTTTGACCAGCACCCTTACCCATTCTTTCCTCTACAAGCTTTGGTGAGAAAACAAGAAGGAAAAGTGAGTGGCGCCTCACCCACATGGAGAAGTCCAGCTGCGTAAAGGTCTTGGAACTCCAAAAAGCTTCATGCCTACATGCTCAGGCTGGGAAAGTTTCACCAAATAAGATGGAATGGAAGAAAGTGAAGGAAAATGGGAGAGGGTGACTTGATAAAATTGAATGTTCCAACGCCTATAAAAGGAGGCACTTTCTACCCAACAAAGAAAGCTGATCGAAGGTAAGCATCCCCTCTGGAACCCTTCAATTTCATGCTTTGTTCTTCCATCTTCTTCCTCTCCCTCCCAAAACCCACATCCAGAGAAAGCAAGCATCACCTCTCATCCCTGGAACACTTCAATTTCGAGCCATATTCCTCCATCTCTTCCCATTTTCTCTTTTGTCAAGCAACCTAGGAACCTGACGAAGCTTTCGTCAAGCTGCTGGAAATCTACTAAAGCTACCCATGCTTCTATCTTCTTCATTACAGAGCCTGATGAAGCTTTCGTCAAGCTGCCGGAAACTTGCTCAAGCCACCCCATTCGTCTTCCTCATCTCTTCCTATTTCCCCTCAACAAATTCTCCCAAAAACTCTCTCTTCCCCTTATTTCGAGCCTTTGTTTCTCATAGGAAACCCAAGCCTTCTCTCTCTCATGCTAAACTCACGAATGCTCAGCTCCCATGCCACAAGCTTCTCATGCCAAGCCATAATATTTATCTGTAAGCAACTGTTGGTTTCATTGGTGAAGAAGACCAAGGTGTTTCCTAAGGCTCAGCTACCCTTTTGAAGCACTCTTGGGGTCTGATCCTTGAACTCAGACTCAGGGGGAAATTTCACACATTTGGCTCTTTACAGCAGCCCAGGCTCATCAGTAGCTGCCGGAACGAAAAAGCCCCCATAATAACAAAAAGGAAAAAGAAAACTTGATTGTCGGTAATTGATTACGGTAATGATAATAAATGAATACGTACTATTGGCATCACAAAGTCTACGAAACCGTGGTGTATGTGGACTTAAAATTACAAGTCAACAAGAGCTAATAATATTGTAGGACGAAGCTGGTTCCTATAAAATAAGTACAGAATGTAAGCCTCTAAAACTTAACGCTTCCATTTCATACTTAAATTCTCTGCATTTTATTGTACATAGGCATATACTTTCCTTTTTTATGCAAGTGAAATTGAATATATAAGATGATCATTGCTCACAAATAATTTTGTACAAATTTTATGTGCAGCAGAAGATAGTAGTGAGTGTGCCAATACAATGTGACAAATGCCGAACCAAGGCCTTGAAGATTGTTGCAGCTGCACATGGTATGCATCGATCAATCGATACATACAGATCAATTTATCATTATAAAAATAAAAAAAAATAAAAATTTCAACTCTCTCATCACTAATAATTAGGTCAGTTTGATAAGTATTAGTGGATGATTACATATAAAGTAGGTGTGAGCAAAGTGTCGGTCGAAGGAGACTGACAAAGATCATATTGAAGTCGTCTTGCAATACACTTACGGACAAAAAAAATTAGTGGTTTATGGTTTAAACGGCTCATGATTAAGTTGATTTCCTTTCCTCCTCTGACTGATTAAGTTGAATTCTTTCCCTTGATTAATAGATGAGTTGTTTATCTTCCTTTTGTAACTTGGTCATTTGGAACTAAGAATTTTCTTTAATACAAACAATTGGACGCTTATGAATTGATATCATACATAAGAAGTGCCTAAGTTTAATTGATAATGGTTACTAAATTATCTTCTATCATGCTCGTCTTAGATGCAGAGTTTACCAGATTTTCCTCCCCATCTACTTTTCTAACGAACTTTTTTTTTTTTTTTTTTTTTTTTTTTTTTTTTTTTTTTTTTTTTTGGCTGGCTCCTTTTCAATGCAGTACAAATATTGTGGAAGCATATGTGCAAGTACAGTCTTTGCAAAGGACGGAGTATTCCCTAAAGAGATACAAGGCATCATAAACATGTCTCCCATACAAGAGCTTTAAGCAGAACTTGATAATCTCCTTTAGAGTGTTTGTGAATGCCAATAATTTGCATTGTCTAACTTGTTCTTATTAGCTGGATGAGAACTGCTCTCCCATATGCCCCTCTAGTGTAATCGTTTTTGAGTTTGTAATTTGCTATGCGTTTGTGGCTCTTTTTTATGAAGTATTTTAAGACCAAAAAAAAAAGAAAAAAAAGAAGAAGAGAGAATTGCTACAACATTGAAATATATGTTGGAAAATTTAATATTAACTAATATTGATTTTCCTATTTGAATGGAAATTAATAAAATCCATTGGGTTAAAGACATGACCCTTGGGTTAAAGACATCTTCACATGGGGAGTAACAACTCTTCAAACTAAGGGATGCATTGTTTGGGTGACAACTCTTCAGACCAAGGGATGCACTGTTTACCTTTTCATATTGAGATACCTTTTTAGAAAGGGTATTTCATCATCTATAAATAGAGCAATCCTCCTGCAGTTTTATTCATTCAGTTTAATTCTCTACATACAGACTTTCACATATAGAAAGCATTAGAGTTTTCATAAAGAGAGGTTCCTGCTTGTAGTGCTTCTTTCACAAGGAGGGGAGTCGTTGTATCCTGGGAAGCGAACGCTAGTGAACCATAAGCACCAGTGTGGGGCGTAATTCGTCTTAAGGTCAGAGTGTCCAACACTTGCCTCGACTCAATTAAGGTTCTTCTAATTCAATTCTCCTTTTGTAAAAATCTGTTTTATGTGCAGTATTTATTTTGTTTATTTTATAGCAATTTAGCACTCTCTTTCCAACAATATACATGTATCAGAGTTTTGGAATCATCATCTGGAATCATCATCCACTGTAGGCACATCTGACAAGTTTGAACGAACACTGTCCAATTTCCTGTCAACTGAGTAATCATTGACTTGTTGGTCTCCACCATGCTCATTGAGTGTGCGACCCGGGTCAGAGCCATCTGTTGGACTTCTTAAACCAGAAAGTTTACCAGACAACCTAGGACTCAAGGGAATAGGTGGTGATGCAACAAAAACAACATCTGAATCACTAGTAGCTGATGCCAATGCAACAGGTCTTGATTCTGTACTTGAAGTGGTAATATCTTTCGAAGTGGTTGCCTCAACAGAACTAGAGTTTACAGGATACCTCACGGAAACTGCACCCACAGAACTACTATCTTGTATGGTTTGTTTAAGTGCTGAATTTGAATTAGCTAGCAGCATCTCTGTGGGTTTACTTCCAGATAGATCCAAAGCAAATCCTTCAGCCCCTGACGGTTCACGTGAAATATTGGAATCTGACTTTTCTAAACCCACATTATCCAGTGGTGGAGGCAAGCATTTGGATAATTCCAGAGCATACTGCTGAATGGCTAGTGTCTGGACACAATAAACCTGGACAATCTGTTCACCGTGAGGTGAAATACTTGTCCCAGTAAAACTCAAAATAGGCATGGTAACAGTAAATTCTGCAATATAATCCATGCGCGTTGCTGCTGGATCAGGACCAAATTCTAAGTGCACAGCATAAATAGCATTCTTCTTAGCATTTGCAAGAAGAAGGCCAGCCTGTGACAAAGCTATGACTTGATTAAAGAATGCCTCCTCAACTCGGGGTTCAGCAGAACTCTTCAGCTCTAATGTCTGGGTACATTTCCATGATTCAGCATCACTAGGAAGTAGCCAGCCTTCTTCACTCGCTGAGGACCAGATCTTCACTTCCCGATTAAGTGGCCCCTGTAGAACAATTTTATATAATTACTACAAAATATTAGAGCATTCATTTACCGAAAGTAGACTGTAAAAACACAACTACACCACCTTATCATACATGTAAAGAAATCAGAAATATTGAAGGAAAAGTGTATGGATGCATGCCAGCATATGCTCGTGAATTATAAACAATGATTATTTCTCTACCAAAATGCACCTCTGTGTAACACGGCTCTTCATATCCACAAGACAATCATAAATGATAGATACCTATCAATACTCAAACTGAAGTTGAAGTAGAGACACAATTCTCAGTGCCACTCTGGGCCCTCTACAAAGGTATGGGGAAGAAAACTGGATCACACTATAATGATTGAGGAAGAAAGCTGTTAAGAGTATAGCCGATATTTTTTAAAATTTACATAATGCAAAACCCAAGTAAAGCCGGTGGCTTTACTATTTTAAAAAGAAAAAATTTACCCGAGTATAGTCGTGCGGCTATAATGGATCGCCTAGCAGCTAGGCGTCCATGTGTGAAAACACGTATAGCCGAGCGACTAATTTAAACAAGCAAGAAGGCACCCAACCTACATACGACAAGTTGAGATGATTGTAGCAATCTAACGCAGAATGCCCATAACGTGCACAAACTAATTTTGAATAAATTTTGTTTTTTTTTTAAAAAGTCCACAAAATAATTTAAAATAATTAATTACTATTTATTAAGTCATTTATGAAATGATTAAAATATTTAAATATTTACCAAAGAAATAATACTTAAAACATAATCTATATATATAAAGCAAAAGGAACAGAACGGTGAAACATTCAAAATACAAGAAAATGCCCTTGGTTAATGCAAATATTAAGAATTGAAATTATTAATTAAATGAGGATAATATAGTAAATTCACACTTTTTCATATTAAAAAAATTAAAATTAAAAGAAAAATCAGATAATGGATCATATTTTTATGGAACACAACTACCCGTTATCTTTTTTATTCTAAAATAAAATTTAAATTAAAAAAAGCCTCTCGCATGCGCTTGCATGAGCAAATGCGCATGCGGAGAGGCTAGTTATTAATTAAGGTAATTAAGAAAGGTTAAGATTAATTACTTAATTACAATAATGAATTGCAATTAATTGAAAAAAAAAAAAAAAAAAAAAAAAAGAAAAAAACAAAAAATTTATATGTTGAAAATTCAAATTAAAATTTTTTTTTCTTTTAAAAAAAAGCGAGAAAACCTCTCTAGACGAATGTTCGTCGACACAGCTATATCTCAGCAAATTTTGCTAAATAGGACCTCTTCCGACGAAATTCACCTTTGCCGACGAACATTCGTCGAGAGAGATCTAATCCTGCAAATTTCGCTGGGATAGACCTGTGCCAAAGAGTAGTCATCGGGATAGGTTTAAAAAATTGGCCTAGGCGGCCTGGGCGGGTCAGGGTGGCGCTAGGAGGGTCTCGGCTGCACTAGGAAGGTCTAGGCGGCGCTAGGAGGGTCTAGGCGGCGCTAGGCGGGTCTAGGCGGCGCTAAGTGGCGCTAAGCGGGTCTGGGTGCCAGGGTGGGTCTGGTTCTTTAGGGTTTAGGGTCTGTGTGCCAGGGTTTCAAGCAAGAACTGTATCAGATGCACCGCCTTTTGACCCCAGCAATATTGTGTCATTGCAGACACATTTCTGCAGCCACTTTCTTTCAGTCTATTTCTTTCACTTCATTTTTTTTTAGTCTATTGATGGGATTCAAAATTATGGCAGCTCATGTTCAGCAAGTTTAAACTTCTTTGGAAATTGGGTCTGCAGATTTTTCTTCCTTCTCTTCTTCCCTCTATAAATTAAAGTGGCTTTGCTTCTGCTGAGCCACAGGCTGTTTCTGGGTTCTGCAGATTGTCCTTCTTTGACTGTAAGTTGCTATCTGATATCTTTATTACATTTTGTTTTGATTATGAGTTACTTAAGTTCAGTATGTTGAAAGAATGGGGTTGATTTGTTGTGGTTTTCTCATCATATGATTGATTTACTCATCTGGGTTCTTATTGTTATAAACTGATTGTGTCAAAGTTTCGTCCTTTTGAGTAGTATCACCTTAATAGTTTTGTTGCATAATTCAGGATTCGAAGAATTAATGGGTGATGTCTATATTGAAAATGAAATATCTGAAATGCCTCTCGCAGCGAGTACTTTTCAACTTTACGATTGTGCATTATTGCAAATTATCTCTACTTTTTCTGTATGTTTGTTGTATCTAACTTTCTTATTATTGATCAAGATTAGCTAAGAAATTATAATTAGCTTATTGATTTTTTTATTTCTTTTTTATGTTATCCCACATAAGGAATAAGGTTATGGGGATTTGAAGTTTCAATTTGGCATCTTTAGTTTTGTCAGTTTGATTCAGACCTTGTGCTTAAAGATCTAATATAGGTCCTTGTATAGTCTGGGATTCTACTCATCAATGGATGACATTTTCACCCGTCTATTGAGACTGGCTAGTTATATAAGGCGTCGATTTATTCAATTTATAGGTGAGGTTCTTTCTACTATTCTTACATGTATGCACACTCATGCATCTTCTTATAATGTTATGGATGGATTTGGAAATGATGTTATTGCAGAGGATCTTGCGGTCAGAGATGCTGATAGATACTCAGATGATTTGCTGGTCATTTCTGCTGGACAGCATTTGTAAATCATTTGCTGAAGGTTGTTCATCATCTTCAAAACATTGTAACCCTGAAACCTGTGAAAGAAGATCCTCAGAGCCTACGGAAGATACAAGATCTGAAATTGTAGAAACCAATTTCAATTATACAGATGTCCCCTTCATTTTTAAAGGGTAGTACCGTTTTTTGCTACTAGCGTTCTTCAATATCAATCTTTGAAGACTTGAGTACGCATTAAAAAACTGAGGTCAGGCAACTAATCTAGTTTCATGAGAAAACATCGTGAGCCCATCTACTTTTAAGTGAACTGAATGATTAATTGTAATATTTAATCTTTTTCACCTCCTTCCCTTTCTAATTACAAGTGTTTAACAGAAGTATGACTTACTGTAACTGTTTTGCATTTCTCAAATCTCAATCAAGTCATCTCCATCGTTAGATTGGTGATGTTGCTTCATCTTGATGTAGGTTGACACTACCATTACACGGTTTACAATTTGCTTGGAGATTGGCAATTTCGTGTTGGAGAAGTTCTGTCGTGTACGTTAGATGTGCTCATCTTCGAATTTGTAGGTAAAAGAAGTATATTTATATTATGCAAACTGATGGACTCGTATTCCATAGAGTCTATGAATAGTTTCTTTTAGTTTTAGTTCAGATTGGATTCTGTTTTACTCAGTGCAAATAATTCATTGCTTTTAATTACAAGTCGTTGTTTCATTCTTTTAGGTGCTTATAGTTGAGCTTCATTTTTGCATTTGTCAACCTGGCATCTCGAGTACAGAAAACATTGCAAGGTTCATCTGACAATATTGGATGGTTGCCGCGCACTCCTGGCATGCCTGGTGTGGAGGATGGTACAGCACTTTAATTATAAGTTGTATTGATCAAATCCATTCACGCATCCTAAACCAGACAAAACTGATTAATCAAATATTCTCCCTGATTTAGATGAGAGTGCTCAATGGAATCAAATTGTTACAACTTACAACCATTTTCACTTATCATTCTTTTTAAGTTGGGAATGCTGTTGAAATCTAAGCCCGTGTACATCGTGAGAGAGAGAGAGAGAGAGAGCATTAAGAATGGAACGTTTAATATAAATTGCTTGGCCTGAAAAGGCATTCAGGAAATTAGTCCTTGTATTAGTGAATATACAAAAAAAATCTGATCATGAGTTACCAGGGTGTTACAGCACTGTACAACCAGTTGATTAGCAACAAACAAAGCAGTTAGAGACCAGCATCATCCTCCTCCACCTAAACTTTTTCCATTTACCTAAACTCTTTTTATATTACTTGGTTTCGGTTTTGATGATTTGCTAGCAGTATCAGACACTACCATCCAATCAAAATTCACTTCTAATTGGGGATTTTTAATATAAATGGAGACATTAATAGACTTTTCAAGGGGCACCAACTGCAGCTGGCCCAAAATAATAGCAAATAAGGTCTGGTTCCATATAGCAAGTGATTCAGCAACTTCAAAGATAAAAAGTGCATAAGCAAAAACATGTTTAAATGCAGGAGATGGAGCAAAATCAAGTGAAATGGCCTAAGGTTGCATGCACCCTATTAGTTAGTATTTCAGTACAAGATCATCAGACTAGGAAGGTTGATTCACTAGTGACCTGCCATATGACTGTGAAAACAGTGTAATCCTAATTAAACGCCAACCAAAAGCTCATTATCTTTCAATTTCGAACTAACTGAAGTCAGTTCCAGTACACCAACAGGTACCCTTCCAGGAGGTGGCATCCAGGGGTAGGCGCCAGGGAGCTAGGCGGCGTCTGGGCGCCCGCCTAGGCGGCCTAGGCGGCTCTAGGCGGCCCTAGGCGGGCCTAGGCGTCCCTAGGCGGCTCTAGGCGGGCCCAGGCTTCCCTAGGCGGCTCTAGGCGGGCCCAGGCTTCCCTCGGCGGCTCTAGGCGGGCCCAGGCTTCCCTAGGCGGCTCTAGGCGGGCCCAGGCTTCCCTAGGCGGCTCTAGGCGGCCCTAGGCGTCCCTTGGTGGCTCTAGGCGGCTCTAGGAAGGTCTAGGCGGGTCTAGGCGGCCTGGGCGGCTCTAGGAGGGTCTGGGTGGCCGTTTTGCCGTTGAGACGTGGACGAAGGGCGGTTGAAGTGCGCAGGATCCGCTGTTGTTAGGAAGAAAGACAGAGAGAGATAGAGAGAGAGATAGAGAGAGAGAGGAAGGAGAAGGCGGCGCTGGGAAGAAGAAGATATCTGACCTAATTTTTATATTTGAAACGTATAGCCGTTCGGCTACACTATTAATTTGATTTGAAGACAAAAAACACGGAGTACGAAGGCGCGGCCATAGTATTTTTATATAGTATATTTGAACAGTATAGCCGCCCGGCTGTACTATTCATTGGAATAAAATTATTTTAAAACGGATTACTCTTTTAATATGTGTTATCAGGAAGAGGGCGAATGCCAATGGTGATTGGATCAAGAACAAAGCAACTCTACATATACAAATCTGTCATTACCTATGCACAGGTAATATAATCTACGGATGAGTGAATAAATATGTATTTATTTCCACTAGTTGGCATTCATTAACTAAACCAACAGCCAGATTTACAATTCGTTTTGTTTTGTATTTGCTTTTTCATATTAGTTGTATTGTATCTTCAGACTTCACTAGTTTAGAGGCCAAAGACTGAAAAAGTCAACTAACAGTTCTATGCTCCCTTCAGCAAACAGAATTTTGTGGCTTTTTTACATGGACTAGGAGTTTCACCTTATTGTTGGTGATTGCCATTGATGACGTCAAGAAAAATGATCCATAATTACATGGATGAGTTTATTCTTTGGAATGGATGATGAACTTCATAGATCAAGTAAGAGGAGAGAAATTTGATAGGTGAATAGAGAGAAGATAATAGATCACTAGAACATGTAATTTTGTCACACTGGTTTTAGATTTGATGATGCCGAAAAGAAACGAAGAAATGGAGGCCCAAAACATAAAATCAACAGAAAAATGAAAAACAAAACAGTGCAAATGCCTTAAAGAATCAGTGCTTCATAAAGTCCACATTTATCCTTGCGGAGCGGTGTAGATGAGCAAGTTTACTTCAACCACACGATCGATTCTCCTTGTTCATTTTTGTATCAAGGAAAGTGCAAAAGGAAGATTAGGATAGCAGATTGGTTTCCTTGGACTTGTTGGGTCATTTTTACCATATCTTGCGGTATAATATTTGTTACCAATAAGATCAGAGGGCCAAATTTGAAATAATCCAATGTAAGCCAATGTCAATCCACAAACTAAAATGAACCTCCAAAAGCTCAATTTCTTTAGAGGACCAAAGCTGAAACCTTCATGCACTTTATTACCAAGGAAAACATTTGTAAGAGCGGTTTTTGACTCCAACGATGCCTTCACCAACTTCAAGCCCTAAGAAGCAAAAGCACAAACGAAATATGTACTATCAGAAATATGGCGCTTGCAATTTACACAGAGGTAGAACCGTTTAGGCACATTTCGAGTCATTGTTGGCTGGCAATTGAAGGATGTTAGCGCCAGAAGTTGTTGTCTTTTTCAGCAGGGAGTCTTTGTTAAGATTGGGTTGCATGTATGTGTCACTGAGATTTTAGAAAGAAGTCCTAAATTCAGGCAACATTGAGGACAGAGGAGAAGGGCAGCATATGCATAAGCGTTTATAAAAAGACCCATTTATAGGCTTAGAAAGAAGTCCTAAATTCAAAAAAATTCAAAAATGGAATGGTGATGGATCATGAAGTGGGAGGGTCACCTCGGACCCTGCATCATTCAACCACGAAGCCAACTCTGCAGGTACAAATCTGTCATTACCTACATGTAGGGAATATAGTTTACAGATGAGTGAATAAATGTGTCTTTATTACCAATATAACATTTCCATCAACTAAGCTACATTTCCAATTTCTTTTTGTGAAGCAATATACATCTTGTGAGACTAAGGTTATGGGGATTTGAAGTTTCAATTTAGCATCTTTAGTTTTGTCAGTTTGATTCACACCTTGTGCTCAAAGATCTAATATAGGTCCTTGTATAGTCTGGGATTCTACTCATCAATGGATGACATTTTCACCCGTCTATTTACACTGGCTAGTTATATAAGTCGTCGATTTATTCAAGTTATAGGTGAGGTTCTTTCTACTATTCTTACACGTATGCACACTCATGCATCTTCTTATAATGTTATGGATGGATTTGGAAATGATGTTATTGCAGAGGATCTTGCGGTCAGAGATGCTGATAGATACTCAGATGATTTGCTGGTCATTTCTGCTGGACAGCATTTAAGATCATTGAGAAACGGCATTTGTAAATCATTTGCTGAAGGTTGTTCATCATCTTCAAAACATTTTAACCCTGAAACCTGTGAAAGAAGATCCTCAGAGCCTACGGAAGATACAAGATCTGAAATTGTAGAAACCAATTTCAATTATACAGATGTCCCCTTCATTTTTAAAGGGTAGTACCGTTTTTTGCTACTAGCGTTCTTCAATATCAATCTTTGAAGACTTGAGTACGCATTAAAAAACTGAGGTCAGGCAACTAATCTAGTTTCATGAGAAAACATCGTGAGCCCATCTACTTTTAAGTGAACTGAATGATTAATTGTAATATTTAATCTTTTTCACCTCCTTCCCTTTCTAATTACAAGTGTTTATCAGAAGTATGACTTACTGTAACTGTTTTGCATTTCTCAAATCTCAATCAAGTCATCTCCATCGTTAGATTGGTGATGTTGCTTCATCTTGATGTAGGTTGACACTACCATTACACGGTTTACAATTTGCTTGGAGATTGGCAATTTCTTGTTGGAGAAGTTCTGTCGTGTACGTTGGATGTGCTCATCTTCGAATTTGTAAGTAAAAGAAGTATATTTCAATTATGCAAACTGATGGACTCGTATTCCATAGAGTCAATGAATAGTTTCTTTTAGTTTTAGTTCAGATTGGATTCTGTTTTACTCAGTGCAAATAATTCATTGCTTTTAATTACAAGTCGTTGTTTCATTCTTTTAGGTGCTTATAGTTGAGCTTCATTTTTGCATTTGTCAGCCTGGCATCTCGAGTACAGAAAACATTGCAAGGTTCATCTGACAATATTGGATGGTTGCCGCGCACTCCTGGCATGCCTTGTGTGGAGGATGGTACAGCAAGATTCTTGGAATTGCTTGCAGGAATAAGGTACCAAGCTAATATAATAGCTCCAATGCACTAGATGGTTGGGCCTGTTAAGGAACTGTGTTTAATTTTGTTATCATATCTGTTTAGTCTATTCTTGTACATTCCTATTGCTTGTATGTCATGCTATATACTTCAGGAATGGGGAACACACGTTGCCTAGCTCATTTGTCTATCTGCTTATTCCGGGTAAAGAAAATTTATTTTTTCCCTTTGGACTTTGTTCTTCTCCCCTGTTCAATCCACATTTAGCGTTGTGGCACCTATAGTTACGGGAACTTTGATTTTCCAGGCCTCTTTAGCAATCACGGCCCCTTATACTTTGTTGGAACAAAGAAATTCTTTTTGAAGATGGGTCTAGCTTGCCATATTGCAAAAATTCACAGTGAGGTAATGAGTCATTACTCTGTGATCATTGCTGACTGGGTTTTGTGAAATTTGTCTTCCCTTTTCATATGTTTTCTTGGATGAAGGCATCTGTTGAGCACAATGCATCGGTAACTCAAGCAGTACATTGAGGAGCTTTAATGGGGATCCAGTAAGCGTGTGATGCTGCTGGGGCACAGCAAGGGCGGCGTTGATGCTCCAGCTGCATTGTCAATCTACTGGTGTGATTTGAAAGACAAAGTTGCTGGTTTAGCACTGGTCCAGAGCCCCTACGGTGGCACGCCCTTGGCTTCTGATATTCTCCGTGAAGGCCAGATTGCAGACAAAGAAACCCGCAGGATCATGGAACTTTTGATATGCAAGCTAATTAAGGTAATAGCACCAATGCCTGAGCTTGATGAAAGTCCTTTGTGTATGTACTAAACAAGTGGAGAATTATAAGTTGTGTTTGGAAACATCTCAATTCATATTTGCATTGTAGGGTGACATTCAGGCACTGGAGGATCTTACTTATGAGAAGCGAAAGGAGTTCATCATGAAGCACAAGCTGCCATATGAGCAAATTCCTCTGGTTTCCTTCCACTCTGAGGCAAGCATAGCCCCTGATATGTTTGCCACAATGACACATATAGCACATGCCGAACTTCCCTGGCTGCCCCTACCAAATTTTGGAACTCAGGAAGAGTCAGATGAAATCGTTCAAGCAGGACGCCAGCTGCTTGTAGTGATTCCTTTATCTGCTGCAATGGCTGTGACTGCACTTCATCTACAACTCAGGTACGGGGAGAAGAGTGACAGATTGGTGACATGCTGTGACGCTCAAGTTCCAGGCTCGGTTGTGGTCGCACCGGACAGGAAGCTTGACCATGCCTGGATGGTTTATTCCACAAGGAAAAAGAATCCTAGTGATGCTGATGCCTCAGAAATGTGTGAGGCCATTTTAACTCTGCTTGTAGAGCTTGGAAAGTTAAGAGGGAAAAAGCTAGGAAATTAATCCATCCATCATACAATTTGTTTGCTTCCCATTTGTTTAATTTGGTTTGTTAAACAAAATATTCAAAAGTGATCAATTGCAGAATCTCATTCGAATGGAAGAATAAATTCATAAGGCCCAAAACAATCTGGCAGGTCCAATTAACAAAAAAAATCTGCAAAGTCCATGAACGTCCCAACCATGTGGTGTACCCGGAATATATACAAATTTCTCTAGCTAAAGACCCTTAAATCTTCTTAATTGAATTAGCAACCAACTAGCCAACTACCCATAAATTCACAATAAAATTGGACTCTAATTTCTCTCATATTATAAGAAGAAAAAGTAAACAATTTGTCTGAATTTTTTTTTCTGCATTTTTTACGAACAATGCATGCATGAAGGTGCAACATTAAAAGTCCATGATATGTTGCCATGCCATAAGGTGGAAAAAACCTCGTTAGTAGCAATATATCTTTGCCCTGAGATAATAAAAATGCAGAGCAGGGCCAAATGCCAATTCTGAAACTAAGAGAATCCAATAACTTCTTTTTTTAAAAGCATGGGTGACACATGGATTGCATGTGAATGAGATAGAAGAGGAATACAGCAACAGCATTTATATTTTTTATGGTCAAATTCAAGAAATTATCTGTTGGCTCCACATAAATTTAATGGCTCAAATGTTGGGTCCTGCTCTGCACATTGCACAACTACTTCTCAAACGTGCACTTCAATCCACATCCATGTTATTAAAACTATTCAATCAGATGACCTCTGTTTTCTTTTCTTTTCATTTTTCTGGGCTCTTCAAATGGCTTGCTACTCAATCACTTCGGTGCTGGAGTGAGAAACACCTCCTTGCTTTTTAGAACTCCATGAAATTAAATTAGACCCAAGATACAAGCAGTAGCCACCCATGGAGTGACGAAGCCATTAAAGGACAGGGAACCAGGTTATAGAGATGAGATCTGATAAACAGCACAGAAAATAGATCAGTGCTTCATGTAGCTCTTCATGCTCCAAGGGATGCAGTCTTGTTTACTATTTAGTGTGAGTTTCCTTGTGAAAATGATTAAGCTTTCTTTGGAATAAACTTTGTGTAGTGTTCTCTGGTTTGATTACATTTTGCAGATCCAGAGGCTATCGAAATAGCAAGGGGAAGGCAACTGCATTTGTAAGTACTTACGTATCAATTTTTAAGTGATTATTTTCCAGTTCTCTATATCAATGAATTAAGAGCCGGTAAGATGCTAATGGTATGAATCCATGTCTTGAGGCTTTTGAAGTGATTTCCCACTACTGCTGTCAAGCATTGTGGATTAGCTTTCTTTTAGCTCCTTCATTTTAGGACCTACCTGATTGAAACAATGAGATTGTCTGTGTTCATGAGTTTATTTTAGTGGCATAGTTCTTGAAGGAGGGATGCATTCATCTGTTAAAGACATGTAGAGAAGTATTTTGAATTTGATACAGCACATAGGATTTTTGGACATGGCATGCTTTTGCTTATGCTTTCAAATTTTCTTTGTTTTTTATTTTTGAAAGCAATCTGTATTCTGTGTGTTTGGTTGTAGTTGTGGTGGTTGAAGAAACATAGCCCATATTCAGAGACTATGTTAGATGCATTCTCTGTGTATGCTGTTTAAATATATTATTTGAGGCGTACAGCCGAGCGGCTATACGCTTATTATTTAGGGAGTATAGCCGATCGTCTATTTATTATAAAAAAAAAAAAAAAAAAAAAAAAAAAAAAAAAAGAAGGGTAGCCGCCTAGCCCGCCTAGGCGGCCGATGTTTCGAAAACTTGAATGGCGTTTTTTTATTTTGGATTTCTTCTTTCCTGGCGGGTTTGGCATCTCTGCAAATACATCAAGCTAGGGTTTTAGTGACTATAATGAAGACACCACATCAGGTTGAGGGGGAAAATCTGAGGGAGAAATGTTTTTTTGAAGAATTAAACTTAGTTTACCTAGACTGCAAAATGGTTTTTTCTTTTCATTGCTCATAACTTGGACTCCAGTTCTTCAGTTAACTGCATCTAGAATATTGGTTTTGATCATTATTTCGTCCCTTTCAATCATATTTCAATGCATTCAGATGTTGAAGAACTGTTCAACGAGCATAGAGATCAATTTTCTCCGATATAAGCAGTTGAGTCAGTGCAAAACTATGAGGGACAGCAGCGTAAGTTATGCATCTGCGGCAGCAAAGGTAGATGCTTAAATATGTATTCTCCTTTGAGACATCCAGCAATTAAATTCTCGTCAAATTGACCGTAATGTGTAACTCAAGTAAATATGCATTTCATGAACCCTCATAGGGTTCCCCTGCTTGTAGATTGACATTAATAATGGATGCCCTCTGATTACTTATTAGTTGCAGATCAGATCATGTATTGGGTTATCTTCAATTTCTCTTAGAGATTCAATCCCGCTCTTTTCTTCTTTGTCGTCTATAATTTTTGGCTTGACCAGAATGAAATTGTGAAAGAGAGATTGGTGGGTTTTGGCTCAAAAATGACTGTTGAAATGTGGTCAAGATCATCATAGAGAGAGACCAAGTGCGCAAGAAAGAATACTTGAAACTTAAAAGAAATAATGGCAGCAAATTTTCCAAGAAACTTCTGAATTTATTTTGTGGATCCATAACATTATTGATTTTAGATTTATAAAATTTGCTGCCGCAAATGCCTAAAACTACATAGCATACATTATCTAGAGATGAGTTATTATTATGTTTAGGCCTATATTATCTAGAGATCAGACGCCAAGGACGATGCCCTCGGATTCCACAGGCTCGCAGCTCTCCAACTTGCTGCCAAGTCAACCAACGGCAAAAATACCCCATTTATCTTCATCTTCCAGACGCTCAAGGACATGGACTCGCCATTGGAGAGCCCCACAACAAACTGGGCTGCTTTGCTTTTCATGGATGCGCCGCCATAACAAGTGGATACACCAAAATGGCATGAGCCGCATTTGTGTAGACCAGCCTTGATATTTGCGTTGCCAGAGACAAAGCTAGTGAGAAGCTACCGAAACATTTTAATGGCAAAATCTGAAACTTAAATATTAGATGTTCCCATGCAGAGCTGGGTCATGGCATGTGCAGGCTATGCGACCGCACAGGGCCTCCAAATGTTTTTAAAAGCTCAGCATTATATTATATATTTTCTGCTACTTTTTGTTTTAAGTAAATTTTTATTCCAAAACATTATTGTTTGTTCCTAACGTGCATTATTTTTGTTCCAAGCATTAACAAATTAAAAAAAATACTCGTGAGTGATGGATGTGTGCGACATGCTCTCCTTGCTATTCCCAAATCGCTTTTCTTTCATTTGGTCCCTTCTTCCCAACTTCTTCTTGACTCTCCCGCAAGGGCGGAGCCACAGAGGCGCAAGGAGGTGCAGGTGCACCTCCTCTCGCAGGAAAATGGGTTGGAGATGCAGGAATTTGCCCCTTTGCTTGTGCCCTCCAAGTGTTCGATTAAAAGCCTCAAAGGTGCCGTTTTGTTGCTGCTGTGTGAGACCCTGAATATTTACCTTAGATTGTTGAGCTCGATCTCACGATCACGTAGGAGAAAACGGTTCATCAATTGGACCTCCACAACCAAAGTTATAGATTTTAGAAGATTTTGAAAAAATTTCACTTAAGTTGCAGACACAATCAGCCGAAGAAGAAGATGACTTGTGTTTGTAGTTAGAATCCTGTGCTTCTCAACTTGCATTCCTTTTTAATGTGGTCTACTATCAGGGCGCCATGTGTCAAATTTTAATTAGACCAAATTTAGAAATTCATTAAAAATTCATATGTTCTCCAAAAAATTCACCGAAAAATACCCCAAACTCATAATCACATCTACTTTTATCTTGTGACCTCCAAATCACATGTACTTTGGGTTAGATTAATTGGTATTGATTTTGGTTAGATTAATGGATGATTTCATATGAATTTTGATAGACTAATTGTGTAATTGACATGCATTTTGTTCATATTTGATATTAATTTTGGTAAATAATTGTGTAACATGAATTTTGTGCATTTAATTTATATGGAAAATAGATTATAGTCAATTAGGCTTAGACGTAAAAGTCTTATTTATTTTAATTATGGATAATATTAGTGTTGTTTAAATTGTAAGGCTATTTGGTTATTATTATTATTTTTTCGGATGTTTTAGCCTTTTAACATTGCCCCTTCCCTGAAAAATTCCTAGATCCGCCACTGCTCTCCCGTCCGAAAAAAATTATTCTTTACTCTTTGGCAAGGCAAAAAGCGTGTTATGCATCTCCGCTCCTCCATCACCTCTCTCTCTCTCTCTCTCTCTCTCTCTCTCTCTCTCTCTCTCTCCTCTCTCTCTCTCCTCTCTCTCTCCTCTCTCTCTCTCTCTCTCTCTCATATTAGAATTTAGAAATTATGTGTTGCATTTGGAATTAGCCATCATATAATTGCAAGAAAAAACCTAAAAAAATATGGTGAATCTCTATCCCTGAAGAAAAATTTGAAATTTTTTATACAAATTTATAAATAAACTCAATCCTAGACATGTATTTATAAAAAAAAACCCAAGTACTATTTAAACATAGAAACACACCCAAAGTCAACTTTTTGGGTATGTTTATAAATGGGTTTTGAGTGTGTGTAATGATGGGTTTTTGGTGTGTTTATATGTTTAAATAGTGCTTGGGTTTTTTAATAATTTCAACCCCCATTTTGGGTGTTTTAGTGAAACTCCCAAATTTTTATTTTACTTATGCATATTGGGCCTCATCAGCTCTCTTCGCACAAGGCCTCCATATCTAATGGACTGGCTCTGTTCCCATGCTTAGGCATTCTCCAACCCAATCGGGGCTAAACTTAAATTTTCACCCTCCAAAATACAACTATTCATATATTGTCTGACTCAAAATTTGACCCCACACCCTTATTAAATTGTTAAAGAATGGTTTAACTCTATATATTTTTTGGGTTAATTTTTCTTAAGTTAATTTTTGTTTATTATTCCGTGATTTATTTTTATGAACATTTTGACATAAAAATAATTTAAATTTTAGAAAAATATATTTTGCCTATTTCAGAACACATTCACATTTGTTTCATATATGACTTACAAAAAGAACTAATAATTAATATGTGCAACCAGCCCATTTGAAAACAGCCATTGGATTGCTACATATACTTTGTTGTGTGCTTGACAGGTGGCGCATGTGGCATGGGAAGTGGACGACAGCCTTGGCCCACCTCTGATGGTCCTTCACGTGGCTCATTGGTTGTTAGGGATGGCAAAAATTCCCACAGGGACGGGTCTCTATCAAGTCCTCAACCTTAACGATGGGAGATTTCGGGGCGAAATGAGTATCGAAGACAGGGATCTCCGAATTTGAAAAATCCCCAATGGGTATGGGGAGGGAATGGTATTGGCATCCCCATTCCCCATACCCGAACCCGAACCAGAAAATATATATTTATATTTAAATAATTAATTAATTAATTAATTATAATATTTATCTTTAACCCTACGTTAACCTCCCTCTCCTAATTCTTCCTAATCTTCTCTAGAATTTCATATTTATGTAATTTTGAATAGTTGAGTTGAATTTTATAATTAATTTGGATGTTTTGAATGATAATTTAATATGAAACTTAATGTTAAAATGTCTGATAAATATTTTTCATGCAAAAAAAATAGGGAATTCGGGGCGGATATAGGGGATAGTCCCCTGACGAGGAAAGGGACGGGGATTCCCTGGAACCTATTAAACAGGGATGAGTTTAGGGACGAGAGCGGGGACAGGGATGGTATTGTCATACTCGGCCCCTACTCGACCCTTTGCCATCCCTAGGCCCTAGGCCTGCAAAGAGCTACTAGAGCGAAATGCAGCCCGGGCAACAGGTGGGGGCCACCAACCCGGGCAAGCCCAAAAGCAAATCCTGCCCTTGTTATTGCATGAGGGTTGGTGACGTCATAGCTAACACCAGTCACTGCAAGATTTTGAATTTTTTTTTTACCATTAGTGTGTGACATAAAAAGAATATGTACGTTATAGTGAGAACTTAGCTAAGGTCAACATTGTTTATTGATTGGCCTCTTGTGAAGTTGTGTCAAACCATGAATTCTTGGTTTTAATTTCATGCCAAATTGTCTCTTTATTTCTTTTGGTCGGTTAATATATCTTTGTACCCTTTACACTTTGTTTAATCTTCTATCAGAATACATGCATTTGATTTCAGAATGACTTTTTTTCCACTACAAGTATATTTGATCTGGCTAGAGATTTTACTTGATTTTTACAGTTTTCCTAGAAGAATAGTATTGCTAAAACACTTCTAAAGCACTTTTAGTCTTTTCAGAAGCACTCCCAAACATATTCTATGGAAAATGCATATAACTCAATCAAAACAAGTTCTCTTGGTATCATAAACCCAGATCAAAACCGATCTGCCAATCTGTTTGTTGTCAGCTATCATAATCATTATCTTTGAGAGCATTCTCATTCAATACTTAAGCTTACTTGAGAGGCAAGAAACAATGTGGTGGAACATAGACTTCCCGGAACTGAATTTCGCCATATGACATCTCACGAGCCTTCAAAGGTGCAAACTTTGACTTGGGTGGCAAGGAACCAGATGCTGCATCTGCTGCAGTTTTAAGCGTGCTGACTATGACCCTTCAAACATTAGAAGAGTTGCTCTGCGGACTGGGCAATGGCGATCAGGGATAGATAGCTAACCAGCATAAAGTCTATATCTTTTTTGTTATTTGATACAAGTCCTTAAGGTCATCAACCCTTGTATTTGTCTCAACACAGGAAGAAGCACCTTGAAGACCTCTTTAAAATGTAAGCATTTTGATGATATAACGTATCAACTGGATACCAAAATGAACCTGTCACTCAGGAGCATAGTCTAAAATGAAACAGAAAAATAAATATGAATGCAACTCAAACGAAATGTTTACATAAAAGGGAAATTCTTACAAGATGTCACGTCTAATCAAGTTACAAAAATACCTAGAACCTTTGTAGAGCCACACACATCCTCCGAAGACTCAAAACTATAATTGGCTGTAACAAATGCATTACTCAAGACAAACTCTCTAAGGTATCACAGACTAAAATCAAAACCTTTCTGCCAATCTAGCAGTAACTGCTCTTAATTTTGAATACACTTTTCCAGCAGGGGACCCCAAGATAAGGCTGCAAAGAGAATCCCTTGCAACTTTAATATTTGCAAAAGAGCCTAGTATGTGAATCTTGGTATCAGCAATCACAATCCTCGTCTTTGTAGCATTCTCGATGGCAAACTTTGTTTTACCACCTTTACCGGACAGTCTTCCTATAGCACGAGACAAGTGCTCCCCACGAAGTGTTTTAACATCCTTGATCTCAAAAGACTCCACATACAGCTCATCCATACGCAAAAGGGCAATTGCATCTATGACATCAAACCCCAGCATGAAAGCCTGAACAAAATCAGAGCACTTCTGTAGATTACTCACGTCAGGTGTGTCAGCTCTAGTCTTTAACTCAACTTTGCGACCCTTGAGATTCATACGAATGTCTATCTTCATCTGCTCGTATACTGGGGTGTATATGTCCATCCATACTTTCTTGAGAGGCGAATATCGATGTGGCGGAACAGAGACTTTCCGGAACTGCACTCGACCATCTGACATCTCATGAGCCTTCAAAGGCTCAAAAATTGGCTTTGGTGGCAAAGCCGCAGATGCTGAACTTGGTTCAGATGGAACTGCTTCGACTTCCATGGAAACAGGAGCCTCATTGGACTGCATTTTTAACTGCTCTGACTTTTGGAACCTTCAAATATTAATCAAAATTTGTTCAAATAGGAGCATAAAATCAGAAATCATATTTACCAATCCCTAAAAATATATATATATATATATATGTTCTCACAATAAACATCTACTCTAATTCTAATTAAGCTTTATATCAATAAAAATATACAACACAATACAAACTATCCCTGCCTTGTCTCAGAGAACTGAAACAGAGCTGGTCTCACAATTACAACCTCAACTGAAATATCCACAGCCTAAGATGCAATCATAAACTACACAGATGCTTCATGGACTTTAAATTTCACAAAGTGCTTCAATAAACCCTGCTTTAAACTTACTCCAAATGAAAGGAAAATTAAATTCCGTCTCAAGTGACAAAAATTTCCCAATTTAATCATAGGTGCCTGAAAAAAATCTTATCGAGCTCGGAAATAGAACAAGCATCAAAATTGGCAGAGACCCAAATGAAAAACACACACAAAATTTTGTAAAATTCAACAAAGATACAAAGATCAACTGCATTTTTAACATACCCACAAAAACTTAGGTCACGAATAGTCTAATTTCATTACGCTGAAGAAATGTTGCAGAAAAAATTAAACCTTTATGATAAAAAGAGAGTACCTGGTGTGTGATGTAAGTAAATTTTGACCTCCCTCTCTCTTCCTCTGCGTCTTCGTCTATGTGTGAGAGAGAGGGGCACGAAAGAAGAAGAGAGGGATAGCTAGAGTTTTGCTTTTATTATTTTCTAAATAGTGATTTGGGTTCATTTTTTGGTCGGACTGATTGTCCATGGATTGGGCCTTATTAGTTTTTATAAGATTGGGCCTTATTTGTTGTTATGTAAAAGTGAATTGTAAAATATTCATAATCTTATTATTTATGTGCACATTAAAAGTATTATTAGGGGAGGTAATTTAAAGACGCGACCTCTTTGAGTGTGAGGATAATATTTTTAATCACTTGAACTCATATAAGATTAGGAATTGTTCTTGTAATTATATTTGCATTACAATTGTTATTTGGTTGTAAAACTAGACTATCGAGTGATTCATTACATATATCGTCACGCAACTAAAGATCACAGTCAGCCCTAGCAAGAGTCCCATTAACAGCCATATGGACTGCAAAATTTGCATCAACGTGTTACGTGGCCACATTAATTATCATTAAAGTCATGTGCATTATATTGGACTACTGACCATGTCTCAATCTGCCTGGCAATTGCTTGTGAAAAGGCCAAGCGTGTTGTGACATGAATTCCAACTAGGCTCTGAGGTGTTTTTATGCATTATCCCAGTTGCGCCGCGTATACATTTCTGAATTCTTTATGATAAGTTGGCTGCAATTTTGAGTTTCCACGTCAGATCCACGTATTTCCAGCTGAAGCCTACGTTGTATCCTACGATCAAATTCAGAGCCCTTACCTACCAAGACTGAGCTGTCCTAAAGTTATTGGGTACAAATTAGTGACATTCTATCCAGCCATTCATCACATGCCGCGTGGTAGGGTTCATGTGACCTTGAGCTCATTGGATAACTTGCCTATTCTCTTTCTCTCAGAATTTTGTTGTTGTTGAATTTGGACTCTTCAACCTTAAAAACCGCTACTTTTGCATGCGCCGCCGGGAAGTCACATAATTGGTCATACGAAGTAGATATTTTTCACAAAATAATCTAGTGCTTCTCGTGTGCATCGACGTGGATCAATACCAATCACAACCGTTGCTCAATCTGCAGGCCAACTCCAACTATTCTGATCAACCACATCCCCAAAAATGGCGAAACCCAATTGATCTCTTGAAACCAACCATCACTCAAATTCACATGCAGCATAGAAGAACTAGATTATATCATTATATGACAAAAAATTTCTGATTCAGCAGGAGGGTGGCCCCCACCCATACATCTGACGGCTAATAATCAAAGAGTGGCTAATTGGCAGGTGGGTTCGCATGCATTCGATGTAATTACGGTCCAAAAAAGGCCTAACTTTATGTCTGTCAAAAAAATGAAAAAGTTATCCAATAATACAACTCCATCAATTTTTTTTCTTCTTATTTTATAGGAATAAATTGTTTTAAATTGATATAATTTGCAGAGATAAGATTCGACATTGGATGCAAAGGGCGTGGGTTTTTTTATTTTTTATATATGTTTAAATTATTTTAAATTGATCTAATTAACGTAAAATGAGATTCGAACTTGACCACAAAGAGTGATTACACTGAAGTGGCTAAATGGAAAAGTGATCCAATAATACAACTCTATGATTAAAAATATGACAGACATCATGTTACAGCAACGCATACCAGATATAAATTAGGGAGGCTTTAGAAAAGACCAAAAGTATTTTTGTTTACGTGGACACAACAACCGAGGAGGGGCTTTTCCCGGTTTCCACGGAGTCCCTAGATTGCAAAATTCAAATTTGCACAACTCCTTTTCAGTTAAACACGACAGTTTCTTCCCGGGCTATAAATACCCCTCTAGTTTTATCTGTCTTCGTAACCACCCTGCAATCCAATTGCATTATTGCTGTTGGGCAGGCTTTATTTTGTTGTTTCACTCAGATTTCTAGTCTAGTTTTTGGTTGAGTTTTTGCAGCAGAGGAGGAGGAGGAAGATCAAAGATGACGGTTGGGGCTGGAATTTGTGTTGAAGATGGGAACTTGATGGTGTTGGGGAACAAAGTGTTGTCTGATGTTCATGACAACGTTGTTGTTACTCCAGCCTCTGGTGGTGCACTGACCAATGGGGCTTTCATTGGGGTCCAATCTGATCAGATTGGTAGTCGCAGGGTCTTTCCAATTGGCAAACTCGAGTAAGTTTTTTTTTTTAAATCTTCATTTTCATTTTTTTTATTATTGTTATTTGCAATGTGGACAAGTGTTGTAATTTGAATTTGTGGCTTGATTGTGTGTTCAGGTTAATGCAATTAGCAAACTTGAATGAGTTTATCTTCTTTTTCACTTGTGATTTCAATGTGGTACGTGGATTTGTGGCTTAATTTCATGTTGATGTTAAAGTATGTGATTTTTTGTGTGCAGTGGATTGCGTTTTATGTGTGTTTTTCGGTTTAAACTATGGTGGATGACGCAGAGGATGGGCACAAGTGGCCAAGATGTTCCCTTTGAGACTCAGTTTTTGATTGCTGAGACAAAGGAGGGTTCTGATTTTGGTGAAGGAAGTAAAGATGGGGTGGATCAATCTGCAGTTTATACAGTTTTCCTACCAATTCTTGAAGGGGACTTCAGGGCTGTTCTTCAAGGGAATGAACTTAATGAGATTGAAATCTGCCTAGAAAGTGGTAAGTGAAAAGGAGAAAGATTTTGAATTTTTGGTTGGTTCAAAATCTTTTTGTTCTTTCAGAAGCATTTTTGGTTGGTTCTGAGATTATGAAAATTCTGGGTTTTGTAGGAGATCCTGCTGTTGATGGGTTTGAGGGTAATCATTTGGTTTTTGTTGGAGCCGGATCGGACCCATTTGATGTCATCACAGATTCTGTGAAGTAAGTTCAAGCTGTTATTTCGGCTCATGGTCTTATAATTTTAAGAAGGAAACAAAAAATGGAAATTTCCAATAGAACCATTTTTAGGACAAAGATATTGAATTGGGACTGTCACAGGAGTTTCTTAATACCATTTATGTGTGAAGGGGTTTTCAGTTGACTTAGTTTTATTTTTAACTATACACAGGACTGTGGAAAAACATTTACAGACATTTTCTCATCGCGAGAGGAAGAAGGTAATTTGATTTTTTTTTTTCCTCAGTTCCTTAAATTGTGGATTGAATTTGTCTTTTCTTTTTTTCCAGAAAGAAAGTGAATATATTTATTTGTTTGATCATTTCTAAATTACTTACGCTTTATTTTACAGATGCCAGACATGTTGAACTGGTTTGGTTGGTGCACATGGGATGCTTTCTACACTGATGTGACTTCAGAGGGCCTGAAGCAAGGATTACAGAGGTACTGATTTTCTCATTGTGGACAGTATCTTCAATGCTCGATGTGAGCATTATGCAGACGGTCACAACTGTGTTGTCTTTTTGCAGCCTAGAAGATGGTGGAGTACCTCCAAAGTTTGTTATCATTGATGACGGATGGCAGTCAGTCGGCATGGATTCCTCTGGTATTGGATATGAAGCTGATAACGCAGCAAAGTGAGCACTTTGGTCCACAGTACTATCATTTTGATGTTTTTTCACCTTTATGTGTTGATTGGCTTATAGGTTTTCTTACATAATTACGTTTGTTATTTTCTTGTTTTTCAGCTTTGCAAACAGGTTAACAAACATAAAAGAAAACCACAAATTTCAGAAGGATGGTAAAGAGGGTCACAGAGTAGAGGATCCTGCTTTGGGCCTTCGCCACATTGTTACTGAAATTAAAGAAAAATACGCTTTGAAGTAAGTCATAATATTCGAATTTTCTGACTTTGGCTGTGATAATCATTTAGTTGATTAGCGATTAATTCTGTTTGTTTCTCAAATTTTCAGGTATGCTTATGTGTGGCATGCTATAACTGGATATTGGGGTGGAGTTAGACCTGGTGTTACTGAAATGAAACACTACGATTCCAAGTTGTCCTACCCTATTTCATCTCCAGGAATTGAGTCTAATGAGCATTGTGATGCCTTGAAAAGTATCACCACAAATGGGCTTGGCCTTGTGAATCCTGAGAAAGTTTTCAACTTTTATGATGAACTGCATTCTTATCTCGCATCAGCCGGTATTGATGGAGTCAAAGTTGATGTTCAGAACATTCTTGAAACTCTAGGGGCAGGCCATGGTGGAAGGGTGAAACTTTCAAGAAAATACCATCAAGCATTAGAAGCATCTATTGCTAGAAACTTTCCTGACAATGGTATCATTTCTTGTATGAGTCACAACACAGATGGTTTATACAGGTAAAAATTTGTGTCAGATCTGTCTGTTCAATAGTAGCTCTTGTTCTATCCTGTGAATTATCAACTTTAATGATATGGTATGGCCTTAAATTTTTTAGTGTGAAGCGGACAGCTGTTATAAGGGCATCAGATGATTTCTGGCCTAGAGATCCAGCATCCCACACAATTCATATTGCATCAGTTGCTTATAACACTGTTTTCCTCGGGGAGTTTATGCAGCCAGATTGGGATATGTTTCATGTAAGCAAGCAAACTCTAATCTGTTAGTTTGAAATTCAAGTATTCACTTATAGTTTTTTTCATTTTTGCATTTTCGGATTCTTATTTTGGAATTGTTCTGAATGTTAGAGCCTGCACCCGATGGCTGAATATCATGGAGCAGCTCGTGCAGTCGGAGGATGTGCAATTTATGTTAGGTATGGTCTTCGGTTATGAAAATATGCCAGTTTCTGATGTGAAAATGATCAACCAGACAAAGGCAATTAATAATGGTGTATCTATATGTGATGCAGTGACAAGCCTGGGCAGCATGACTTCGATCTTCTGAAGAAGCTCGTACTTCCTGATGGCTCTATCTTGAGGGCTAAACTTCCAGGAAGACCAACAAGGGATTGCTTATTTTCTGATCCTGCCCGGGATGGGAAAAGGTTCAAAAAATATTTTGTCCGTTGATTCTTATCACCATTTTTTTGTGGTTTCATTTTTTCAAAACAATGCCGTTTTTCTGATTTAAATCTTGGTATTGTAGTCTTCTGAAGATATGGAATCTGAACGATTGTACTGGAGTTGTGGGGGTCTTCAATTGCCAGGGAGCTGGGTGGTGTAAGGTTGGGAAAACAAACCTCATCCATGACCTAGAGCCGGGAACAATGACTGGGGTTATTAGGGCTAAAGATGTTGCTTATCTGCCTAAGGTTGCAGATGATAAATGGTCTGGGGATGCTGTCATATTTTCTCATCTTGGTGGTATGTATAGCATTTTGATTTGGCTCTTGTACTGCATGTTTTATTAGTAGACCATATAGTTCTCAAGTAAACTAACCAAATTCATTGATATAAATTGCAGGAGAGGTGTCCTATCTTCCCAAGGATGCATCCATGCCAATAACGCTAAAATCCCGAGAGTACGAAGTTTTCACAGTGGTTCCTGTTAAGGAATTGTCCCGTGGTGGTGTAAAATTTGCTCCCATAGGCCTAATCAAGATGTTCAATTCTGGGGGAGCCATAAAAGAGTTTGAATCTAACACAAGTACAGCAGTTGTTCTGAAAGTTTGCGGATCTGGCGTTTTTGGAGCCTATGCATCAGCTCGACCCAAGAAGATAACAGTTGATTCAGAGGAAGTAGAGTTTGGATATGAAGACAAATCTGGTTTGGTCAGCATTGCTTTGAGAGTGCCAGAGAAAGAATTGCACCTTTGGAACATAACCATTGAGTTTTAAAGATCATATGTATGAATTATGAGTTGTTGTAGTATGAGTGTTCTGTTAGGAGCTTCTGTAGAAGAAAATGGTTGTAGCTTGTAGTTGTGTTGATTACACTGGGAGAGAAATGCAGTCTGCCATTATGCCTGCATGGCTTGTAGTTGTATTAATTAAAACTGGAAGAGATGCAGTCTGCCATTGTTGCCTGCATGGCTTATAGTTGTATTCATCAAAATTGGGAGAGAAATGCAAGTTTCCATTTATTTATGAGCCTAAGGTTCCTTTTTCTCTTTGTTCACTTTTTTCTGTTTTTTGTTGCACATATCTGTGACAATATGAATATATTGTATACAGAAAGAAACCCCCACACACACATACAGACACAAACAAGCAGGATCTAACTATATTTCCAATAACTTTCTAGGTATCTCCTTATTACCAATCAAATTATTATTATTATGTTGGAGTGATGCAAGTTGACCAGCTTAACTGTTAAAGAAAATCGAAGGAACCATTCCAAAAACAAAAGGCTAGATAGAGTCCACTGATAAGTTTTGCAGGTTTGAGTGGCATTGCTTTATGCGCATCCAAGGAACCCTCACCATCACTCTCATCTTCCAATTGGGCCAAATGTATCTTTCCAGCTAGTCTTGAGGGTCTTGTTTTGAGATGTGATGATGTATCAAAGAATGATGTCATACCAGTTTAGCAGTAAATTGAATAGCAGACTTATTTTAGGTATTCCTCTTTCGAGAATATATTCTTTTCCTCTATTATTATCATTGATGTTGTTGGTGTGGCGGTAGAAGTGAAGAAGTTGTGTTTGTAACAGATTCAGATGGGTGATGGCGGTGTTTATTCCTTTTAACACGGTGTATACATTTCGTGGGCTTCCTTTCCCTTTCTATTTTTCTTCTAGGGTTTGAAAACTTTTGTAATGGGGTGGCTTGATGAAGCAGGGGATTTATATAGTATAGCACAACCCAAAAATTCCTAAAAATTATACACTTCTGAATTTTCAATAGAATGTTTAAATAGTATAGCCGAGCGGCTATACTTTTCGAATATATTCGAATATTAAAATTGTATAACCGACCGGCTATTCTGGTGAAATATATTTGTGCATTTAAACATTACAGCCGCGCGGCTATACCTTTCGAATCTATTCGAATATTTAAATAGTACAGCCGCGCGGCTATACTCTCCGAATATATTGGAATATTTAAATACTATAGCCGCGCGGCTATACGCTACAAATATTATGCCGCGCGACTATGCTATTCGAATATGCTTACAGACGTATGCTTACACTTCTAAACCTTATCCTGCATATCCGGCCGTTTGATATTTGATTGGAGCTACTATTTCCTGATCAAATTAATCAGTCAAAATGATTTAGCAGTTGATTACAGTTAACCACAAAAATTGATGCTAAAAGTGTCTTAATATAATTACTTTGTCTTTGTGTAATTGTTGCAGGGGCTTTGACTTTGTTGACTCGAATTGATGGGTCCTTCTCAAACAAATTCTAGAACAGACCTATCAACAAGAATTATCCATTTCACATGCAGCAGCAACCTACGTGTCACAGTACCCGTTGCCACCTGTCCCACATGAACTCCAACAGTTGCCACATAACATCAGAAATGAAACCAACACGTAACCAAAACCTCCATGCACCAAATATAAAACCACACTTTCATGTACAATTTCAAAACCACACAGCCAAAAATATCACAGCAAACGAGCAAAAAGAAAAAGAAAAAACAAAACCCAATGGAGGTTCATGGGAAGCAGCAGGCCTCAGGCACCAAGGTGGTCTTGGCAGCCATGGGAGGCTTGGCAATTGGAGGGTCGCTTATGTTCTTGATGGGTTTCAGTTTCCTGGCCTCAGTGACGCTTCTGGTTTTGAGCTCACCGCTTCTGTTGATCTTCAGCCCTCTGCTGTTTTTTGCTGGGTTTGTGTTTGTGGGAGCGGTGGTTGGGTTTGCTGTGGCTGGAGCCATGGCCCTCACAGGCATGTCTACTTTGGGGTGGATTTTTCAGGAGCTTGGAGGCACAAGTCTTTTGGGATTTGGTGGTGGTCTGGCCGAGAGATTGAAGGAACAAGGAAAAGATTGGGCTGGGTTCTTGCAGCATGGGAATGAGCAAGACATCAAGATCACTAGTAGAGGCTAGAACTTATTAGTTGTGTAGATAGCTGTGTGTTGGTTTTCTTTGTCCCTGTAGAAGTTGCTCCAAATTCAATAAGATATATTCTCAGTGTTGAGTAATAATAAATGGAATGATTAACAATTTTCATAGGATGATTGGAAATGAACACCCCACAAAACTGATTGGAAAAATGAACCCTATGCTACATACAATATGGCCAATTATAAGATGGTTCAAGATATCTGTAATATCCTCTAATTTCAAGACATGGATTTAGTCAACTCGGTTTTCACTAGAGTATTAAAGTATAATATTATTTTTATTAAAATAAAAAAAGGGAATTAATTTTTTCACTTCTTTTTTGTTTGTTGAAAATTATATGTTCCTATTCTTTTTTTTCTTTTTTTTTCACTTATGCTTATACTTGTTGAAATTTTGGATGTTATAGAAAAATTGGATTTTATAATAAAAGTACTAAAAAATAAAAGGGAATGTAATTGGTGGAGGAAAATCAGGAAAAAAAAATTAAATGCCCCATAATATTGATTTATAGCATCCGACTCAATAATTTTTCTATATAGATAACCACTTGAACATAATATTGAGTTTATTGTTCAAGTGGTTATCTCTGAAATTGAAATTTTAAGTTGAAAAAGAAAAAAGAAAAAAAAAGAAAAGAAAAAGAAATTAAGGTTCTAAGTTCAATTTTCTTCACTCAATATGTAGAGAGGAAGAAGATAAATCTTGTGGTTCTAAATATCTAAACGCTCCACAAGAATTATCCTCAATAGTATCTTCACATACACTATCAAGATATCAAGAGATTCGAATTTGAAAGCACTAGTTTGTAAATTAAGATCCCTTTTTATTGGACTATACAGCGTTGCACTTATTAACTTAAATATTAATAAAAACTTTAAAGATCCCTGAAAAAGATTTTATTTATTTATTTTTATCTTTACCTATATTTATAAATAAAACATATGGAGATAGGGTGAAATTAGGAGTGGTTACGGTTTGGTAACCGCGAATTTTGCCCAAACAGCAAACCGACCCGACTATTTGCGATATTGTGATTTTTGAAACCGCAAAAAGTGGTTGGTTACCATGAATTAGCGGTTTAAAACCGCAAGTTCTTTTTGTGTCATAAAAATCAAATCTTCCACATTTTAGGCCTAATTTTGATACTTCTTTTGAAGCCTTTTGAGTTTAAGCATACTTTAACCCAAAAATATAAATTCACATCCTAAATAAATAAATTCACAACCTCAACTTCTCAAGCATATATAAGCTCACAACCTCCTCAACTTCTCAAGTATTCACAACCTAAAGAAAATTAAAGTTACGATTCCAAGTATTCCAATTAAAGTTCAACTTCTCAAGCATTCACAACCTCAACTTCTCAAGCATTCCAATTCCAAATCCGTTAAAGTTACAAACCAAAAGGAAAATGCAATGCAAAATGAATTAAAGTTACAACCCAAAGGAAAAATCCAATTCAAAGTTAATTAAAGTTACAAACTAAAGGAAAATGCAATGCACCAATGTTACAAACTAAAGTTACAAACTCAAGTGTTGGTGGTGGTGAGTGGATTTGAAGGACCTCGTTGTGTTGTTTGAGCACCAATGCTATCTACAAAATGCAATTTTAAAAAAATATATATATATAGTAGCGGTTTGCGGTAACCACGAGTTTTGAAAATCAAATATCGCAACCGCAACCGTAAATGCAGTTCGATTTTCCGTGATTGCGGTTCCATTGCGATAAATTGTCGATTGATTTTTGCAGTTTTTCGGTCTAAAATGCCACCTTATGTGAAATGAAGGCACGGAATAGTGTCATAACCTATTACCGCCTATCGTTTAATAACTTAACTGTAGATACAAACACGACATGTCGTTTGCCTACGCCAATTGAATATTTTATTGAACGCGCTTGCGGAGACGGTGCGTTGACGTATCAACCAAAGTTATGCTTTACGAAACTGTCTGGTGAATGCAAGAGAAGAGAAGCAAGATCCAATCTTCCAACAGTTCCTCAGAATGACAAGAAAACCCAACAAACAATAAAGAAAGAAGAAAGGCAGAGACTCAGAAATTCAATTTCTTTGCTAATAATAATAGCAACAATCAAGTACGTAATACATTCAATTTTTGTGTTTTGTTTTCCTTTCTTTCTCTGTTTGTTCATTCACTTTGTTGCTTCCTGCTGCTGAGATTGTTTGAGATTGGCAAGGTTAAGGTTACTGCTCCCTCATATTCAAGAACCCGCCAATTCCCATTCGAGTATAGTGAATTTAATTGGAGTTCTTTCAAAGCCCACTTTAAATTTCGTATTTTGATTCCGACCCAGTTCCATTTTCAGCATTTTTGTTGTTTATTCTGAGTTCTGGAGCGGGAGCAATATGCAAAAGATAGAATTTATTCTACCCTTTATATGGATTAAATAGAGTCTTGGAGTCGGAACACCAGAATTAGGATTGAGACTACAGTTTCATAGTAGAAGGAACAAACTTTGAAGTTTGGTTTTTGTGGGAGTTTTCGTATCCTTTAGTGTTGAGTTATTGACACTTTATGAATCTAATTGTGTTTATGAGGTAAACTTCATCTTTGAATTCCAATTTTTTGCAGTACATCATCAAGCTTGGCTGGAACATTTTGAACCTTTTGTCGCATCTTTGAGAATGTACACTAAGACCTTACTGCATCGATGCCATTTTTCATCGTATTGATGAATCATTGCGTATCTTATAAAAGAAGATGAATTATAAGTTACAAGGGCTTGAAATCCAGTCTCAACTTGAAGTGAGTTTTATTTGCTTTCTTTGATAACTAAAACTTAGTCACGTTTTTACATTTTTTTTCCTAAATAATGTAACTCAAACTAAATAATGTAATGTCATTCCTGCATAGGCACTGGAAATAATCTTTAAGTGATGGTTTTGAATGTCATGGTGTTTCTTGTAACAGATGGAATCACTGGACAACAGTTCAATACATGAATTTGAGGATGAGAGTCTTTTTACTCCGGGGGCTGAGGCTCAAAAGACACATTCTATGCAAGCAGTGGGGGAATGTTCATTGTCACGGGGTTCACAAGCTAGTGGTGATAAAGTGTGGAGAAATATATGTAGAAGCATAAAGACTGTAGTTTTCTCAACTAAGCTCAACTTGCTTATGCCCTTTGGACCTCTAGCAATATTTGTATATAAGTTAACTGGCCATAATGTGAGTTACAACTTTCCCTTCTTTGCTCATTGCATTGCCCAATTATGTTTCTAATTTGTGGATGTGAACTGCAGGGCTGGGTCTTTTTCTTGAGCTTGTTGGGCATAACACCTTTGGCTGAGCGTTTAGGTTATGCTACAGAGTAAGTACCTTTATCCCTCTTTTCCAGCAGTATCCTAGTAACTTGAATTCTTAAGAAGCTAAGTGAACTTTATTTTTGCTCTTATAGGCAGCTGGCGTTCTATACTGGAGCTACTGGTAATGGTTTCCTTGTTCTTTTATTCCTAATCGGTTACTTCTTACTTCTTAATCCTTTTTGGTTTGTTCAATCAAATTATTCAATTTCTATACTGGAGCTGTAAATCTAAATATGGGTTTCTTTCATATCTGTGTGAGAGTTGACTTTGCTTGATATTTCTGAAAAAAGTTGGAAAAAAAATGGAAAATATATCTTGCGGAAATTAAACATAATCTAGGTTGCATTCTTTTGAGGAAAGGATCTTGATCTCATTGCTCCAGCGACAATTTAATAGATATCTGCAATTTATATATGTAACAGTGGAGATGCATGCCTTTTTCGTAGTCTGTTTACCTCCTTGCTTTCTTTTATTTCTTTTTTTTTTTATGGTGTGAAGGAATTCAAGTTCATGTAGTAACGGAATGGTATAACGAATTTCTCCAGTTTTCTTTATTCATTATTTTTTTTATCAACAATTTATCCAGTTATATACATACAAATGCATAATATATATGTATTTTCCTCTTGTCATTAAAACTGTGGTGTGCTACATTGAACATCACATTCATACTTGTGCCTAAGCATTTGAGATTTATCCTTGTATAATTAATGTTGTAGTGTCTTGTTAATGTCTTATAAAATGGTTATTTTTCCTTCTAGGTTCAATTTTTGATATATCAAATTGGAACTTGCAGTTGGGGGTCTTTTAAATGCTACTTTTGGAAATGCAACAGAACTGATTATATCAATTTATGCACTGAAACGTGGAATGTTACGCGTTGTTCAGCAGTCGTTGTTAGGTTCTATTCTGTCAAACATGCTGCTGGTGCTTGGTTGTGCATTCTTCAGTGGTGGGCTTGTTTTTCATGAGAAGGAACAGGTGTTTAACAAGGTAAATATATCAACTCTTTTCTTTTCTCTAGAATTTTCAAATCCTTTTATCTTTCTCTCTGAAGCTTATGTGTACTGGGCAGGCCACTGCTGTTGTGAACTCAGGGTTGCTGTTAATGGCAGTCATGGGCCTACTTTTTCCAGCTGTTTTGCACTATACTCACACTGAGGTGCATTTTGGGAAGTCAGAGTTGGCACTTTCAAGATTTAGCAGTTGCATCATGCTTGTGGCATATGCCACGTATCTTTTCTTCCAGTTAAAGAGTCAAAAGAATCTGTATGTTCCTCTGAATGAGGTTAGTTGAGGGTCTTTCCTTTTTGTGTGCAAATAATTTCCTTTTACTATTATTATCACCATCGTCATTGTTATTAATATTTTCAATATTTTAATTTGTTCATCCTTTGAGTTTGAAATTGTCAATATGACTTTTAGCACCATTTACTCTATTAAGTATTAACTTAATGGATTTTGTGGTGGTATGTATGATATGAACTCAGGAAGTGAGTCAGAATGAAGAGAACTCAGATGATGATGAAGCTCCTGAGATCTCTAAATGGGAATCAATAATTTGGCTTTCAATAATGACGGCTTGGATCTCAATCCTATCAGAATATTTAGTTAATGCCATAGAGGTAAATAGAAGATGTTGTACTTGGGTTCTTTAGAACACTACATCTAAAGAAACATTTCTTTCCCCCTTCTTTTTTTTCCTCTCTTTCCTGCCTTTTACATTGCAAGTGGTTGATTTCCAAGAGTTTTCATGGGAAAATTATTTTTACTAAGGATTTCAATGGGATGGAAGTATGGTGAAAGTTTGGAAACTCTGTCTTGTTGCTATTATGATTAATGAGCTTTGAGGTTGGATGATTAATTTGTAGGGAGCATCTGTAGCATGGAACTTGCCGGTTGCATTTATCAGTGTTATTTTGCTCCCAATTGTGGGTAATGCTGCAGAGCATGCTAGTGCGATTATGTTTGCCATGAAGGACAAGCTTGTAAGTCTCAAGTTTTTTGACTTCTTCTTGTTTTTGTTAATTTGTGTTGCACTAACCGTGATTTTCTCTATAGGACATTTCTTTGGGAGTGGCAATAGGGTCATCAACGCAGATATCCATGTTTGGGGTGGGAACTCATCTGATGCTTTTTAATGTCCAGATAATGGTTCTTATGAAAAAATGTGTATTATGTTTCAAAACTATTGTTTTGTGTGTGTACTGTTTTTAGTTGATTGGCAGTTGGCGTCCGATTTCTTGCAGAGAGATACATACCACTCTTTATTGTAAATTGTATATATTATCATCCCTGTTGATGATTGTGCAGGTTAATAGTGATAATTAATCATGATTTGGCATATATAAATATCTAAAAAAAATTCTGTTTTAATTGTTGCAGATTCCTTTTTGTGTAGTTGTTGGGTGGATTATGGGGCGCCCTATGGACTTGAACTTTCAGCTTTTTGAGACAGCAACACTTTTTATAACTGTCTTAGTTGTAGCCTTTATGCTGCAGGTATACATTCGAATTCCTGAGATTAAGGACAAAATCACTTGACATATTTGGAGTTGAATTTAAAATGGGTTGCAGCACTTTTGAAGTCGATTATCTGCCTGAATCCACATTTTTGTGCTAATGAGCTTGAATTTTTGAACAAATTCATAACATTTTTTTTAAATATAAATATTTTTGGTCATTGTAATATTTTCCTTTTTCAAAATTGTAACATTCCTTATTTGTCGGGCATGATTGGTTACAGGATGGAACCTCTAATTACTTCAAAGGGTTGATGCTTATTCTTTGTTATCTGATAGTCGCCGCAAGTTTCTTTGTTCATGTAGATCCTTCTCCAGCAGGTCTGTTCTTAAATTAGACTTCCATTTTAACTGCTGAATAGTTTATACTGAGCATGCTGTGTGCTGAAAGTTTATTTATTGACATATTGTTCATAATCTTGCAGATGAAACACAATCGAAAACGTAGTTGTGGAAGATGTTGAAGATGACTATAAACAGACAATCAAGTTTATTCGAGGACTGACTACATACAGAATGAGATGTGATATTGGAGATGATGCACAATTAGAAACATAGTCCACGAAGCTGTGGGTTGCTCTGCAAATAATTTGGATCATCATCCTGTTTGTACATATATACGAGTTTTCACCTACTTTTTAGCTTTTGGCCAACTTCTGCTTGTTTTGTTCAATGAATATTATCAAGCAGGTATCTTGCTGAGCTCTGGCTTGGATGTAAACCTTGAATAAGATGAGGGGAGAGTGGTGAATTTTACATAGGAAAAACGTGTTCTTCTATCTTTTCATTTGTGGTAAAACCTTCTTTTATTTTTTGGAATTATGTTACTTTGTAGTCGATCGTCTTCCTTTCCCATCTAGGCATAACATCACATCCATGGATAATGGTTGCTTGTATGATTACTAAGTGAGAATAATTGATTAGATATTTTAAACAACTTCGGAAATTATGATCAATCCGAGCGAAGACAAAATGGCATTTTGGAAAATGTACAAATCTTGAATTAACCTTCATGGCATGTTTACTAATTTGTAAGGATAATACTTCCCTCTTTGCTCGTAAGGAGGAACTCCTAGGTAAACCTTCTTACCTAGTAATGTGGTTCAATCATGTGTCTTTTTTTTGGAAGTCTCAAAAGTGTTTTTCCTTTCTCTTTCATTAGTATAACTAATTTCCCTTTTTATTATATACCTCAGTTAAATTTTATGTCTGTTGTGGACTTTTCTACACCTCCAGGGGGTGTAAATACATTTTTTGCTTCAATAAGAAATGATGTAAATCCAAAAATGCATATTCGATTTGTTTGTGATAATTCTTTTTTGTGTGTTTTTTTTGTTTTGAATGTTTTAACTTTTTAAAATTAATTGTGTGCGTGTAAGATTTATTTTATCTTTCCAAATAAATGGACCTAAAAAAATTTAAATTTGGAGAACATATGATTTTACCTACAAACTAACATAAAAATATATATGTAGAAATCTGGGGCATTGGAAGTGCAATGCAAATTGCATGAAATCTAGGCCTTCCATTTTGAATTCCAATCCTTCTCTTTCCAATTTTCTCTTGTGGGTCCCGTATGCAAATGATGTAAAAAAAAGATGCAAATATGCATCTAATTTTACATCTCCATGATGGGGGTGTATTTTTACAACCATTTACATCTTTCCATTGGAGATGATTCTAGCAACAAAGGGTGTATATTTAACATACACCCCCTTATACACCCTCTCATTATAAATGCTCTAACCCCAACAATTCACCTTCATCTAAATTACCATTGACAATATTGGAATTGGTAGGCATAGTTTCTTCATACATGTTTTTTTTCAAAAGGATATAGACATTTTTGAATCAAGCAAACATTGAGTTATAGAGATCGTGGAATACGAAATTAAAATACATCTATAATGTCTCCTTGCCTTGTTATGAAAAACTAAAAAGGTGGTTTGTGGGATAGATGAAAGCAATTATAAAAAAAACAAAGAATTCAGTTATGAATAATAAAAGAGAAGAAACAAAAATATTTTTTAGGAAAAAAAAGTCACATGTCAGTTTGTGATCAAGCCAAATTACTAGGTAAGGAGGAGTTCCTCCTTATGGGTAAGGAGGGAAGTATTGTCCAATCCGTAATTTTATTAGGATGAATTGAATTGATGAGGAGTTGGATTGAGGATAATTAGATTCCGAATTCCTATTGAAGTTGTTTACTAAACCATATGGAATTAGGGTAGGAGTGGTGCTAATTACTAAAATGTCCTCGTTGGTGGGTTAAAGTAGATGGCAAATTTGGAATGTTAAAAATTATGAGATGATATAATGGGTAAAAAAGATGAATTCCTAATAGGTTAGTTCTCTAGGAATTAGAATACCACCTCCCCTCCCACCCAAAAATTGAATTCCTCCAAAATCAGGAATTCAATTACTACTTTTGTTTGGGCCCCACTTATTTTTTAATTCATTGATGTGAAGTAAACACAGGAATCCTCCATATGTGGAATTCAATTCTTGATGAGAATTCCAATTCTTGATTAGTAAACACATCATTAATAGAAAATTTGGGGTTGTTAGTCATGTGAGACGAGATTGAGACTGGGATAGACGGCCCTGTCATTTGACATGGTGGGGAGTTTGTCTGTTGTGGTATAATATTTCCTGCACATGGGATCTTTCACCTCACCCGTTACAGTGAAATCGTTACCCCATTACATGATGTGCCCAATTCATCAATACTATAATGTGATGTATTTATTAATAACATACCTTTTAATATAAATTCGTAAACACGCAAATTTGTGAAATGTCATAACGTTGTTACTATACCACACGTTGATTTTTCATCGAATTATTTGTCAGCATAGACATTTTAGCATTTTCTAGATCTTTGATTTTTCTACTGCTTGTATCTAAGGACCTACACACAATCACGTCAATGAATAAATTAAGCATTGATAGTAGTGAATTGGAAGAATTCTAGTAAAAAAACAAACTCCCTCAAAATTATCAGTCTGTGCATACGTAAGCGTTTGAAATTCAATAAAAGAATACAATCGTATGATGAACAAATAGTAAGGTTAACAACTTGGTTAGTTCGTACCAACCTGTCAACTATGTGCCTCACCAGAAAAAACCAGTCAACTACACCTTGCGTGTAACGAGAATGGCAAAACTTTCTGTAGTTCCACTCGTAGCTTCCAACCCATAGTTTTTTATGAACCAGCAGGACTTATATATGCCCGACTTTTCTATGGCAAGCCACTTTTTACCTTTTGTGAGATGCCAATCTGTCTATTTAAGCCTTCAAATATTTGATCGATCAAAGTTTTTGAGGGAGAAAGATGGTTGGTGGTGGTGAAGCAGAAGAAGATGAGCAGTTGCCATTGCTCATAAGCTCTTCTTCAACAAATGAACTCAGCCAACAACCTCTCAAAAGAACTGGTAATCTGAGCTCAGCCCACTATTTCTTGTCTTGGTGATCGTCATTCTTTTGTTTTTTTGGCAATTTTATGGAGGCATATTCATACATATAGGGTCAGCAGGTCAGGTTTTACTACAATTACTTGAAATGCATTTAGATAACATCCTTTTTCGATTAGGTATGGCTTCGAATATTCCTCCTCAAGCCGGCCAATTAGTTAACCATAGACATATTTAGTTAATGGTCGTTAGAACTTAAGAAACAGAGGACTATGATGGTTCATTTCATTTAATTGGGTAGAAGTGGTTTTTTGTTAGGTATGATTGGCGGTTGAGGACCCAAAAAAAAAAAAAAAAAAAAAAAAAAAAAAAAAACAAATATATCTCCACTTTTTAATGTCTCTCTCAACAGATGTTTCAGTTTCATGGCAAATCTGGACTTAGCTAATATAGATATTTTCTGAACCAATGCTTGATATAATCTTGGCTTTCAAATGTTCTTAACTTTTCAACAATTTGGTTTTCTTGCACTTTCTGCTGGATTGTAATAGAATCTGCAGAATGTCATAAAGATTTGGAGGCTAATTTTGTATATGAATTTCTCTTGGTTTTCAATATAATTTCCATATCTAAAATGCACCTTCTGCAATTTGGGCTGTTTTTGCACTTTCTGCAGAACCTAATTTAAGACTTGGAGGCTGAATTTGTAAATGATTTGTTATGTATAGGAACCATATGGACTGCAGTAGCACATATAATCACAGGTGTGATAGGAGCAGGGGTACTATCCCTTGCCTGGAGTGTGGCTCAGCTGGGGTGGGTTGCAGGTCCATTGTTTATGCTAGTCTTTGCTGCAGTCACCATTATTTCAAACAACCTCCTCAGTGACTGCTACAGATACCCGGATTCGGATGGCCCAACCAGATCCCGATCCTACATGGAAGCTGTCAAGATCTACTTAGGTTAGCGTTTCTAACTCTCTGTCTAAACACAATCTCTAAGTTTTTTTTCTTCTAATTTTGTCACATCCCATTGTAAATTTTGATGCAAAGATGTTGACTTTGGTATCTTATGTTTTCCAAAACCTTTGTATCTACATGCATTACTTCAAAAACTAACTAGAGTAATGCTAGGTTTAGTCGCTCACGTGCAAGTGGATGACCATGAGCCATTGATGCACTGTCACCCAATTTCATGTGGGGGACTGAGCCTAGCATAGTTTATAAGTACATATAAATTATCAACTTTGACCTGTGTATGATGGAATTTTAGGAGAGAAGAGGCAAACTGTGTCTGCAATATTTATACATGAGAGCTTGTATGGCACTTGCATTGCCTATATCATTACAGCTGCTAGCAGCGTCAGGTATTCTTTATCAAACCTTTCTCTGCCTTTGGGCTGAACATTCTTTGCCTATATCTTGCTTGTTTGCTTCCTTATTCTCAGCTTATTTTCTTGTTGGAGTTGCTTTGCAAAACCAAAGTTCTTTCATTGCATCAATTGTTTGCCTGAACTTTTTGGGTGGGTTTTGAGACCTTTTTCAAAAACAAAAAGCCCATAATCCAATTCAAGATGGCCCTTGCAACTCCTTCTCTGATGGGCCAAAATTGCTATTTATATTTGGGCTAATAAATTGAAAACAATTCTTTTGGGTCTTTTAATATGGTAGACTGGTAGGTTTTTTATTTGGTCAGTCTGTTAGTTATTGAGTGTATGACTCTACGACTTTTCCAAGTAAAATGCCAAGTTACCGATGGAGCCAAGCCAACTAAGACAGGCCTCTACGCAATAGACATGAAAAGAAAAGAGTGAGGCAATATTGCAGAAAGGGACAAAGCAAAACATGTCAAGCCAAACTAGAATAATTGAATTTGAAATGGCAAATCAATGGCCATGGCTTAGTTTGGCACCTCTGAAACTGACCCAGCAATTTCTGTGATGTGAGGACAAGTGTGATATGACATGATAATAGATCAACAAATCTGTCTCAACCATATATCAGCATATCATGTTTTTTTATAAAGGGGTTAATTGCATATAGCCCCCTCAAATTTTAGAGTTTATCTCAAAGATCGGGTGCTAATTTGAAATGCACCTTAAAGTTTGAGGGAGCTAACCCAAAAAAAAATTAAATGATTGTTACTAGATTCTTGCTTAAATAAATACATAATAGAATGTTCATCTTGTGTGTTGTTAGTCTTGGATTCTTGCTCTTTGTGTCAGAATCATCAGTGAATAATGATTACTAGTTTGAGCCCCCAGACAATTATAAGTAGCTTTTTGATGATTCAACAACAAAAAGAGGAGGGAGGGAGGGAGGGAATCTCTGTTTTTGTTACACGTCTGAAAAATTCTTAGACTTTTTCTTTTGGCATCAATAATTCACCAACTCTACTGTGAGATACTGACGTGGGTTTTTGAGCTCTTAATTCAGCCAGCCTAAGATTATTATGTGAAGGGAAAACCTTACCCAGATTATAATTTCAGCTTGCCATGAGTCAGAAGGGTAGATGGATACTCATAACTACTGCCATCTGCAGTCAAGGTCTTAAAAGTCAACAGATTTTAGGTCTGCACAAGTGTTTAGGTTAAGATGGATGTATCATTAGCCTTCTTTGGATAAAATGGAGTGCTGTGGATGTAGAAGGACAACTTGTTTTCTGTTTTCAAGCAATTTCTTTGTTAGAAAAGTGGACTGATCACCAACCCACTTAGGCAAAGTCATGTTACTATAAATCCAAAAAATAAAGTAAAGTGAGGAAAGTTAACAAATGGGAAAAAGATGAGCATGACAGGGTTGATATCCCATTCCTCCATTATTGGTATGGAATCATGGAAGGTTCATATAAGACTATATAAGTATATGTCATCCATTTCACAGGTGTAAGCCTCCTTGCTAGGCTTAAGGCCCCCCCAACTGCAGCCATAAATTTTATTCCAAAACTGGGTAAATAAGTTGCATAAAGATTTATTTTCCTTTGATTTAACACCCTTCCATCCATCATGTAGCTGGTAATTAACTCCATAGTCTGTGTCTGTCTAAGACTTGGTAAGGTCCAAGGATCAATCTACAGCTGTGTAGGAATCATCTGTATCAAATACCTTTTTTTTCTTTTTTACTGAGTCTACTCTACGTAGTACATCAAAGAAAGCCTAGTTAAATATTTATTACTCTTCCATCATCATGTGGCTGGTAATTAAATCTTTATTCTGTCTACAACTTGGTAAGGTCAAAGGGACATCAAAATTTTTATTATATTTTACCCAGTAGAATTTCTATACCAATAGACAAATACCTTTGTTTTCTTTCTTTTACTGAGTCCATATATTTTCTTACATCAAAGAAGGCCTAGATAAGTCTCTTCCATTGAAGGTTCAATGATGGAGGCAAAGCTACATCCTCAGCACATATATGAATGCCAAGTCTAATTTAGAGGCATGGAAATGGCAAATGAAACTGTTGCCTTGTCAGGCATTGTGTTTAGTTACATCAATGCATGTTTGGTAAAGTGTTGTTTTATTAGAGTATTTGCCTTAGGCCTCTCTATATTTGGAATACACAGGTCTCAAAACTTCATAAGCTATTGTTAGTCTGATAAACATGGCAGTTCAGCACCCTCTTGAATTAGCTAATAATGGTTCCTGTGATGATGATGGCCATCCACTAAGAACTGGTAAATTTTTCTCAGTCTACACTACACTTCTCCATAATTAAGAGAAAAATTCAATTTGTTCTTGAATTTACTTAGTTCTAGTGGGAAACTTATCAACCAGGAACCTTATGGAGTGGTGTGGCTCATATCATCACTGCTGTTATTGGATCTGGAGTTTTATCTTTGGCATGGAGTACTTCACAGCTAGGATGGATTGGAGGCCCAGTTGCCTTGCTTTGTTTTGCAATTGTCACCTACGTTTCTTCCTTCCTCCTTTCAGATTGTTACAGGTCTCCTGACCCTGTAACCGGAACTCGAAACAAATGTTACATGGATGCTGTCAAAGTGAACCTCAATAGTAAAAGACTAAAAACCTCTTTGTTTTGACTCTTTTTCTATGTAGTCTTCAATATAGGATATGTTTTTCTAATGGATTGAAATCTTTGATATGCGTTCTGATTTAGTTCAGTGATAGTTCAGGTAGAAAACAGTCCTGGTTTTGTGGTTTCCTTCTATATTTCAGCATGTATGGAACTGGTATTGCCTATGTGATTACCACTGCAACCAGTATGAGGTAACTACCCCTTAGTGATGAATGCTGTGTTTTTCATTTTGTTTCATCCCTTTGATATAAGAGCATCAATGGTTTTGTGTGTTGTGTGGGTATGCTTTTCCTTTTTTGTATTTTTTAATTTTTTATTAGTGAATAAGATTAACTTTTACTAAGATTCTTTTCATATGTTGATGCTTACTCCTCTTCTTTCCAACTGATTTCAATTTGGCTAAGAATCTGTATTAACTTTTGCATTCTATTTTCTCAATTTAGAGCTATTCAGAGGTCAAACTGCTATCACAAAGAAGGGCATCAGGCTTCATGTGAATATGGGACTAGTATATATATGCTGCTATTTGGACTTTTCCAGATTGTAGTGTCACAAATACCAGATTTCCATAACATGGAGTGGCTTTCAACTATTGCAGCAATCATGTCCTTTACCTATGCTTCTATTGGACTTGGCCTTGGCTTCGCAAAAGTAATAGGTATTGCTTTGATTGTACCAGCTTCTTTTAACATAGAAATCTGGACTATGTTTCAGCAATATAAACCAGTAATGCTTTGTTGTGTTGCTAAAACTATATATGTAGTGAACAGAAACCCAGAACTTCAAATTCGTTTCAATTGGAACTTCAGAAAGAAAAAAATATTGAAAATAGCCCCCACATAATGGAACTTAATAAATATATAAAAAGTTATTTCTGGTTCATCCAGTTGTTCTGCAGTTTAAGATGTGTTTACATTTGCAGAAAATGGCAGGATTCAGGGGAGCCTGGGAGGAGTTCCAACCTCTAATTTTGCTGATAAATTATGGTTAGCCTTCCAAGCACTTGGAGATATTGCTTTTGCGTATCCATACTCCATTATTCTTCTTGAGATTCAGGTTGGATTTCTAATATTTCACAAACAAAATTGTGATTAAAACCTTATAAAATTATTATGTTCAAGCACAGATTTTGGTTGATTTAGAAGCTAACATGGAATTGTGATATCTGTCGAATCAAGGATACTTTGAAGTCCCCTCCAGCAGAAAACAAGACAATGAAGAAGGCCTCAATGGTTGCCATCTTTGTCACAACCTTTTTCTACCTCTGCTGTGGATGCTTTGGCTATGCCGCCTTTGGGAATGACACGCCAGGGAACCTCTTAACAGGATTTGGATTTTATGAACCTTACTGGCTCATCGATTTTGCTAATGCTTGCATTGTTCTTCATTTGGTGGGAGGATATCAGGTACTACCAGTTTACATTGAAAATGTTCAAGTTTGAATCACCATTTCGATCTTTCGTAGAAACCATTCTTTTTACATGATTTTATCTGCCAGGTCTTCAGCCAACCAGTATTTGCAGTTGCTGAGAGATGGTTTAGCAAGAAATATCCCGACAGCGGATTTGTGAACAACTTTTACTCCATCAAAGTCCCATTGTTGCCAAGGTTTCAAGCGAACCCCTTCAGGCTATGTTTCCGAACTGTTTATGTTGTGTCAACTACTGGGATTGCAATGTTGTTTCCTTATTTCAACCAAGTGTTGGGAGTGTTAGGGGCCTTGAACTTTTGGCCTTTGGCTATATATTTCCCTGTAGAAATGTACTTTGTGCAAAAGAAAATTGTGTCCTGGACAAGAAAATGGATTGTTTTAAAGGCATTCAGTTTAGTTTGCTTTCTTGTCACAGTTGTGGGGGTTATTGGATCAGTTCAAGGACTTATAAGTGCCAAACTTAGCTAGGGAGTATTGTAATTTCCTCATAGACAAATATAAATGTAAATTTCTTCATTTACAATTTAAATTTTTTCCTTTGCAAGTAATAGTAATGAGATTGCGCTGAGCAAATAGGCAGCTTTGGGATTTTGGACAGAGGAATAGATAACAGATAGTAAATATGAGGTGCGCATGGGATCTAACCTAGTGGAAAATGGCATTGATTTACAGATGAGTAGTCTCAAATTTGAACTTCTATGGCACCGATAAAAACCCCATCCCTCATAGTTTAGACTATTTTTTGTGTTCAAAAAAAGATGGTAAACATGAGGCATGCAATATAATGAAAATCATGAAAATTGAACAAAATGTTTTTAGACCTTATTTATTAGTTTAGGTAGGATTTTGGTAGCTTTATAGGCTGATAAGTGGGTAAAAGCAACATCAGTACGATAGGATTGGGCATGCCCTGCTGCAGACAGCCACATAATGCATTGCATATGCATGTTATCTTCTGAACGAAAAACAAAAGCTGGTTCAAGGCAACATGAACATAGCTGGGAAGAAATTAATGTGCACGTGACCTGCACGTGCAACAACCTTAACTTTTGCAACTTCTTAGAGAGAGAGAGAAGGGACAAGTAGACATTCGAGCCCCTCTCCTCTGTAAGTTGGTTTTGTGTGAGCAGAGCAAAAAGCCACCCAAACCATCCAGGCATGCATGCAGTCAACGAGAGAGAGAGAGAGAGAGAGGGTTGACCGGGTGTCTTGTGGGTGAGCTACCGGCCCAAGTCTCACACGCTCAATGGCGTTGAATTCTTTAATAAAATCATGCACCTTTGATGGCTTTATCAGTAGCCTTTAGGCCATGGGAAACACCCCCCATGCACTTGAACACTCATCCTTTATATAAAGAAAAGAATAGGTAAACCTGTAAGTCTCACAAATTACAATAGAAATAGAAAACAACCCAAGAAAAATGTTTTCATTTCTTTGTTTTTAACAAATCCAAATTACCCAAATCAAAGAAGAAGAAAAAACAAGCTTTATAGCTCTTTTAGCTTAGTTACTTCCACTAATCTCAACTCTAACTCTAGTCTTGTTTTTTATTTTTTTCCCCAATTTTATCGGCATTTTTTAGCTGAGTGAGTTAAAAGTTTTAGAAAATAGACAGAGAGAGATGGGTCGGATTCCATGCTGTGAGAAGGACAATGTGAAAAGGGGGCAGTGGACACCTGAAGAAGATAACAAGCTATCTTCCTACATTGCCCAACATGGCACTCGTAATTGGCGGCTCATCCCCAAGAATGCCGGTAACAAGCGCTCTCTCTCTCTCTCTCCCTCTCTCTCTCTCTCTCTCTCTCTCTCTAAAGTTTTCTTTGTTCGATTCATAAGGTCTACAAAGATGTGGGAAGAGCTGCAGGCTGCGGTGGACGAACTACCTCCGCCCTGACCTTAAGCATGGCCAGTTCTCAGACGCAGAAGAGCAAACGATTGTCAAACTTCACTCTGTTGTTGGTAACCGGTAATTATGACATATCAAATTAAGCACTGCACATATCTTGTGATTAACCTTTTTCTTTTCTGACTGAACTGGATTTCTTATCCCTATGAATCTCCAACAATGGTGGATAATCTGATTGTTCATGCAGTTTTTTCTGTTTATTTCAAGTGCCAGATCACTAATCATTTCCCCATGAATGTCACAGATGGTCGATAATTGCAGCACAACTGCCTGGTCGCACCGACAATGATGTGAAAAACCATTGGAACACCAAGCTGAAGAAGAAGCTATCGGGCATGGGGATAGACCCCGTCACCCACAAACCCTTTTCCCATCTCATGGCCGAGATTGCAACCACACTGGCACCGCCACAGGTGGCTCACCTTGCAGAAGCAGCACTTGGCTGCTTCAAGGATGAAATGCTCCACCTCCTCACGAAGAGGCGCATTGACTTCCAGTTCCAACATTCTAATGCAACACCAGGGAACAGCACAGCCACTTACATTAACAGTAAGCAGGAAGAAAAAGATGACACTATTGAGAAGATCAAGATTGGTTTATCCAGGGCTATGCAAGAACCAGATATGTTAACCTCAAACAAACCTTGGGACCCTACGGGAGCAACATCTGCAAACTTTACAGGGAACTGCAGTGCTTTTCCCTTGCCCATGTCCGGATTTCAGTATGGCCCTTCGACTTTTGGGAATGAAGGGGATGGATCACCGTGGAGCCAGAGTATGTGTACTGGAAGCACATGCACAGGGGCAGACCAGCAGGGCCAGTTGCATGACAAACTAGGGGAACAAAATGGAGAGGAATCCGAGGGTGGAAAAGAGTTGAGAAATGGATCCAACATATTCAACTCGGATAGCATCTTGTGGGATTTACCATCTGATGATCTAATGAATCCAATGGTCTAAAATAATTTATACAAGCATTTGAGGGGAGATAGGTAAAAATAAATATCGAATGGCAGCGCTAGACAATGATAATGTAAATAAGGCTCGTTATATAAGTTATGGTGAAAGAAAAATCTTATGAAAAATGCATAATTTATTGCTGACTTTCAATCAATTGTGAAATTGTGATACAACTATATCTTTTCTCTTTACTATGAATTACAAGGTGAATCATGCAAAATATGAAGAAGAAGAAGATGTATCAGCCAGAACCTGCACACATCAATCAAAGATGAAAGTTAGAAAACCAGCACTAATAACTAGATATATGAATGTAAGGCTTAGTTTGGCCAATACACACCTCAAGTTGCTCTTCAGTAAATGAATCTTTCTGAATATTCCATGTATCAGCATGGGTACGTCGAAACTCTGCAACTGCTTTTGTAACTGTGGATTTCACTGGCGATGGCTCTCCACCAAAACGAGCGAGTAAAGTAACATGCTCAGGTAACCAACTGAGAAAGCAGTGGAAATTTCTATGAGGCAGACATTCAAACATTCAAATTATTGGATAAATTGAGAAGAAGGGGCGCCGGGGAAGGAATTAAAAAAAAAAAAAAAAAAAAAAAAAAAAAAAAAAGTGAAAGGGGGGGGGAAAAAAAAAGAAAAAAAAATCCACCCTTATTTCAAGATAGCATAGCCAACATTAACCCCAAAAAAAAAAGTAAGGGGCCAGTGGTGTTCATAAATACATTGGAGCTGCCAAAACCCGACCTTTAGTGTGATTGCTAGAGTAACTCTGAATAAATTACAAGACCTGTTCCCTGTATTGAAGATGACGTACCTAGGCATATCATAAGGGGCTGATAACACAGAAGCTACCAAAGCAAGTACAGCGCCATGAATGGAAGCTATGGACTGGCTCGAGCTTAAACTTCTGCATTCAAATATAATAAAAGTACGTAAGCCCATCAATGTATACAAAGTGTAGTATTGAATACTAAAAATCTAATAAGAATATGGGTGCAAAGATATTTTATGTTGAAGTCATATGAACCTGAATGATTGTGTGAATCAAGCATTTTCACATAAGTACAGAAATGAGATAAGACAAAATAAAATATACATAATCGTCCTGATTTTTACTAATGAGAAAATTTATAATGCAATAAACAAGGACTGAGTTAAGGTATTCCAAAACTGGGGCTTGCATGTATTCTGCCCACGATTTATAATTCTCTAGGCAATTGTTTATTTGCTTCAAAAATAGCTTCTTACACTCCTCATGTTTGAGCATATGTGAGCGTGGGAAGCTACTTTTGGGGTGTAAATAGCATTTCTCTTCTTTTCTAAATCATTTCTCTACCCAATAAAGACATTGAGTTTCCATGAAAACAACAAAACTTGATGCAAGACCAGAAGATTATAAGACTGAAAACTATGAAAACAAGTCTTTCAAAAGCCAGGGAAATACCTTCGCTTTCTCTTCCTCTGAAGAATAGTAGCTTCGGTGTAAGCTTTATCACGAAAGTCTTTAGCTAAATCTTCATCTCCACCCTTCATTAGGCCTGCTAATACTGCAGCAGCATGTTCTCTTACCTGATACATAAATTGTAAGTTTTTTTTTAAATAAAAAAAACTCTACCTCATTCCCAAGAAATATAGGACCTAAAAGAGAGTCACAGACTCCCTTAAGATTTATGCATCATTGTTTAAGGACCATCCTGAAAAAACACCTGAGTTCAGGTTTTCCCTTCTTCACAGGTCAGAAGCTTTAAAAGTGAGTTTATACATCAATGTCTTTAGAAAATGTTCTGACAATAGTAAATTTTAAGTCATCGAAAAATGAATTATATTTTTCGCTTGAACCAGAAACTTGCCTCAACTTGGTTGTCTACAAGTAGCTTTTCAACAGTTCTCCAAATTTGTTGTTTCTCCGTACTTGAGAGAATGTAAGTGTGCCTGTTGTTTAAGAAAATAGCAATAATAATATAAATTTCTTCACCCACATGCTAGAATCAACATCATATGTTATTTTTTGTCAAGAATGCACATTGTATGAAACTGGAAACTTTAAGGTGCAGACAGATAAAGGATAGACGAAAACATTTTTATAAATAACAATTTTGAAGTTCCAATGCTCTCGAAGTAAAATATGGACACACCGAAAATGTATACATCAAAAGCACTATTTGGTTTGTATTTCGGTATTCCTAATAGGAAAAGGGATACATACATTAGGGGATCATAACGAAAGGGAAGATATCCAAAATATGTATCATACCTATACATAAAAGTTCTCAGATATGTAAGTGTTGCAGATCTAATTCGCCAGTTAGAGTCATTGGCAGAAGAAAGAATCACGGACACAGCCTCCTGGAGATGAGGTCCCCAGAAAACTCTCCACTTCAGCAATTCAAAAGATGCCTTGGCTAAAGTTGACAAATCTTTATTTGAAGTTTCCTTAGAAAGAAAAAACCAACAACATTACTAAGATATACAGATCTGATACCCTACCAAACTGCTATCACCATTACAATAGAGCAATCCAGTAGACTGTTAAAATATCAAAGTAATTGAAATGTACACTAAGAGAAACATAGAGGTTATCCAATGATTACTAAGAGAGCCATTGAATTGATAAGAAAGGGGGAACAGCCAACAATAGATCATGTTAGATGAATCAATTAACGACTAGCGTCTGCTCAAACCGTAGAGCAAGTCCTCAAATTCTGAATTCCACATTACAAAAGCAATATAATTGGTGCTATGAAACTTATTGTGAGTTTAGGCTGCTAATCAGCCAGCCTCTTAAAATAAGATATTTAGTTGTTGCAATTACCAATCAGCTTAATCAGCTTAAATTAAGAGAGCTGATTGCTTATAATTACAAAATTATTAAATTAAGGGCACAACATTAGGAAAGATTTGAGGAGAAATTTATGTACTGGTGCTCTATATAAACAACTGCAATACACAGACTTTCCCTCTTTCATTATTATTTTTTTTTCCCAACAAAACTCTTTCATATTCTCCTGATTCCTCAAGAAAAGATTCCAAAATGTCATATACAACATGATGATAAACTATCCACAATTAGTCATTCAAGATTAGGCAACAAGGATTCAAACAGAAGGAAGAGTACATTCTAGTGAACTTCATAACGAGAAATGACCTCATAAGCAAACTAGTGAAACACTACTACCAAAAGACTCAACTTTAACTTCACTTACCTGCAATGATATTACAGGATAAAGAAGTCCCACAATTACATCCAGCAGATACGAAGCTCGCCCAGACTTCAAAGATGAGATGATAAAATGGAAAAGCTTCACAAAATATGAAAATGTACAAATTGATCAGTCCAATATTTTATAAGACTAAGAAGATACTATTAGAAACATTTCTAAAAACTAGTACCGTTTCCATCCATTTGACATCATCCTGTGAATCACCATTTAAATGCCCATTTTCAGGACTGATAGTTGCTGGGGTCTCCAAACTGTCAGACTGGGTGGTATTCTGAATATTTATTAGCACTTCAGATGCTCGCTCTTTTAGAAACTGAACCCAACTTCTCCCATCAAATTGCTTGGCAACATCTCTTCTTTCCTCCGCGTGTGAATGTTCATGATCAAATGATTCATACAGTTGGATGTTAGAGCACAACACAGAAAGGGTAACACCTATAGCTTCTCTTACCTGTCCAAAGAAAAACATTCGTCAAATCTATAAACTCCCAAGGAAAATGCAAAACAGACCAAATGCTGCCTTTAAAATGATTAGTATAAGAATGAGGCATTTATAAACAAAAGTTTCTTGTTCATCTGATAAGTGCATAAAGATCTGGTATTTTACACTGCATACAAAAAAAATTAATTTGTAGCACGCAACTCTGTTCCATGGATTTCTTTTGGACGAAATCACATGACAGAGCCATTATCTGATGAGAATGATAAATTAAATATCTGAACACAACCCAGCCCTTAATTTCTTATGAGAAAAGCGCTGTTAATAGTTCTCCTAATGTATCTTATCCTTTGCATATTATTATTAAAATAATAAAAAATAGTGAAAGACATGCACATGCACAGAATGAAACAGCTTACTTGGGCAGATGAATGGCACATGTTACCGAGCAACTCCTCCAGAAGTCTATAATGGAGCTGTACTTCAGTTAATGGCATTCTCTGTGGAGATAATTCAATAAGTGCAGCCGAAAGAAAAGCATAGCGCTTGGCAACTACAGTAGTAGTTACCGTTCGAGGTAAAGGTGTGGCCAAACAATCCAGTACTGGTTGTCTCAAAAGAGGCACTCTTGTTCCATGTTTCCCTTTCCCAGTAACAGCATAACGTATACAGGCTGCCCACTCAGGTATTGATTCTACTGATTGTGATAGAACGATATTCTGCAACTGGACCAAAATCCAATTCTCCCATGCTACTGAAATACCGTTAACATCAGAATGCAATATTCCAGCCAATGCTTCAGCTGCAACACACTGCTTAGACCTCTCCTTCGCATTTGCAAACTCCTCCAATGAGCTTTTAAGTGCCAATAAAACAGGCATGCCACATTCTTGTATTAGCCGCTTGAAAATTCTCGCAAAGTTTGAGTAAAATGTGTCACTTCCTAATAAAGAGATCCAAGTAGGAGTACGTGGCCATGAAGCGGTAAAATCAAAATAAAAACGGGTGATTGATTTGTCTGCTAGGCTCTGAAAAGAACTCCCATGGTTTCCTCTAGAAGATGTGCTTTCAGTATCAGTAACTATGTGAACATGAGAAAGACTGGTCAAGGTCTCACTGAAAAAACCATCTTCCTGAAATATTTGGGTTAATTCTCCTTCGAGGGATGACTTTCTACTTCCGTGCAAATTCCCAGAGGGGGAAGCCTGTTCTTCAGGTGAGAGTTTATAAGGCGATTCTTTTAACAGTGTATTTAAAGCTGATATTGCAAGTATCCTTGTCTGAGGAAGCTGACTTTTTAAATTCTTTAAGAAGTGACCTGAAGCAGAATTATCTCACAATTTTAGAATCTTACTAAAAAGTTGAACTTAAAAAACAAGATTAGTGCTAAAAAATAAAGAGTCAACTTATGAGTTAACAAAACCATGAACCCACCAGCAGTTTCACTCAAAATTTTTGAGGAGGAATTTGGGTCATTCCTAGATGCCATTGCCAACAGGAGTAGAACCCTGTTAGCCATCAGATTGTACCTGGAAAAATATAAAGAAAAAGATTTACCCCATAAATTTATGAATTTTTGAGTCTATGCAGTTAAACCTTCTAGAGACGTAATTTTTTCTTCAAAGCGAAATCAAAGGTAACACAAACCCTCGGATATACATTCTCAGTTTCAGTGTTCAAAGGACACACCAGAAAGTTCAACAACATAGGTGAGACTCAACAACGTTCTTCAGACCTTAAAGAAAATGTCCAAGATATTAGTTATTTACCTCCAATGCAAGCCAATAGAATCAAAACTCATAGAAGTGATCTGAGAAACCAAATCTGAAAAATCTGGTGCATCTGTATGATTCCCTGATGTTGTGAAAATGCTTCTAGATACTCCAGCAAAGTAGATGTTGTATTTGACAAAAAGCTGCTCGCACAAAGTTTTTAGTTTTTATGAGAACAAACAATATTTTCGACAACAAGCAAATCACAACAATTAGCTTTATATCATATTTTACCTCATTGATTGCCTTCTGGGTTTTCAGTGATTCATGATGAGAGCTTCAAGAAGGAGAAAGGCAGATCAAAATTCAATCTATAACTTCAATATTCAGCAATTTTAAACCGAACCCACAACAGATATTGCTACGTGTATAAAAGTAAGTATTACCTTGAAAGAATTCCAAGGATGAATGAAGAGAATGCCTTCGGGTCCTGGAATGACAGAAACATATCAGAAACTCTCATTTTATCATAATCAGTTGTGAGCAGTTTGTATGGAATGACTACCATTGTCAAATGCTTGAGAACTGTCTGTGTGGCAAGGACAGCACATGAACCTAGCACCACATATTCTGGTGACTTAGGACTCCTTAAGTTCTCAGTTAGAGAAAGAACGCACTTTGAAATCATAGATGGCCATCTCTTTATCATCTTTAAAAGAGCTTTCCCAGCAAGCCTGAACATCATGAAAAATAATAATAATCAGATATGGTAACACAAAATTGCAAACATTGAAAAACATTAAGCATAAAAATCAGTGTCATGAAGAAAAATCGAGCAGGAGGTAATAATTACGTCTGAAATAAGTGATAAACAACATATCAAATGAGGCAACAGATAAAGGAACTTTTATTCTTCACTTGCAAAGAAACCACCCACAAAAGTTGACATAAGTGGCAAAAGAACACACTAGTGGAAGAGACAAAAGGAAACATGGAAAATAAGTTCTATTTTAGAGGAAATTCCTTGCTACTCTACCAGCAAAAACAGGAGACACTTCTATTGCTCATTGATATTTCATTCATGGAATTGTTCTTCTGCTTAAAGTTAATAACTAGGTCATGCATTGGTGCTACCGTAAAAGTCTTCAACCAACTATTTTAGGTTTACAGACCTACTCAGGACCAAGACACTTGAATATCTATCAGAAATCAAGACAAAAAGGCTTATTCAGCAACAAGACATCCAACAAACTGTTAAATCTGTCAGGAAGAGACCTCATTATATGACAGGACAAGAAAAAACTCTGCAAACATTCTTAAAACATGAGAAGACAAGTAAAAGTGTAGTGGTTTGCACACAATGTTAACATGTGAACAGATCAATTTCATTCTTTTGGTGAGTTGTTGCTTCTATAAGTATGTTGATTCCATGTCAGATGATACACATACAGACATAGTAGACTGCATTTTCTTAAGAAACTCACATGTGTGCAATTGCAGTCAAACTACTGCTACTGCAATTAAATTGAGTAAACAGTACTTCTGCTATGGCTTCATTATAAAGTAAGGTCAAGAAGATTAGAGACTCACACACGAACTGTTTCATAGCTATGCAATGTAAGATTTAGAAGATTATCCACCAAAAGATTCACATGGTCTGGTGGACCGAAATTTGCATTAGTACGATATACATGATAGGATGATTGTGATGATCTCCAGGTACTGTGCATGAATGCCTTGTCAATAAGTGCCCACCGCGGCCTGGTACAGAACAACATAATCAGGGTTTGAATTCAAGTATGCATGGTTCATGTGATAAAAAGGAGATCCATCAAACTTTTTTCTTTTTGGATAGTACGATCCAGCAATAGTACTCTTACCTTCTCTTCCCCTTAGACTGAGCTGAAACTATAAAGTTTATTGAAGGCTCTATAATGGCAGCCGATTCTAATTTCCATGCCTGCCTGTGATTTGACCATTCATCATACTCCAAACTTCCTGCATATAAGGTATAGAACTGATGATGAGACAAAGCACACCCTAAAAGAGGGGTGGGAGATGAGTATTGTCAAGAGTCAGTGTCCATTACCATAGTTTCCTAAGGCATCCATAATACGAATAATGAGTATCAACAGAATGCTGTCATCTGCTTTTTTGTCTAGTATATATCTGCACAATGCACAAAGACCAAATAAGATTCAGTAAATCGGATCTGCACGGTTGAAATGGATGATATCTGTGGGAAAACTCATATGTAAACATTACTTGCAGGCTGCATGTATAATCTCAGTAGCTTTTTCCCGCAATTTAGTGCTGCCAACACTTGAACCTGTTGCTCCAGCTATTAGAAAAGAAGCCTGATTTGGATGTTCAACAATCCCATTCCTGGAGGATGGGGTGAAGTCAGGCAAGCAAGACAAAACACCTTGCAATGAAGAATCTATACGTAGAAGAGTCACTTTCAAGTGCTCTTTCTCATCTCCTGGGTTGAAAATAGCATGCATTGTCAGACAATATAACTTCACTTCCGTACATATAAAAACACACATGCATACAAGTGTATGTCCATGTCTACATTCATGGTTGCATGAATTTGATTACTATTATTTGATTCACTGGATCTAGCTCCTGATAACTATATCTCCCTTCACTACTACATTTTCCGAGGATAAGAAAATAACACCATAAAAAATTACCTGGATCAGAATGGACTTTAGTTTCACATATTCTCAAAAGATCATCCAAAGCCAACCGAAAATGAAGGTCCAAAAGTTCATTTGCAAATTCAACTTCTTCAACACTTGGGATATGCCACTTGGGAGCCACGATTGGTTTATCATCTGAATAATCTTTGGTGCTGATCCATTCCTCTAATGCAGCAGCATTTGGATGATGCAAAATGCACCTAAAAGAAATAATATTATTTTTCTTCTTTGGCAGACAAATTTAAAATGTATGCACTCACACAATTATGTAACTAGTGAGAAAAGTTAATATACTTGTATTGATCAATAGGATAATAAAGAATCAGGCTTCCAAGAAGGGATCGAAGAAGATGATCACCAGCTCCATTGACCTGTCGAAAAAAAATCATTCAAACCATTGAACAATTTCAGTGAGCATTGCATGTAGAGACGCATGTATAGGAAGAAACAGATGATCATGAGAGAACAACAGTCATCAAAGTAACAAGACCTTCCAAGATGGGGACTCAAAAGCAGAAATAATCGCCTCTTTGAAGTGATCCTTATAGCGCAGAAGTGCAGGACCTCCATAACTTATAGCAACTGATAATACTTTTAATTGATAGTCGATTGCTGTTTCAAGAGCTGGAGAAATTGTTGGTTTGACCTGGAAAGAAACCATTAAGTTCATAATAAAAATCTAGGCATAGACAGAAGCAAATAGTTTAAAACATTCATAAGAGAAACTACCTTTGTTGAAACTGAGGCATCGCACATTCCTCTACCTCCAAATCCTGTAGCTGGTGTTCCTTCTAAAGAAGATATAACAGACAGTAAAATTGGCTCAACAAGTTGAGTAACTGCCTCTTCTGGGTTAGAATGAACGCAGGCACAACAAAGCAGTCCAACCTCTGCAATTGCCCCAGGAAGAATATTTGTCTTCACAAACTTGGAGATCTTCTTCAAAGCCTGCCAGTGATTTGAGGAAGAGTTTACAAAATTGTCATGCTGAAAAGTATAACCATTATATATAAATAAATAAAATTTGAGTCTTTGAAGTCAAAAACTCAGAAACCTGATTATAGAGAGGTCGTGAGAGTCTCCCAAACAAGATTTCAAGCATACAATAGTAGTAAGGACCCTCCTCGACCAGAAAAGTTCCTGACGTTGCTGATGAATGTAGGCCTTCATTCCTGCAGCAAGTGTAACCAATTACTCTGACTACAAATAAGTTGTAAAGGGGAAACTGCGGAGAATGTATATCTTAAATAGTTGATACGAAACTATACAAGTGAAGCAACAGAGAACTGAATGTCATTACTTACGTAACACTGCTGGGTTCCAGGTGTAAGAGTAAGGAAAATAGGCGACATAAGAACTCATCTAACCATTCAGAAAATTGAATCATTGGCATGACTGATAACTCATCAATGTCATCATCCAATGAAGACATCTGCAAATACAAGTAAATTATAAGACTGTACATGCACAACCCACAGACATGTTTGATAGGTGATTGTATACTTACATTGGAAAATATAGAACCAATTAATTGCATTGTTGCCAAGGTTTTAGGAGGATCATTCGCGTCCATACCAAGTAATGCATTGGATAGTGAAACCACCAGAAGATCAATGAACTCATCACCACTACCAGGATCAACTGGTTTTACTGCAGAACTTGATAGGGATGAGAGGAATAATGAACGCCCAACAAATGCTACCGACATCACTGCAATCTGCAACTGGTGGGTGGCAGTCATCTGACTAGACAAAAAAGTTGGAAAAGAAGAAGTTAATTCAATGAAAGGAACACCACTTGCAGTAGCAATCTAGCAAACATTTCCTGTTATCCTGTATATTGGATGCACTTATGGAAACAAACTGATAACTTTTCTAAGCCTCTGTATCTTTTAGCGGAAAACAGTTCTGCAGAAAAAAAATTAAGAAAGGGAGACACTTCTGATGTTTGTTCAAACAGAAGGTTTTCTTTTAACGAACAGTTGACATTTTGTAAGGCTCTGTCTTTCAGCAGACACAGAAAAGAGTTTTCCTAAAACTTACCAGACAGCAGAAAAATAAATTTCAAAGAGAACACTTTCCAATAAACTTTTCCAGCAGATATATTCCCTAAAATTGTATTCTCCATCCGGACAAACAGAGCCTAATGTAAACCACATATTGTCCATATTCAGTAGTTCTAGAATAAAGAAAAACATGGAATATGACTAACCGTCTCTAAGGCCATATGGAAGCGAGATGCAACAAAAGGAAGGACAAGAGAAGGCTCCACATAAGACAAAATTGAAGTTGCGGCAGCAACTGTCTCAGAAAGATGTTCATTCTTGCTATATTGACCACGATCAATTAACTTCAGCACCACATTGACAAAGAAAATCCTTTCTGATCTTCCTAGATACTGGTCAGCCTGAATATTTTACCTATGTTTCTGTAAACAGAGTAATTTAGTGGAAAGAGGATAAAATAGGCTCAAGCATACAAAGAACAGATGCTATATCGTGCAAACAGATTCTTACAGTTGTTCATGCTGCAGGCGCTTCTGGAATGAAACTACCAAATAGAGCAGAAAACGTTCTAATGCATAAGTCCAGCGACCACCATTAGAAGGATGGTAATATCTACAAAAACAAAAACCGGTAATGAATCGATAATAGATGTTCAGAACAAGTACCATGCTTTTAAACAATATAACAGGAAAATAAAATAATATTAACATTGAGTATTTGAGTATACAAACTGTTCTAAGAGGTTGACCAATTTTTCAAAGTGCTCCTGTGCCGAGCTACCAGGCTTTAGCAAATAGACCTGCAGTTCCAGGTATAAAATATCTCACTCTACTATCAAGGAAGAGTTTATACAAGCACCAGTTAATTTACGCTGCAAAATGAAGGCATCTGCATATTAAACCTACAATTGACTTTGCAATGGCCTTTGCTGGGGTAGCTGTTTTATTGGAGAACAAGAACCTTGTGTTTCTTGGAACATCCACAGAAAAGGGATATGATCCACTTCCATTTGCCACAGGAACCTTAAATGCAAGATAAAAACATGAAAGTTTTATTATATTTCAGTACAACTTTTTGATATGTTTGCTATCATTACAAGCTAAGTTACAGTATGATTATCAATACTAGTGTAGCACGCATCAGTCAAGATGTAGTTGTACTTCTTCTATGGCATGACTTGAATATCAAGCAAAATACATGTAACCTAACTCTAAGAAAATTCAAGCTTTCTCGAAGGGCTCATTCACTCACCTCAAACATATTTAAGTATCTGGTGAAAAGTGCGGGCAAGTAACACTCCCAATCAATAAAGTTGTAGTTCTTTACAACACGAGCTATAACAGCTGCCCATTGACTGTTCCAAAATTGGCAATTCGGTATCGAGTCCCATAGGTGCAAAAACTCTTTGATCCAACCGCTACAATACCAAGAATACAAGGTGACTTGCCACAAAAAGAAATATAAAAATAAAGAAAGTGTGCCAAAACCATAAAGAAAAAAGTGCGAGAATGGTGCTCCTTACTGCGAAAAGAATTCCTGGTTATCCAAGTTTGTGGGAAGAAACAGCCTAACAAACCCAGATCCCTCAAAGGATGAATTATGCCATGGATTTTCCAATAAAGATCTGCACGTTTGTTTCATTAAACAAGAAGACAATACAATTACTCATGAGAGAGTGAGCGGAACAACTAAGAGTTCAACTATAATCACCTAGCATATGGTTTTATTTAAACATGGGTGTGCACATGTGTGTATCTATCTATTTAAACCAAAGCACAATACAATTTTTGTTTGTATTGACAATAAGAAAAGGTCACCCAAAAAAAAGCTGAAAAGAATAAATTTATACAAATATGACTTGGAGCATGTGGAACACTATTTTGCTTGTTTTGACATGGTGAAATATCAACTCAGTGAAACATCACAGAGATGGATGGAGGTGAAAAACCCCAGAAATGAAATTATGTTTCGCAGTCCAACTAACTAACTCTAGGGAAAAAGGCCTCAAAGTACTTACCTAAACTCAGACCATATCTCAAAGGCAGAACCTCGTGGGAAGAACTTCCGGCAGGACCGAACAAGAGAAGTAGTAGTCTCAAAATGTCTTTGTCTCAATCTCCAGCCTTCGGGACCTGTATTCCTGCAACATGCATCAACACATGAAGTTCTTCAAATGTGGCCTGTGTGTAAAATGTCATCCCAATTGTAGTTGAGCAGTTGGTTGCATGCCACAAAGGTAGCAAACAAGCCAAATATGTCAAGAAAAACAACAACAAGAACCATACAGAAATAACAAAAATAGATTTCAGGTTAAAAGCACTATTTCTAATTCACAGTTTGATTGCACCCACGAGAAAAAGCCAAAAAATTCATAACAAGTGATGACCATATGTAGAAACATTTATTGTGTTTGGAAAAAGATGGTCATCTCTTGAATATTTCCTACGTACCAAGGTTGCACCCCTTTGGAGCCTTTAACAGATTTTACTTATAAATTAAGATGAAGTAACGAATTAATAAAACTATGAAGGAAATGGAAATATACTTGAAGGTGGATATATAAGACTCACCTAGTGAAATGTGTATGGATCAAAGTATCATACAAAGGCCGCCATTTTACTTTCAAGGACAACTTCTTTCGGTGCTTATTGAGTAATTTGACAAGGATGTTTCCCCATCTAACCTAATCAATACAAATGGAACCCACAATTTAAGAAACAAGAAATAATGACAGCAAGCATGTAACCAAAAAGATATGTGAATATATAGAAGCGGCTATGCGAAGTATTACCTGGGCATAAAGCTTATTTTGCGACACATGAAACAGTTCCAATCCAAATTCAACAAGAGCAGTTACATCTTCCAAAGATACGTCACTTTTTGCCTTGACAAAACTGCATGGCAAGTATAGAACCAACTTCAACATGATGAAGTGAAGTACATTTGAAACTGAAATTCATAACCAATTCATTGCTATGAAAGCTCAACTCTTATGAAATTATGAACATGAGTAATTTCAAATTTCAATCACATACTAACAAAACCCAAGTCAAAGAAGCAAAATTTAAACACACATAGAATAGCAAAAGAAGAAAACAAGATAGAAAAATCATATAATTGAATGAAAATAGAGAAGATATAGTGAATTGGGTGTACTGACAGGTCGATAACAGAAACCCATTTGAGAGTTGAATAGACGGATTCAGGATCGTCGGGTTTGTACGAGCCTTTGACGGAGGAGACGACCCAAGAGAAGGACTCTTTCTCTTTCTTAGACTCTTCAGCCACCGGCGGTGGAAGCCATGCATTGTAAAGATGCATACTTTACACGATTTGCTTTGTGAATTGGTGATCCAAATGAGAAGGGAAATTGATTTGAGAGATAAAAGCAGTGAGTATGTTGGTATTTATTGATAGCATTTGAAGACTTTGGCTTCAGCTTTTCTTTCTTGTCAAGAAAGTTGGGAATTGAATTTGAGAGCAGAGAGAGACAGATTGGGATTTTCCTTGGCTTGTGTGAGGGATCAAGGAGAGGGATGACTGGCTACCGGTAACGGTGGTTTTGTTCACTTTATTGACTTTCTGATTCTAAAGAGAAAAATCTCCAGCGGCTGCCTTTTTAACCATTTTATGGCACATACATTCCTACATACTTGTATTTCTGAATTTCTTCAGGTGTGGAATTACGAATCTTTTTAATGTTGGTACTTTTCCTTATGTATTAGTAAACGTACGGTCAATCATGATCGGAATATACCTATATGTTCTTTCTCAAAAAAAATATGGGAATATATATATATAAGTATATACTAAGCTACTGAAGATATTACTATTCATTTTCCATTAAAAAATATATACTTATTTGAAGAGAAAAACCCAAAACAAGTCATTTGTCATTTTTTAATTGATTCTTTAAAAAATTTAACATCTAAGAACCAATTAAAAAATGAAAAATAACTTTATCATATATAATTATAGACTTTCAATTTTTTAATTAGGAATTATAAATAATATATTAATTTGATTTGGACCAACAAGGTGCTCTATAAAACAAAAGTACTTTACAAGAGTACAAAAGATATTATTCCCATTATTTGGGCATTTTGAACGATCTATTTGAAATTAAAAAATTCACGGCACAAAACAAATGCATTTTACACTTAAAAAATTGACGTATTATATAAGGTCATCTCGCATATACTTGCTAAACAAGTTTAATCTTTTTTAATTTTTTTTTTTTCCCTGTTGGTGATGCAAACAAAATGATTTTTGTTAAGAGAAAGTGTTGCAGGCTGCGGAAGACTATGAACGATGACACAAACAGGCAGAATATTTCAACGGCTAGATTGCATGCCACGTGGAAAGTCAAAATTTTAACTGGCTATTTTCTGTAATGGGCCGGCCGTAGAGCTGCGTGGGATTTTTGCTCAGATTGGTAAATCGAAAGCGACTTGACAAATTGGATTCTGATCCAATGGGCCTACAGAACTTGATGATTGAGGTGGGTGATGGATCAATCATAGAGCAATTCTATTTGGAAACATCGTGGAGGAATTTTATGAGACATCCAGGCATGATATTTGATTCCCAACCCCAATCATAAAATTTTGTCCACAGCTTCCAATTTGTTCATGTAATTAACTTTTTTTTTTTTTTTTTTTTTTTTTTTATATATCGATAATAGGCGAGGGAGATTTTGAATACAGAACTTTGAATGCACAAGTAGCTATTATTAACCACTTGAGCTACAAACCTTTTGCATAAACAAAAAATTTAAAGCTTCCCCTCATGCCCCATACCAAAAAAATCCCTCTATTATGAATCATTGACGACCACGGTGGGCGACGAGCCCCTCTTCTATCCTCACTTCTACACTTTGTTGGCAACCCTAGAAGGAAGACGACAAAATAAATAGGAAAGAGAGAGAGTAGGGCAGGGGCGGAGCCACACTAGGACCAGTGTGGTCCCGGGCCCCCACTCAAGTTTTTTTATATTTTAAAAGTAATATACTGTTATGTATTTGTATATGTATATTATTTCAAATACTTTATGTTTTGGTATGTACCCACATGTATTGTGGCGGACTTATTAAGGCACAAGGAGGTAGTTCAAATTGCCCCCTTGCTCAGCTAGTGGTGATACACTCCAGGTGTACAGATTACCTTATTTCAATTTTCAACATTTAAGTAAATGTCTTTGTCCTTTGACTTTAATTTATTTTTATATTACTCAATTTACTTAAGTTTACAATGTAAATAAGGAAGTGCCCCCTATTTGAATTCAAATAAAAATACTAGAAAATCAAATTCTCACCAAGTCAAAATATGAAAAATCGGTTTTAGTGTAAAATACGATTTAGGCTAAAAATGATGGCTCATTAAGTCAATATACTTCATACTAAAATCCCATAAAATCAAGTTTTCTTATTTCATGTGTAAGGAATAAAAGCCGCCAAAAATTATCTTGAGAAAAATGATTATTCCGAAAAACCATTTTTCATACTTAGTCAATATTTTTTCATGTATGATATGAATGCATAAAGGGGCCTAAGGTTTTTTTTAAATTTGGGAATTTTTTTTTTTTTTTTTTTTTCTTTCTATTGGATTTAATGGGGAAAAAGCTTTAAAGATATTTGCTAAATCGCTACTCTTTGTCTCTCTCTTGAAATTTTTCTTGCTTAGAATGTATTTGTCTATCCCTTTGTCGATAACAATTATGATTGCAACCAATAAGCGATATAATTCTTGACATATGTGATATATATACACTATTTTTTGTATGTATTATGAGTTCGAATTTTTGATTCTTTATATTTTGTAAGAGGCCCCCACACACATGAAATCCTGGCTTCGCCACTGGAGTAGGGGAAGGGCCATTGGCTACTTTGGCTGCTGGTGATGTGAGATTAGGATGGAGGAGAGGTTTTTAAGAAGATAAGATTCCAAGTTTTATTTGTATTGAAAATAAATCATATTTTGTATTCCCTCTCTAAAGCAAACCTAAGTGAACAATAAGCAATTTCATTTCACAAATGACGTAGATTCATGACAACTTACTTAAGAGTTTGACTCTGAAAAAAAAAGACTACTTGGGAGAAACTTTACATCTTAAATAACAAGATCAAAAAGTAACATAAGGAAAAAAAATTTATTTATTTTGTTAGTAAAATTACAAGTTTTAAATTGGAAGTCTTGGATTTATTTTTATTTTTATTTATAAAAAGTTCGTGGGATGTGTGTCTAAAGATCAAACTTGGGTGTCCGTAGAATTCCACGCCCTCATATGGGCTTTATAAGAATTAGACCCAAACACTTTCCAGGCACGTCGGAGATGGAAATGTGACCGTTGGAAAATAATAAAATAAACGGCCATAGAATCGGACCGTTTGCGAAGAAAAAAAGTAACCGTTGGCAGCCAACGTTCTCACTCACTCTCAGGCTATTTTCAACAAATTTAAATACCTGAGAGTCCTTCTTCTTCCTCCACCAAAAGCAATCGATACTAATCATTTCTGTTACTTGCGCTCTCTCACTGCTAATTCTCAAAGCTCCTTCTGTCTCATTTCATTTGCTTTTCTTAATCTCTTAATTTCTGCATTGTTCTTTTTGCTCTTCAAGGTTTCAAATTTAACAATTTCTTTTTATAACAATGGCTGAGATGAAAGATTCCCACGTTGTGGAAATCCCAGTAGATGAAGAGCACCAACAGAAACTCTCATCTGCCATGACCATCATTTCAGCTATCCAACACCACCCATTAATGGAAATCTCTGAGAGCCCCGGCCATCTCTTGCTTCTCAAGCTCTGGCGAAGAGAAGAAGACCTTTTTGGCCGGCGCATTGCCCGAAAAGAGTCCCGAATGGACTCGATCCGGCGCGAAATCTTTCAACTCTGCTGCTTCTTCTTAATCTTTCATGGGTTCTTCATGACCATCTTGTTCACATCTTCGGTTAATTCCGAAGAGCACATCTGTAAAAAATGGTGGATACCTAGCATTTTGTCGGTTTCGACCTCCTTTGTGTTTGTGTTTTTGGTGCAGGTGAATCTTTGCAGGTACTGGAAGGTATGGAACCAGTTGCAGAGGGAGAAGACTGACAACAGGGCACTCACTAGGTGCATTCAAGAGCTGAGGATGAAGGGGGCTAGCTTTGATTTGTCAAAGGAGCCACAGAGCGGGAAGAGGATGAAGAGCTCAAGTGTTGAGATCAAATGGAAGCCAGTGACTTGGTGCTCTCAGTATCTCATTACCATCTGCCTTGTTTTCTTTGCAGGTTTGGTGTTTCCAGTATCGAAATTCATGCTATGCGGCTTCTGAGCTTCGAGGAGGAGTTTCGGTGTTCTTGTGGCTGCTTTGTGAAGGTAGTTAATGCTCTTGCATTAGAGGGATTTGTGTATATGCTTCAGTTTCATTTGTGGTCTGACCAATTCTATTATCTGCAGATTGTCTGACTTGAAAGATATTGCAATTGAGAACGGAAACATTGAAGAGATAGCTGGAGCTGGAAACAAGTCATACATTGCAAAGTAAAGAAACACAAAATGCAAATTACAGAAAGAAAGGGAAAGAAAGACGGCAGAAAGCAATCCCTCCAACCACCCAACACGTGACGTTGAACACAACACTGACATTGGCCAGACTCTTCCATCCATCAATCTCCTGGCCCTTGCTTGCTGCTTAACTCCTTCATGCCTACCGGTCGTGGGTTGATCTGATCGAACCAGCACTGTTTATATGAGTCTTCAACAAACACCTGGGAAGTCTGCTAGTATCAGATATCTGTCATGATATCTAACTCTTTTGCTGCTGTAAGATCACCCTTTTCTTCAATGTCCAAAAGGGGAATGGGGGATGAAGCATTTTTGGTCCGATTACTAGCCAGACTCACTCGAACAACCAAATTACACACCCTTTCAGGATTCTGATCATTCAACATGAAAGCTAGCAGTTGATCTTATCTCCCTCACTACCTCTGAAGTCTATTGCGCCTGCAACTTTAAACCTCTGAAGTCTATTGCGCCTGCAACTTTAAACCTGTTTGCATATGTACTACTACTACTTCGAGCCAGATCAAGGGGATACTGCTTGTGTGCTCTTTTTGTACATGTGATTATTTATCATTCAATGCTAGCTTCTCAAACATCAATTTACTCAAAATTATATTGTTCTTTGTCTATACAGCAACACAAGTGTGTCATATCCTGAAGGTAGGAAATAAAAGTGTCAAATACTCATATCTATCTAATGTCATACGCTGTGCTTTTTGATAGTATGGAAATTTAGAACCAAACGGTTACGGGCTCAAAAGTGCTCTATCTAATGTCATACGCTGTTCTTTTTTATAGTATGGAAGTTTAGAACCAAATGGTTACAGGCACAAAAGTGCTCTACTTACAAGGCAAACAGAAAAAGGGCAAAACTCTCAGAGAAGGCCGCACTAAGCCAAATTTAAAAAGTGCCAAGTTTGCCTCGTCCTTAAAAAGTACTCGGGAAAACCTAGTACAAACAGAACCAAGTGGTCACACATCGCACTTTGTCTTGGACATAACCTGTCAGCTGCTGTCAAATAATCACACATCTGCGTTCTTTTGGACATGAGGTCAGACATTAGGCTGAGTTTTTGAAGCCAAATATCCTAAAAACACCTGCAACAAATTGAGGGCCAAAACATGCATCAGTTAGGTTTGCCTTGTGTTGATGAATAAGCTTACTGGAACAAGAAACAGCAATGCACCTTCGTCAGTCTGGTATTTGTTCTTGTCATCCCCAGCATAAGCAAGCAGATTGGATTTAGGATTCCACTCAACACTGTTCATGGCAGCCCTACATGGGATTTGATGCACTGTCCTCCCAGTTTGAACATTGGACTGTTTTATACAGCAGCAGTTATATTGTTACTAGTTTTACTTAGGTGATGAGAGATGGATTGAATTCATATGAATGAACTAGCAACAAATCCTTTGTAAACAAAAAATAAAACTTCAGTGAACATATATATCTTCTTCTATTCCACTCAACACTGTTCATGGCAGCCCTACATGGGATTTGATGCACTGTCCTCCCAGTTTGAACATTGGACTGTTTTATACAGCAGCAGTTATATTGTTACTAGTTTTACTTAGGTGATGAGAGATGGATTGAATTCATATGAATGAACTAGCAACAAATCCTTTGTAAACAAAAAATAAAAACTTCAGTGAACATATATATCTTCTTCTTTTTTTAAATGGTGTCTAAGCTACAAAACAGAGTCGGTGTACAGTAGTAAATTGGCCAGCTATGATGACAGGCTGCAGCCTTTGTAACCAGACATCCTCCCACAAGGGAGAATGTACTTCTTGAAGAGATAAATTCCAAGTGTAGTGAGCCACATAAGGTACTTACTATATCAATAAATAAGTCTTCGCTGGCAGAAGCAAGATACTCTCCAGTGTTGTTGAAGCTTATTGTCCTCACAGGCGATCTGAGAAAGGTACAAACAGAGATCATTCCAGGAATAGGGATGCTGATGATTACAGTATACACAAGAACCTAAGGTAAACGAATGTGTGCAATGTCCATAGTTATTCACTAACTGGAGAATTTAAAAAGAAAAAAGAATCTGAATAATAGGGAATTCAGGTAGAACTCACTCAAGTTTTGTAAATGTTCTCACACAGAGCATCTCTGAGATATCCCACAGGCTGACCAAGGAATCGGCACTTCCAACAGCAAAATACCTGTCATTGTATAAAGAGCATTTAAAAGAGTATATGGCAGCGCTAAAAGTAGTCTTCGTGTGACATTTTCAAGAGAGAATTTTGGAACAGAGATAAATAGAACTATATAGATACAGCATATAAACGTTCTTTTCTCATGATGGGATCAATGAAAGTGGACATGTTTATATGCACAGTACCAACTAATATTGCAAGTTAATGGCCCAGATGAAATCAGACAGTTTTTTTCCCCTTAAACAAATGAAAAGATAATAGATCTTTGTAGCATACCTTCCAAGTGGGTCAATCGCAATGCAATAACACCCAGCTGTATGAGCCATGAGAGTGTCAACTGGTCGAAGAGATGGGTATGCTAGTACTTCAACAGTACCTGAGCCGGAAAATATACAATAAAATACCCATTCCAAGTTCCATTATGTAGAAAGAAATTATGCAGAAAACTTGTTCTCACCATTTCCAGTCGTCAAGAAGAAAATTTCACTTGTTGTGCTCCAAGCAATTTCATTAACCTGGAAAAGAAGAATGCTCAATATGTATTTGAGGTACAGAGACAGCTAATATAAACAGGATTTATCAGCATCCCTTGTATTAGGATGAAGCAACTCTGTGTAAGGATCAGAAAAACCATCTATGGACAAGTTACACGTGAAAACAAAAAAAAACAAAAAAAAACCCTTGCAAACATAATCATGGGGATATAGACATTTCTACAAAAAATTTAAAAGAACCCATGTTCATTGAAAAAAGTTATTTCTTGATAATTTCATAACTTCGACAGCTTCAACATCGGCAACTCATCATAGTGGGGTGCCAATATGTTTTGGTTGTGTGTGTGTGTGTGTGTGAAGAGAAGAGAGATAACTTAACATATTGTGATTTGTGTTCTACAAGCAATCGTTCTTAAGGTCAATTTCTAAGGTTACATTTGCATATCATACAGAATTGAACGACTTCTCAAGGTTGAGTAACAAAGTTTTTCTAAAAGCCTTGTGCTGATGAGACATTAATAGCCTAAAACTCATAAAGAACATGCAATATACAAGGGGGAAATTAAAAAGAAGCATCCCTTTCGATAATTACCTCATAATTGAACTTTCGCTTATGAATGGGCTTAAATTTCCGAACATCTAGAATTGTTAGTTCATCATCCTACATTGTAAGGAGGGGCAAAAATCAGCATAAGAACAGCAACACCAGAATATGAAATAGCAAAACATAGCTATTAGCTATTGACACCCACTACTCATAATTCAACAAAATTAAGTTATTCACAATCAGAAAATTCACAAACTCATACAATAGAGGTTGAGCACAAGTAAACATTACCCTATTACCAACGGCGATGTGCGTCCCATCAGGTTTATAGGTGATGTTAATGTTCTCGCCACTAAGTTCTGCTAGCTGTGCACATTTTCCACCTGAAGTGCCCAGATGGATATAACATCAAATTCCAATCTTTTGTACCTAAAAAATTGAAACTTGAAAGAGCAATGACTTACTACGAGCATCCCATAGACGAACTGTCTTGTCTCCAGAGGCAGTGGCAATCAAATCAGCATGCTTGGGGTCCCAACACAGCTGATCCACACTGTCAGTATGCCCCTTCAATTCAATATCTTTAACCTTACCCTGTAACATATATACACAAATATTCCCTCATTACATAGAAATATAATAAATTTATTGGGAAATAATAATGAATTTTATTGGAACAGCTGAACTTACATGTCCGTGGGGCTCAATGTGCCAAACCCTAGCGGTTTGATCTACAGAGCCCGATGCGAGTTTCGTGCCCGTGCAGTTCCAAGCCACAGAATGCACCTTTTCACAATGACACATACAAAATTTAGAATATTGAAAATGGAGAGCAAGAGATTAGGGTTTTGTGGAGGTTGAAATTGGATTAAAAAATGTAACCGATAGTAAGAGAGGACCTTCTTCTTATGACCTGGGTACTCTCTGCTAGTGAGATTCTTAAAGGGTACTGTGGTTTCCTCCATCTCTGCCATTCTTCGAGTTTCAGATCAAATGTTTCAGTTCAAATTTTGAGAGAGCGTGAGTGTGAGAAAGTTTTACTTTTCGCTGTTATCAATAGCGGGAAGAGAATCAATACCTCCATCATCATTTTTCACTCTCTCTTTTTGGACTGAGCCCAAGTCGGGATCCAAAATTCGGCCTTAGCCCAACCCATATGATATTAAACCCTCCATCAGTCCACTGTTGTCAACGTAAAATAAAATAATTAAAAAGTAAATATTTGAATATTTTTTTTATAAAAAAATACACAGTATAGCCGGCGGCTAAACTCTATAAATAGAATATTTTACGGTATAGCCGACCGGCTATAATCTTTAAATAGAATTTTAACCATATAGCCGGCCGGCTATACTCTTTAAATAGAATATTTTAAACGTCTAGCCGGGTGGCTATACTCTTTAATTAGAATATGTTAACGGAGAATATTTGAACAATATAGTCGAGCGGCTATACTCTTTAAATAGAATATTTTAAACGTATAGCCGCTCGGCCATACTCTTTAAATAGAATATTTTAGCAGTATAGCCGATCGGCTAGACGCTATGAATATAATATTTTAGAAGAATCTCCGGGCGGCTATATTCTTTAAATAAAATATTTTAAACGTATAGCCGGACGGCTATACTATATGAATATAATATTTTAAACGTATAGCCGCCCGGCTATACTCGTTAAATAGAATATTTCAAGCATATATCCGGTCGGCTATACGCCAAAAAAATAATATTTTAATATTATAGCCGAACGGCTATACTCTGTACGTAGAATATTTTAGAATTATAGCCGTCCGGCTATAGTTTAAACCATACCACACTCCCAGCCACCACCAACTACCCAGATCCATCATCGCCATCCCCATCTTCTTCATCGTCGTAAAATTATCGTCTTATCCCAAAACTGGATGAAATTCCGAAGAGTTTTGGGAGCAAGGTTGGGAAATTCATAGCTGGGTTTGTTGTTGTTGTTTTGCTGAGAGTAAAACTCGTCAAGTCTCCAAACCCTTGTCTTGCTTTGTTCTTTCACTTACCACACCCTTTTCTTTTCTCTCCATAGCTCTCTCTCTCTAAATTTCTAAACACACGCAGACCGTATAGTCTCTCTCTACAGAGAGAGATATATAATAAAATCTACTCCCAACTAATATTCATGCACATATCTATCGGAAATATTTTGGAATTCGAAGGTCTCTCATTCTCATTCTCCCTTTCACTTCTGAACTCTGAGAGAGAGAGATCCCAGAAAAGTTCATCGAGATGTCAAGAGCTTCGTCGGTTGGATCTCAATCTCAATCACTCAGTGACAGCAGTTTCTCTCGCACCTTCAAGTACTTGCTCGGTCAGTCTCTCTCACTCTCTCTCTCACACACACACACAAACCCAATTATGAAGATGATGCAAATTTGCTTTCTTTTTTGTTGCATCAGCTACGCAATTCTTGTCAAGGGGAATTCCATTTATATTCAATGCGTGGATCGTCAGGCACCTTTCAGTTGAGGACTTTGCGGTAACAATATATACTACTTTCTCCATCCTTCACTGCATTTTCCAAGTTCCTGCTTGATTTTCTCTTAAATCTTTGTCGATTTTACATGTTTCCATATTTTTTCTTTTTCTGCTTTGGATTCAACTGTAGCCCACATGATAAATTTGTAAGCTTTAGTTTGTTACTTGTTCTTCCATTAAATTGGGCAATTGTCCAATCTTATACTGGACCAAACTCTAGCAATCCAGTTCAATACAGCCTCTCAAAGAGCTAGGCTTGGAGCATGAATATCTGTTGTGGCATTTCCATTTGATTTGGAAATTAAATTACTTTACTGTGAAGTCATTTGTGTATTTCTTTTGTCTTCTGGTGGCAGCTCTATGGAGTACAATTTCCTCTTTTTGTCACCTGTGTACTGTTTCTCAGTCGTGAGGGAGTTCGGCGAGCATGCCTGCGGGCAGACATGAAAAGGTGCTTCTTCATTTTAATAGCAATGTGTTTATTTGTACCAACTAAGGACCTGTAATTCTTATGTATTATGCTACAGTGATGGTACTTCAACAGAAGAAAATATAGCAAAGATAATGACATTTGCCTGGTTAATTCCCCCATGTGGAATTCTTCTTACTGTTGCAGCATGCGGTGTTGTCTTCTGGAATAAAGGCTTAAGCTTTTCTGATCCATATGGGCAAGCAATCTTGATTAATGGTAGATTGCTATATATATTATTTTCTTTTAGAAAAATATGTCTTGTTGCTGTTGCTGCTTCTCTCTGTTTATGGAGATTTTCACATATAATTTGTTATGACTACTCATTCAAAAATTATTTATGAATACGACATATGTTTGGTTTTCAAGTCCATTTGTGATTTGTGACGCATCAATATTGTTTCAGTACTTTTATAACAAGAATCGTTGATGGTTGGAAATCATAGACCATTTGGCTTTGCTTAAATGAATTAATTGTTTCACATTAATGTATCAGTGACATGAGTCATTTTTACGTGGCAGGCTCTGCATGTATTTTTGAACTACTGGCAGAGCCCTTGTATATCCTTTCTCAGAACTTGCTTCTGCTTAAACTAAGGCTAGTAGTTGAGACAGTTGCTACTCTTTCCCGCTGCATAACAATGTTCATTCTCATTGTCAAGCAAACTGACATGGTAAGAGCTTTTATCAAATTATTCTGGCAATCTTGATTTTTATTCATTTTTTAACATTGTTCCCTATATTCAAAATGAAACCTGCAAGGAAGTGTGTAATGATCTGTTTGATTCCCTTTTGTTATATGAACCTCATATGGGTGGTGTCCACTGGTTCCTTAACCAGTAATTTTATGCTTTAATGGAACCATTTTATTGGGTACTGGACATGGGAACAAATCTGGTAAAATATACTTTTTTACCTATTATCCATTTGAGAGGACCATGAAGAAATAAATTTGTATTCTGCCAATGAACCTGAATAAGCAGTATGAGTAGGTGAAGGCCTCTGTTATTAAGGATTTAAATTCTCTGAAGAGGAAGGATAGTTACTGTAGTAAATTGGAGTGTTTAGAACTGACGTACCAACCGAACTTACTTAAAGGGTGGTTATCAATCCTTGACCTTGATTATTTATGCAACTTCTAATTATGAATGATCATTTGATCGGTTGCAGGATAAAGCGATTGTATTTTCATTGTCACAAACTGCATATGGAGTGTGCTTGTTCCTAGGTTATTGGGCCTATTTTCTTCTTTTTGGTACATGTAGAAGTTCTGCTATTTTCCCATTCAGGTATTTTTCTTTTTTCTTTCTTCTAATCCTACATTATTTTCTGTAGATGATGAATTTTCATTTTCTGTTATTCCTCAGAAGGGAAAAAATTTATGGGATAATGCATGAGTATAATCCAATGTTAACTGAAAAGACATACGTTAAGAATGGATTCTTCACATGGAGAGAAGTAGGGAATTCATAAGATCTTTGGCTGATGTCTCTTGTGGCCAAATATGTGGGCATCACGCTATTTGATTTCTTCGACCGCAGAAATGACTTCTTATTTATTTTTGGCAAGCGTTTTTGTAGAGTGCCTTGTTGGCCCTGGTCTTATCTGGGAGGCAATAATCCAGTGTCATATGTTCACTGTGAATGGTTTCATGGGAGCTAGTCAATCTTTATTATCAAATGTGTGGATTTGTGTAGTTGAGTGGAATATTATCACAACTTGTATTTCTTCACTCGTCAGATTTATTTGTCATATTCATTTGTATTGACAATTACAATTGGCTGGCTTAGCAGAAAGGATATGATAAGCAACACTGTTTTTCAATGAAATCTTATGTCTATAGCAAATTTGCTTTAGTTGATAGCTTAATACTTTCACAGGGTAAAGAATAAGAAGCATTATGATGAGCAGCTGTCTGACATGTGTAAATTGTTTACACTTCAATCCTTCATGAAGTTGATCCTTCAAGAAGGACAAAGTCTTGTCCTTTTATGGTCGGCGACATATTATAACCAAGCCGTATATGGACTTGTGGACAAATTAGGTAATTATTTGGTCCAGATCTTTTGAGTCATACAATTAATCACTTTGTCATCACAATAAGAGCTGATTTTATTCTGAGACTACTTCAGAATAGAAAACATGTCAGTAATTTTGAATTTTCTTTTTATGATATTTATCACTTATTAGGGAGTCTAGTGGTGAGGCTGGTGTTTCTTCCTTTTGAAGAAAGTTCCTATGCTACATTTGCAAGGTCTGCATCAGGTTCACTTTCCTCCTTTGTTTACTTGATGGTTCTTTTGATGTTATCTTGATTTTGGGTTAATTTCTTCCTGCTTTTGTTTCTTTCATGTGAGTTACAAATAATTCTTCACATGTGCTATATGCACACTTCAAATTTGGTTTGTATCCATGGAGAAAAATCCATGGTTCCATTAATATTGCATCATACAGTGCTAAATCTAACAAACTTTAATTTTCCAATAATATCTTTCATTGACAGGAAAAGACCCAAATAAAGACAGGAGGCTAGGAAGTAGCCTTACAGAGGCCCTTAAACTGGTTTTGTTAATAGGTGCGTGCATGTGTGCATTTCAATTTCCTTTTCTCCTTCGTTTATACAGATAAAAATTATAGACAATATATATTGATATATGTGTATAGTCTCGATCTAATAAGTAGCCAAGTTGATTATTGTAATAGCATCTCAGTCGTTTAGATCACATATGAATCTATGATGAACAGAACCCAAGGGACTCAAACAACCTAGAAAATGTCTTTTAGAAAAGAAAATTTACAAAGTTAATCGTAGCATGCAGATATGCAGACACAGCATGTTATGTTGTAACAGAGAGATCAGGTAGTGAAAACACTTGTATTGGCCTTTGATTCATTGTATAATGAGTAAATTAAAAGATCTGATTTTGATATATTATGAAATAGGACAAGTTGATGACCACAAAAGGAGCAAGATAATTATCTATAGTAGGAATTGATATTTGTTCTTTTCTTGAAGTCTTCTTCCTTAGTTGTTTCCTTGGTCTCACGATGCTCAGATATCCTGTAGGTCTTGTATTCATGGCGTTTGGTCCAAGTTATGCTTATTCTCTCATCAGATTGTTGTACGGACAGAAATGGAGTGATGGGGAGGCATCAATAGCCCTTCGATATTATTGCATTTATATAATTGTTCTGGCTATGAATGGTGAGTAATGCTCTGATTCTTCTTGTCAATATTCGCAGGCGTATGAGCCATAGTTAGAGGAATATCAAGCAACATGTACTTGAGTTAATGCTTTTCTATTTTTTGGGTCTTTATGATTTCTTTATTCGATTACTAATTATGGCATAATATTAATGAGATATGAAATTTTTTTTGGCTACTTCCTTTCGAATGACGAATTCCCTCATTTTTTAAGTAAAGGAATTCGTATTGAGATGTAGTAAGGCCGCTAAGGACTAGGATACTAAAGTGGTAGTGATTGTTTGAAAAAATAAATCGTATGTGTGTCCCAATCCATTGACAATCTGCTGAAATCTTTCATTTGGAACTGGTACCCCTTTTATATCATCAATTTTTGGTTGTGTTTGGTGTTAACTTAAAGATCTTACTGCTGTGCCTAAATGGTATCAAGCTAGAACTGAGATTGTGCTTTGGTTTTACATCAGGAACATCAGAATCATTTCTACATGCCGTTGCAAAAGAAAAGCAACTAGTACAGTCAAACCTTTCATCGTTTATGTTCGCAATAATACATGTAGTACTGAATATCCTGCTGATCAACTCAGCTGGTGCAGTTGGCTTAATTTTGGCAAACTCAATAAGTATCCTTTTCCTAGTTTAGGCAGTTTTCTTAAGGTTCGTTTGGTAAAGCTTTTGCCTGATATTTTCTGTTACTTTTTAAAATTAAAGTCACTAGTTATTTTTCATTTTTTTCAAAGAAAGCAGCTGCTACATTTTGCATATGCTTTTGTCAGAGAGTAAGAACATAAGGTTGCTGCTTTTCCCATGTATAGAGCTCACAGTATAGAAATGTCTTTATTCAACTTTTGGTGCATTTGACCTGAAATTTTTTTGAGGCATAGAAATGTCTTTATTCAATTTTTTTTTCTGTTTTTGTTTCACAAAAAATTACATGACACGGCAATATAGATGACATCATCAGTCTGGAATGGTGTTGATCGGTAAGTAATGTGCATTGTGAGCAATTGCAATTCAATTTATTGGTTCTAGTCTCTGGTTTCTTGACATGGTAAAGATATGATCCTGAGAATAGCGTACTCTGGGGTATTCATCAAGCAATATTTCCAGGTATGATGTTAATTATTTATCTCACATGTTTCGTCAATGATTTTAACCTCATAGGCTTGTATGTGCTAATTTTTCTTCTGTCTTCACAGGATTCCTCCTCATTTTCTTTTTATAGATGCTTACCTTCAGGATGGAAGGTCCTACTGTTTTCAGGAATAACAACTATTATTTCTGAGAGGATATTTCTGGACAGGGAGAATTTCTGGCCGACTTTCTTTGTTCATTTCTCCATTGGGGTCGCTTGCTTCTGCATGTCGTCGTTTGTCATGTATCTTCTTGTGCCCTGTGTCCGCCTTGAAATTGTTATTGTCATGCTACTCTTACTAATTTGCACATGAGAATATTCATCACCTGTAATATTTTCCTCAACAGATATCGCCGCGAGAGATCCTTCATCAACAGAATTATCCGCTTCCGCGATCACTCGGACTAAGAAACAGACTTTTCATGATCCATCTAAGCGTGTAGAGAATATTGATTTGCCACTAATCTGATTGACAACTTCTTACATGCGTATCTGGGTATGAGGATTACCGATTACAATGCAGAAAAAACAACAGGATGGGGATTAATGATACCTATGGAAGGTAACTGTAAGCACCTGCTGATATATCTATGTAATTGTTTGAGTATGCATTAATGAGAAAGAAACAGGTGCTGGATTATAGACAAATGCACAAGGGAGAACCCATTTAGTGGGAATTTTTAGAGAATTTATACCAGAAAGATTTCATTACATTTCATATGTGAGAACTTCCAAAGCAGGAATAATTATCATGTAAATCTCCTTCTCATAAGAACTAGAATTACTGCAATAGCTCTTTTATATGGTGATTTTTAGATGGTTTGAATGAATAAAAATTAAAGTTGATGACTGCTTTGACCTTGATCCAATACTACTACGCATAAACATGATGAAATTTAATGGCAAAGAAGAATGATTGTTCATTATTAATACTTGGTCAATTTGTCTTCATAGCTCATACAAAAGTGTACATTACATTTGGATTAATTGGTCAAACCATACCAACCGCTGAAGTTTATAATTGGGTTTCTTTCTTTCAAAGCATTATTGGAGAGGATGCTTTTATTGCACATAAATTATGTTTTTAGTCAACATAATTGGCAGCAATTGTTATATGTATTTAGGAATATTGAAAATCAGAAAACTCATTGCCATACGAAACAGCGATATCAAAGAATTGATTGGACCATATACAACAAATGTTGACATGCCAATGAAAATATGGGTCTAAATTGATCCACGTAGCCATCTCTCCAGGGTTTCAATTTTCATGGTTGAGAACTTGAGACTAAAGAGTCCATTGATGGCCAACCCCTCTAGCTCCATAGTCTATACTGGAGGTTTGGTATAATAATAAGACCTATTATAGGTTTCACACTAATCAACCACCATTAAACATCTTAATTTTAATTTCCTAATAACACAAACTTGCATCTTTAGTCAAAATTCTATGCACAAATAGGTTTATCGACTAATCGAGAAAAAGTTTGCACATGCCGGGCAATCAATTCCCACCACAAATTGACCAATTTAATTTGTGAGACAATCTGACATGTTACATTGTCATATATCATATTTAGATAGACATATCAATCTATATGGCATATAGAAGATTACTCATTAATGCATACCAAAAGAAATTAATTTCCAAATAATAGTAAAAAGAAAGAAGAAGAAAAAAAGTTACTGTGTAGTTGGTATAGTAGTAGTGGGGAAGGTAGAAAGTAAAAGGCAGTGTAAGTATAAATGAAAATCCACCGACGCTTAGACCTGGATTGAGAGATTTGAGAGACAGAGAGAGAGCGAGCGTCTGGTTGGGAATCGCGATCGTCCCACCAGCCGGCCCCAGACACACAGAGTCCCCCCAGACTCAGCGACAGAGACGACCGGAAGAAGAAGACGACGATCGGACGGTTGAGGCGTTGTGGAAATGACGTCATCATCGGGCGGTGGAAGATATATGTCGTACTCGCCGTCGCCGTCGGCACCTCACTCTCCCCACCTTTCCGGCCTTCGCTCCGCCTCATCCGCAGCTCTCGTCGCCGCCGAGCAAGAAAAGTATGTCGCGAGATCTGTTCTTAATTTATCGATTGCCTAGATTTCTTGTGAAGAAGAAAGCTTGAGCTTGATTGATTGATTTGTTGACTTTTATCAATTATCATCATCATCATAAATATCGTTCTATTTTTTGGTTTTCTTTTTCTTTTTGCGAAGCATGATGTTGTATAATAATAGCTTTACTCTCTGTGTTTCCAGATATCTATCTGAGTTACTTGCGGAGCGCCACAAACTCGGTCCATTTTTGCCTTTGCTACCGCATTGCTGCAGGTTAATAAACCAAGGTCAGTTTCGAACTTTGAATTCAGCTTGTTATTGTTTATCTAAACTGCTTTTATGGGTACAATTGCAATGTTCAAATGTGAAGACTCTGCGATCAGTAACTGCTCAACCCGAATCAAACGATTTGAATAACTTCACAGGTTATATGGGGACATACCCTTTTCATCTAACATGATTATGCGAAGCAAACATTTATAAAACACTCAAAAGTGGTGAAACATAGTACCATTAGAAATTCATCACTGCTCAACTCACTTAATAGACTCGTAATTACTTTAACTTGGTTATATGTGCTAAGTTATTAGAGATGCTAATGATCCTGCTAATCAAATTTGTTGAGTTTAGTTTATGCACGCACTTCCTAATGATATGTAATGGATTACAAGGACAAGCAACTACTAAGTTGGGACTAATTGTCTCGTGATTTCATTTAGCTCGAGCTACATTGTATTGCATGCCTGTAGGCTGTATGTATTGAGAAATCCAATGAAGGATGCTGATCAAATCTAAAAAATTCAGGGGTACTTTGTTTCATGGGGTAGAATTATCAAAACCATCACTTAGTTTATTGGTTTGGAATGCCAGTTCCAACTCCAAATTCATAATTGTTGGAAGTATTGAAGAGGTGCACATATCACAGGCAACTGGTTTGCATATGAAGAACAATAGGATTATAATGATTGCATGTGCAATACCATTACTTCAATCCCTCCTTCTTGATTATGTCTCTTCTAGCACCTAGTTCTTTCACATACCTCGGAGGTAGGAGATAGGTTACCTTGTTTAGTCTGACTCGGAGTTCAATGTTTAGTTCTCGGTTTCTCTTATATAGACCTTGTTTTTCTTATTTGTCTATACAAATGATGTTTTTTCCCGAAATAACTGTTGAAGAAAGATTTTTTTTAGACCAAAAGGGAGGATAATAGTAAAATCTTGTGTTTATCGGTGGGAAAGATGCTGACATAACAAGCATTGGGTGTTTTCATTTTAATTAGAGAATAACAATTGATAAACCTGGCCGTCATATATAAAGTGATACTGCCAATGTGACTTGGTTGTTGGATGTTTATGGTGGGACCCTCCTTTTGCCAACCATCTCTCCTTTCTACGAACACAGATACCTAAAGACTACGAAATCACCTGTCCCAACCAAAAGGTGAACCTTTCTGAGGTAAAGGTTTTTGACTTGTAGTCTATCTTTTAATCCAACATTAGCAAATTCATTCACCAAGTTCCTAGCTGAAGACATAGCTTGATCCATAAGTTTTTCTTTCTTTCTTTTTGTGAGTGCTTGTTGTTTGCTTCTTTATGGGTATTTGTTCTTTTGGTTTTCCTTCTCTCCGGGAGGAATCTAAGTATTTTTGTTAGAATCGTAATATTGACATTGATTTCTCAGGTTTTAGCGGTTTTGGTGTTATCATATCAGGTGGTGATGTTTTGTGGATGTATATTCTTTTCTGGGGTTTTGCCCCTCTATTAACTTGGGTTCTCGTGTATTCTTTTCTGATGGTGTTCATAACTATTGTTACAATTAATAGGCTTCCATTCTTTATTAACTTTCTCATTACTTTGATGTTACAGTACTCTTTTGAAGTTAAATTTATTACATGGGGGAAACATTGATTTTAACTGACTCAGAAGAAAAATCCGTGTTGTCTCTCCATTTTGTGGTGACTGCTAACCTTATAACAAATGCTAACCGGTACATCTTATTCTTGAAAATTGACATTTTTGGAGCAGAAATATTGCGTGTAACTACACTGTTGGGGAATGCATCAGTTTTAGGTCAAAGTGGGCTTGAACATGCTAGCCCCCTGGCTTCTGGAGGAATGTTTTCAAATGGAGGTGCTGATGTGAACGGATGGGCTTCACGGTTTCAATCAGAAGTACGGATACTAACCATTAACTTAACATAACCTTATTTTCCATCTAATTTTACTGTCTTTTAGAAGCATTTCTGACACGGCTTTTACATTTCATGCTAACTCTTAACATTTGTTTAGGTGCCTGCAATTAATTTGCCACTTTGAGACAGGTAGTCTGAAGCTAACATCAACAACCAAATGATAATCAATTAGCTTTGCTTCTGGAATTCTACTTCAATTGATATGGTTCTCCATTTATTCTGACTTTGTCTGTTTGTTGAGAGAACATATTTGAGTATATGACATATGATTAGATCTTACACTTGGCATGAGATGCAATTCCTAGTAGTAATACAGAGCATTGAAAAGAGTTTGTCCAATCTAAAGGAGATTATTGGACTCCTGGTTTTCCTGTGTAGAGTGCTGACCCTTCGGTTATGTTTGTTAATTGAGTTTGGCTTACAAGGCACAGCCTTTTTTTCATTATTAATATGGTGTTGAAACATTTCAGTTACTGAATGCCTCTGTATGCAAGAGGGATTGCAAAATGATATTATTGTTGGTAATGGTATTCATTTTATATTTACTGTCCTTGAAATTCATTGTTTTTGACAGTCGTATATATCAGGAAATTTTCCAAGTTCCATTGTATCTGTTAAGGTGTACATTTTTCTCTCTGTTTAGTTATTTATTCTTTACATTCTTCAAAGCTGCAATGATGTATCCCTAATGAGTTTCTTTTTTAGGATCTTGGAGGTTCTTCGAGGACCAATATCTTATGTTCTCATATGTGTAGTGAAATATATAAATAACGGATCCCTATATGTTATGTTAGGTTTTAACGTACTTGGATTCCACTGCTCAGATGTCAGGTTTATTACAGCCTTCATCAACACAAAACTGGCTTAATTCTCCAAGTAGCTCATCTGGTCTAATTGTTAAGCGAACAATCCGAGTGGATATTCCAGTGGACAAATATCCTAATGTATGGATGAACTGCTAGATCCTGTTAATTTCTCAATGTATTTCTCTTTTGTTGTCTGACATCATTTTATTATTGCAGTATAACTTTGTTGGACGGTTGCTGGGCCCTAGGGGGAACTCTCTTAAACGAGTGGAAGCAACTACTGAGTGCCGTGTTCTGATTAGGGGCCGTGGTAGCATAAAAGATCCGACGAGGGTAATAATGAGACTTTTCTTCTTTGATGATTGCACTGATTTCACATTCATGCATACCAAAAGTATGAACATCTGTTGCGCTATGCTGTAAATGAGAATTTCCATTTATTCAGTCCTCATTGTGAGGATCTAATGTTAGTTTACTGTACTATTTTTGTTCTGAAGGAAGAAATGATGAGAGGAAAGCCAGGGTATGAACATTTGAACGAGCCTCTTCATATTCTGGTGGAGGCAGAACTACCAGTTGAAATTATTGATGCTCGTTTATCGCAAGCACGTGAGGTACTTGAAGATTTACTCAGGCCTGTGGTATGTTCTCTCCTCTTATTTGGAAAAGGTTTTCCTCTTCCTGGCAAGTAAATTTTGTGAATTCTGCCTGCAAAATAGCAAAACTCTTGACCATGTTTTGGAATACTTTCGGCACTAATTGGGTTCCTTTTCCTTTTCAAAATATATTATTAGGATGAGTCTCAGGATTTCTACAAGAAACAGCAGCTGCGAGAGTTGGCGATGCTCAATGGTACACTTCGTGAAGAGGGTTCTCCAATGTCTGGTTCTGTGTCACCCTTCCACAACAGTCTTGGTATGAAGAGGGCCAAAACCAGGGGGTAATGGATGCTCTTCTTGGAGGGCTCTCGGAGCTTGTTTGTTAATTTCTGCCAGTAAACAGCAGTTTCCACGCCACAGGTGTTGCTGTGTCAGCCAATCCAACAACTGCCATCGGGGCACTGGCAACACCATTGTGTGCCAGTTCTAACTTGTTTCTATATCAAGTGTGTGTACCTACTGTTCGGGGGGAGGTTGACGTATCGCATAAACAGGGACAGTTTGATTTCGGGGGGTTTGCTTTTGTATGTTGCATTAGACAGTTTGGTCAGAGCATTTGCTCTCCAAGCCGGTCGTTATACTATTATAAGCATGTGATGACAGTTTTGTTACCATCTTGGGGTTTCTGTGAGTAAGCTATGGCATGGTGTGTATACGAATAGTGAGGCAAACATATGATCTACCCGAAGCATGTTGTCTGGGTTGGAGTATGTTGTACTATCTAGATTGCATTGGACTTGTTAAAAGAATTCTTTGTTTTGTTCCAGAGAGTCACTTTTCATGTTATTTGTTGCTTCTTGCTCTAATGTTTCTGGTTGTCATATTTGTCGTCAACGATGAGTTTTGTAATTTTAGTTCTGTTAAATTTGCTGTGTATGTGTTTACAGGTCCAGACCGAAAAATAAGTAGTTGCATGTTACTCGAAGTTAAACAAATTGACTTGATGCACAGAGGCATATGGCAATAATAGAAACCCTTCAACCTTAACTCAATGCCAAAGAATCAGAACTATTATTTCTTATTGAAACTGGATTTACAATTACATGCCCTAGACTGAGCATAAGCCCACTAATATAATCGCTTCCCCGTTAAGCCAATAACAGCTGCTGACTAACAAAACAAATTGCCAGCTAACTAACCAATTGCCTAACAAACCTTGCCAGCTCAGCTACATACGAAAAAGACCATATTAACCCTGAGAATCCTATCAATTACCCTTAGTAATATTTATTAAGCCTTTGCACAATTAGAACTTGTTTGGTAGTGATTATGTATATGCCAATATCTCTTCTAGAGAGAAGCACCTCTCACGTGCTTATCCATATAATCACTTTTAAGTGATTTATAGTGATTTTCCATGTAAGTGATTTTTGGCCTATCCAAAATCACTCTCAAACAATAACTTAAAATTGGGAAACGATAGTATGTTTTTGGGGATGTTTTAAAACAATTGTGAAATAGTCGAAAAGATTCCAATTCAGTATGATTCAAGGCATCTAAACCCCACCAATGCAGGGTTACCACAATGGTTGTGGCCGTCCCCTTTTCCCCCTGGTTTCCTTCCTCCCAATGTAACGAAAAACAAAAGGCATCTAAACCCAACCTAAGATAGGAAAATCCTTTAGCACAACACATCATCAAGTATTAAGTAAAATAAAGACTGCTGATAATAAGAGAAATTGGAACAAGTCTACATTTCCAACTATGTACATGGGGATCTCAGTGAAGGACTCATTGTAAAATTTTACATGCTCTATGACAATTGGCCCATTATTGGAAAAGCAAATGAGACCTTGTTTTGGAACTTCCAGGACTTGATTATATAATATCAGCCATGGTAAAGCAGAGCCAACTGCATGGAGAAGCTAAAAGCTACCAAACCTTCTCTTCCTGCTCAGTCCTCATCCTCGTCCTCAAGATCGTCAATTCCGATCCATCGGGTAAATGCAAACAGAAACTCCTTGAAATTCACCATTCCATTTTTGTCCCAGTCCATCTCTTCTGAAACAACAGAAAAGTGAGAGATTAATAAGCAAAGGGGTTCTCTCTACCAGATAACTTCGGACCATTTAACTAGATGAAGTAATTCCTATGAGATCACCATTATAACTACGAACTAATAGAATCACAAGCTTCCATTTTCATCAAGTTACAAAATTTTCTCAGCAAATCATCCAAGCAAATGCATACAGAAATACACAAATGATCCTTACGTAGCAAAGAAATGATTCATTCTAATGAATATAACGACCCTATATATTCACAAGTAAAAAGAATCCTTTACAAAGGAAACCACATGTTCTAGTATGCCATAATGTGTGTGTTTGTGTGAGTGTGTTGCTCTGAGATAGAGGGAGCAAGAGAGGCAGACCAAATCTTTTCATGGCTATTCGGCCAGAGGAGCGTTCTCCTGTTGTAGTTTCATTAATGGCCTGGACCATTTCACTCTTGCTGACATAACCATCCTTGTTCTTATCCAAGAACACAAATGCGTCTACCAATGTTTCGAATGTCGCCTCAAGATCTGGCATTTCCATATGCAATTTCTAGGAAGGTCATGGAATACAAAGAGAACAAGCAAATGAAAAGAAAAGAAAACTGGAAAATGTGGATTGCTTCCCAGACAATTCCTCTATTTATGAATTGTTAAAGAGCAACAAATGGTAGCTAAAAAAGAAGAATATGTAGAATAAAAGTTGTGTTTCGGATACAGTGTGAACGTCATTACTGTCATCCTTGAGAAGATAGACTAGGCAAATAAGAACAATGAACTCATTAAACTTGATACCCATGTCCTCATTAATATCACATGCCTCAAAGAGATCACTGATTTCCTCATCTGTAAAAGAGACTTCCAGTTTATAAAAACATTTTTTCATCTCTTCTTGATCGATTGCGCCATTTGAATCCTCATCTGTCAAGAAACGAAAAAGAACAAACCTCTTAGCAGTTACCAATTACGTGGACAAGGAAAACAGAAGAAGAAAAAAGCATATTCTTTGGTGGAATATGTTAATGGAAGAAATATGCTTAACCTAGACTGTTCAAATCTAGGCAAAGCAAAATTGGTAGAATGCCTTTAGTATCAATGAAAACATTGATGATGCCTATGTATTGTTTTGCTAAGGATCACAACATACAACTTTAAGCCTATATTTTTACTACATGTTTTACTTTGCAGATGCATGTTTAAGATACAATTGAATAAGAACTGGATACACACCAAATTGCTCAAAAATAGCCTTGCACTTTCTTAAGCTTTCGTCAATCTTTCGAAACTTCAAGATGAGGCTGTTAAACGATTTCATAACACTTCCTTTAACTGCTCTGCGCTTCATAGCTTCAACCATTTTGGCCTCTAGCTTCGTTTCATGGATTGAAAACTGTCTAGGGGAATCGCCCTTTCCCACTACAGCCCCCATTGCCAATTAATAAGACAAAAATTGGGATGCAGGAGCGGATTTAACTAGTGTACCTGACCAGTTAAGTAAATGAACACTTCAGCTGATATTCAAACCGCTACTGCAAACAAATGCGATGAAGAAAACTAAGAATCAATTTCAATGAAAAGAACTGAATAAACAGATGAGCAACACTAAGAATTGTGCAGCTGAATTCCAGCCTTCCGGCATCACATCATCGCACTTCGAATAAGATCAATTATGCCAGAAACCATCTAACATGCCATTGGTTTAGTGCTACTATAGATGCAATTATGCACTGACCAAGTAAACTTAAACCATTCTCACCAACTTAAAGATTCAAAATTAGATAAAGCACAAATTGATGATACATACAATTCAAATAAAACAGAAAATACAACAACTGGTTTGAATTGTTGAATCATATCACAACTTTTCACTCTCAAGTGATCCAAAAGGCGCACAAGTCAACTACTTTTTCATTTCAATGGTAACTTGGCAATAATCCCATGCTTAGTTTATCAAATTCAAGAAACTAAACAAACTGATTAAGAATAAGAGAAATTAATGAAAGTATGAACTCTTACTAAAAAAATGATTTTAACTAATGGAAGAACACACACCAGAAAATTCCCAGGTTCTTTTTACTGAATGAAACTTGAAACTTATCAAAGATCAGAAGCGCCAAGATGAACAAATCAAGAACCCTGAAACATGTAGAACAGATAAATGTCTTCCTCTTGTTTGCGCCTGAAATTGATCATAAACCAAAGAAGCAGATAAAACCATCCAACAAATAAGAAAACAGGAGAGGAAAAATGGAAGAGAGAAGGTGTCAAAGTTTTGGTGCAGTTTCCTGGCGTTGCAAACAAAGATGCAAAGCCAAAGTATGAGGGAGGGAGTTCGGTTTGTTAGTCAGATGGGGTTGGCTTCATGTTTCTCCCTTTGGCTTCCGAACCAACATTTGTGCTCTACCCACCACGTATTGCTGTCCTTCTCCATCCATCTCCAAAATCGCTTTCAAATTTACAACAATACCACCTTCGCTGACTTTCACAACAATACAACGAAAGACTGAAAAACCATTTTATAAACGCTATCCATATATTAAATGCACGAATGTGGAAAATACATAAAACCAACCACATATATTAGAGGGTGAGACCAAACTGCACTATCCAAAAGTAAGCTTACTTTCATGCTACCATGTGCCATTGTTAAAGAAGTGCTAAAGTAGTTTTCGACATACACGAGCATGCACGTAATTTCTGATCATTAATGCATGTACGACTAAAAAATAATGAATAATTAGAATTCATCCACAACATATACGTCAGTGATTAACCGTAACATTTCTTTTTATGATTTGATTGCTTTTCCACTCAAATGTCTCATTATTAATTTGTGTGTGTACATGAGTATTTCTTTGGTACACACTCTCTTAAATTGTGGGTAGGATCCGATCCACTTTGTCACATCTTATAATTGTTACATGGTCGGGGCCATACTTGTAAGAGAAAGCAGCTTCCAATCATAAGATGCTTCGGAATATTCGTATGCCACTAACGTTTCCCAAATCCTGAATAGTCTCAACTGGACAACATCCACGAGCCATGTTGTGTGGAGGATTTGAAAAAAAAAAAAAAAAAAAAAAAAAAAAAAAAAAGAGGAAAAGAAAGAAGATGAGCCCACACTTTTGAGCTGACCCAAACTATTGGGTCTGAGAGTAAAGCCCTTGTAAGTATTTCTATAAATTCTGTGGATATTTTAAGAAAAAAATATTAGAGGCTTAAAACAAGAAAAATATATTTAATAATGAATAGGAAAAGGTGACAAATAGGTGCCGAATAGGGAGCTACGTGGCGGAAATCAAATTCGAGTTTCACATGAAAACGCCCTCACTCACTCTGTCCTCTATATATAAAACGCCAAACCCAAGTCCTCTATATATAAAACGCCAAACCCAAACCCAAACCCAAACCCATTTCTGTGTATCTCTCTCGCTGTACGGCTCTCAGTCGGGGAGTTTCTCTCTGTCTCTCGAAGCTCAAGCTCCCAAACCCAAAACGAAAACCCTAACCCGATTCACCGGTGAGCCAAGCCCTACCATCTTCTCTTCGATTCACTAATTTGTTATGCTTTCTTTTCTTCTTTACCGTCTTGATTGTTGATTTGTGGAACAATTATCGGACCAAATTTAGATTTTTAGGTTCGTAATTCTCGTTTGATTGTTGTGTTTGGTTCGATTTTTTGCTAATTTATTTTTGGAACGGTGAGTTTTTTTTAGTTATTTTTATGAATGAATTTAATTAAAGTGATGACTCTCAATAATTAGGCGTTTCGTATCTGAATAGATCGTCACGATGCCTTGGTTAGTTGTGAGTTTATCAATTTTGTAATGCTAAATTTTTCAAGTTTTAGAAATATGGACCCTAGGGTTGGTTCAGTAATAGTACTGAGATGGATAGATAAGGGTTTCGATGTGATATTGTGAGTTTGTTTTAATTTAAGAAATTCTCCCTTTTTAGTTTTTTAAATTAGGAACCCAATTTGTTTTAGGAGAATGGAGCATCTGTAGTGTTAAAATTTGTATGTATCTGGTGATGGGTGCGTTATTTTGCTCCTCATGCAAGCTATACTTTAGTGGCTCATCTGGATGGTATAGGCTAATGGGCTTGTACTGTTTAATGAACTTTTCACTTTTCATCACAGAATTGAATTTAACACAGAATTTTCCTGTTTTCTTTTTTTGGTTGGGGAACCTCAATCAGATGTATAGAGTAATTTGTCTTAACGTTATTGTGTTTGACATTGCAGCAAACTATTCTAGTATTTCGTCATGGCCTCAAAGCGAATCAACAAGGAGTTGAAGGACCTTCAGAAAGACCCACCTGCATCCTGCAGTGCTGGTATTATTTTTTTATTCTCTCTTAATTTTCAAATCTTTATTTTGTTATGTATATTTTCCAGTCAGTTAGTATCTTGTACATGTGAAGTTCCACATTTACCAGTTATAGTTCAAGTGTTCGTCTTTTCCCAGCAAGAATTTTTGTTGCGTCCTTGCTTTTGATTCATGGAGGTTATATGAGGAGAGTGTTCTCATTCATTATTGGCATAGAGAGGTCAGCTGATTATATGAAGAGAGTGTTCTCATTCATTATTGTGCATTGCTTGGTATCTTGGGCTGCTGGTTAAATGAGACTTTTAATGCTCTCTCCCTCTTGCCTTAGGTAAATGTGTTTGTTGTGGTATCAAAAATATTGTCTTCAGCAGTTTATTTTATTGTAAAGTCCTGATAGTTCCTTGGGGAAGGACCCAGTGCGACTGGTTAGTTTAATCAGAGATGTATGCGACTGGTTAGTGTTACCTTGCATTCTTCCGGTTGGGGGGATATATTGGTTGTTGAAATATTGTATGTAATTAATTATTTAACCACGTGTTTTTTTTTTGGGTAAGAACTGGGGTTTAATGCAGAAAAGAAAAGAGGCATCAAGGTTTCACTTTTGAAGTTTCTTACAAAATAGTACTGTTTGTGTGGTTTACAATTAAGTTTTCCTTTTTTACAGGTCCTGTTGCTGATGATATGTTCCACTGGCAAGCGACTATTATGGGTCCAGCAGACAGCCCATTTGCTGGAGGTGTTTTTCTTGTATCCATTCACTTCCCACCTGATTACCCTTTCAAGCCACCCAAGGTATAATGGTATTTCCATGAAAAATTTGTTTTGTTGGTACTCTCCCAATACAACCTAGAGCTTCCAGAACTTTTATCAAGCTGTTTTAGACTTTTTGATTTTACTGCAGTTGTATTGGTGTAATTTTTATTTTTTTTTACTTTTCTATTTCTCTAATTGTCCTTTGGGGTAATGATGCTCATAACACGCTCACTATTCTTGCATTGAATAGGTTGCCTTCCGGACAAAAGTCTACCATCCGAACATTAATAGCAATGGCAGTATCTGCCTTGACATCCTCAAAGAGCAGTGGAGCCCTGCCCTGACCATTTCCAAGGTAACATACTCGTCTCTTATTTGGATATTTTTGTTCTTTCAGTGTTGTTCCATATTGATGCGCATTATTTATCAGCTAAATAAAAATGAAATACTTCTTGCAGGTACTTCTCTCCATATGCTCACTGCTGACAGATCCAAACCCCGATGATCCTCTGGTGCCTGAGATTGCTCACATGTACAAGACTGATAGAGTGAAGTATGAGACTACTGCTCGATCCTGGACTCAGAAGTATGCCATGGGCTAGGGGCATTTCTTCTGCCCGAGGAGGAGATCTATTATGCTTAAATGTTATTCTAATAGTAAATAAAAATAGATGTAAGAAGTGGAACTGGGTTTAAGGTACTTGTTCTTGTTTGGTCTGCTAATTGTCTCTTTGGTTCTGGAGATGGCCCTATATAGTTGGCCTTATTTCAGCTGAGACAATGCTATTTCAATAGGTCGGTATAGTAATTGAAAGTTTGGTGGAAAATTTGTCTTTCTTATATGCATTTCTTATTTTGTTTGCATGATGAGTCTCTGCTTTTATCTGATGTTGTATGTGCATGAGAAGAGGTCAAGTGTTTCGTCTGCATTTATTCATTTGAAAATTTGAAGCAATTTCAAATGTTTCAATCCCACGTGAGTTGCTATAATGAGGGGGCTATGTTGAGGGGGTGAGCCGTCCGATAATGACTTAATGCAATTGATCGGATGACTATTAAGATAGGATTCCTTCATTGCAACCTCTCATTGCAGTCTCTGCAATCTCACATTCACAAATCTCCGAAACTTTGGGCTGCATTTCAACTTGAAGTGCATGTCTCAGATGTAAAAGGTAGAAAATGGAAAACAATTCTGAGACAATGCAAGGACATGTAGTTTGGGCCTTAAGATCTCATACGCCATGTCGTGGTTAGGTTTAGCCCATTGTCACACCAGACCTTTTTGATTTGGTAGGGTTGAGGCATCTGGGCCTCAACATATTGTCCTTCCTCGTATAATTCTCCACTTCTTTGCCTCTTGTTTTCCTTGTTTTCCTTCCTCAAGAATGGAAAAACAATGTTGGGGGAGTGGTCAAAAGGCTGTGGGCACAGAGCACTTCACCAACCGGACCAAAACACTGAAATCATATGGAGTATGTACTGAAATCCAGAGGCCAGGGTGGGCCATTTTTGCTGAGGCAATGTTTTGTTGGGTTCACTGTCCTTTTCTATTTGTTTCTTTGCTATCGCATATATACCGTGAAGGGAAATTCTGTAATGTAAGGTACCGTTAAATGTTAATCACATGATCACCTAATATGTTTCAATTACATTAATCTGACTTCTTTACAAAGATAAACCCAAGTGGGGATATATAAAAGTTAAGTAATCACAATATGTAAATCTCATTTTGGTCACATAATATAATTAGTTATAAGTTGATATTTTTTTAATACTACTCTAGAAATGTGAAATATGAACTTTTTCGTTTACACATATTATAACACGTGATCGTATTTCAGTATCATACGATATATTCATGTACGTTTATATGAGACATCATGGTCTTACCCTGGTAAACTCAAAGCCAAAATGTATACTTTTTAGTTTTTAGTATCTTGCGCAGCTGTTGCAAGTTGGCCTCTAATGACAGTGTGAAAACAAATGTCTGCATGAATGGGACCCATGAAGACTCATCCACCCTAATTTATGGCATGTTTCTTCCACCACACCTTTGCTTGCTTTTTGCTGTCTCCCTCTCTCGTATCGTATTATTTATCTTTCTTCTCTCCAAGTAAACCAAGCACTGCAGAGGAACATGGATCTCCATATATTTTTTCCAAATGCTGTAAAAGTTTTAGCCAAAAGAAATGGGGGGGGAGGGGGGCAGAAGTGACTTAAGGACAAGGACCCCTTTTTTGGGGTGAAATTTACTATTGGCTCTCGATGGGTCCAAGACAAAACCTAAAGACTGCATGCAGTTTGGCTCTTCTGAAATATTTATTCATGCTTGCTTCTTTCCCCAGTGCATGAAGTGAAGGCACATGGTTATGATTGCTTGCTTGCTTGCTTTTCTTAAAACTTAAACGAATTCACCAACGGTTGCAAGTTGAGAGCCATCATGTTATAAGGACAATGATAAGGTACTTTATTTACTGCTGACCAAAAAAATATAATTCATTTATCATTTATTATTATCACTTAATAAATAACTTGTAATTTAAGTTAATGATCCTCTAAAAGAAATTAGACATGATTAAATTCAAAGTATTTTACTGTAACATGTAATTTTTGAGTACTTAAAGCACTTCCACCCATTTGTTATGACAAAGGGTTGTTACTATTCACATAAATAGTGCTAGCCTTTGCAGAAGGCAAAATGTGTTTCCACCCATTGCTATGGCAAAGGGCAATTACTATTCACTTTAAATTACTTTTAAATGATTAATTTTGATAGGGTTTTTTTTTCTTCTCTTTTTTTCAATTTTTTATTATTGTAATTGGCTGCTGATGTCAGCATTATGTCACTTGCTCAAATAGTAGCACGAGCTGAATTTGCCTGTGGACTTGCCCGGGTTGATGAGCCCCATGCCTTGCCCAGGGTTGCCCTTGTGCGCTAAAGCTGTCATGCAGGCCTAGGCCCTCTCCTGCCTAGGCTTCCCCTTACCGCTAGAAATGCTCTTATGTATCATGATATACCTCTATTAATTCTACTTGTATTTTCTATTTCGGCCAATAACTTCTGTACATACAGCAAGTAAAACAATTTGGTGTATCTTAAAAAACGAAGGAAATTATTGTTGTTGTTCCTACTGGCATGGTGCACTAGCGATTAACATTTACCTTTCTTTCAAAGTAAGAAAAGGCATTTGACCCCAAAAAAAAGGGTGAGAAAATGTTAGGGGTAGTCCCAAAGTTCTTAACCAATGAATGTACATTGACTTGAAAGAAAGTATCTTGTCGTAGCAAAAGCTGTTGGTCAAGATTTTGATGTCGGTGCGTAGGATGCTCATCATCCACTGTACTCTAATGTATGTGTATTATTTTGAGGTCACACTGTATTCTATATTTAATTAAATTAATTAATTAGTATTATTCTGAGAAAAAAGAAAAGACTAGGGAGAGAGGAGAGCGTGCCAAGCTTATTTTATATAACATCTTCTCAATTTCCAAGTAATTGCGACTCATCCGCTGCCAAATTGTACTTAGGTTGGGTTTTTTTGTTTTCTTTTCAGTCTTTTAGGAAATTTTTTTAAAAATAAGGTAGTGCTATTTTCATTTTATGAACTCACATAATGTTTAATTAGATTATTTACCTTATATAAGTTGAGAGAGAGAGAGAGAGAGAGAGAGAGAGAGAGAGAGAAGTTTGTTTAATATGAAAGATGGCGGGTTAACTTAGAGTCAAACAAAATATTATACAAATTAAGAAGATGGACCAGAGTGTGAGTGTGGGATATAAAATTTTAAAAAAATGAGGAAAACCAAAGCAAATGATGAGGAGTATATAATATATATATATATAATATCTTAGAATAGAATTAAGATGGAAGATTGAGTGAATGATTAAATAATGAATGAATAGGAAGTGGAAGGAGAAGGGGAATGCCAAACAAATGAAATGATTTTCGTTTCATGAGATGAGCCCACTAAAGATATGGCGAGAACCAGGGGAGCCAAGGCGGCAGCAGCACAGCAGGCACAAGCATCAACTCTCTCTCTCTCTCTCTCTCTCTCTCTCCCTCTCTCTCTCTGTGGGTACCCAATAGATATATATAGATATGAGATAAGATTACATCTTTGTGCATGCGGCTGGCTATATAGGTCACAGCTAGCTACATAGCTATATAGAATGTGTGGTCTAAAACATAGCAAAAAGCTCGATATGCAGGAGGGCAGGGCGTCAGAAAAACTACAGAGAATCACGGGCTTTCCCTTTTTTAACTTTTCATCTTTTTCTTTTGGGTAGCTAAAGATAAAGAAATGAAGAAAAGAATGTGTTGATTATAAAAACAAAAGAGTTACTAGGGAGTGAGGAACAAGGACGTATCAATCACAAAAAGAAAATTGAGAAAGAGAGAGTGTGATTCTCTCTGCAACGAAATCTTGATGGGAAGAGAGAGAGAAGGGGGAGAAAATATCTATTGATTGTCGATTTCTTTGAGGGTACATTGGAATATCTGGAGGGTATTTCATCTACGATGCTGACACTCGTTAGGACAAGACAGCCATGCAGTGGAGAGAGAGAGGACATGGTACTGGTGAAAGCTTGACTTGGCCTAAAACATGAAGCTAGTAGTAGGGTGCAATGCGTTATGTTATTTATGGGGACTAGGGAGAGAGAAAGACAGATTCAAGTAATGAAAGTGACCTATAACTGGCAACACTTTTTATATCTCTTCTTTTTCCTTGAAACTGACCTCTCTCCCTCCTACCGACGCCTACTGAGATGAGCAGTATTATACTATGTGGTCTTCAATGGTAGCAACGAATTAACCAGAAACTATAAAATATCCCCTTCCCATCCATCTTCCATTGGAATTTCAAATGTACCAACTAGTCTTCGATCTAATGGAATTTATCTTTATTTGGTCGGAGGAGATCTCCAATTCAACTCATGTACATGACACTAATGATAATTCGATACTTAATTGCTTATGGCCGGCTGAACTTAATATTGTGATGTAGATTATGAGTTTATTAGGTCGTTTTTTAGGTTAGATTGTTTTAATATTGGATATATCCAGTCATGTTTTTTTTAAAGGGAGATTCAAAGTCAAATGTTGCAATGTGGTGGTAACAACCAGTAGAGCTAATGGTGGGGACCCTTAGCATATGTAAAGTGGTTAACCTTTACGGGATATGCAGTAAATTAACAAAATATAATCAGTCAATCTCATCTGTATGCATAACGTATCGGTAAAGATTAGGTATGCCAATCAAAGGTTGGGAGTTTCTTGTAGATAAAATATGCATGTATATATATTTGAGGGATGCCTTTTAGAGTCTCTTATAACAGAAATTTCAATGATCCAAATTGTCTATTTTTCAAATCTTTATTCATAGATCATTATTAAAAAAATCTTACAAATTGAAAATCATTAAGGCATATAATTGGGACCCGGACAAACATGGTGCTTCAAGAAAAATTACAATAATAATCATATAATTAAGTGGTTAAATAATTTTGGATTCAAGTTATTATTATTAATTTTTTGTTTTTTGTTTTTTGTTTTGCAGAAATGATCTTTAATTGAATATATAAAAACTAAATAGTTCGGAT